ATTCATTCTGAGTATGTAAATCAAGAGCTACCAATGCAATTGAAGTTTTCTGCCATTGAGTATATCAATTGACCTTATTTACCTTTGATGGCTGAGCCACAGCTCTAAGTGCAGCTGATGGTTTGCTGAGCCTGCTACATATGTTTTTATTGCTTGAAAAATGCATAGAAGAAGAGAAATGATAATTTCAAGGCTTCAAAGAATATGCTGAAGTATATAAATAATTTATGCACAGCTCCAATAATGCATTTCTTGAGTGATGCTCAGTGGCTGCTGTTGCTGAACTGAAAACCCTCAGAAGGCTTAGATATTGTTGACTACTTGAAACCTTAATATGTACAATAGAGTGAATTGCATGCTGATGCTTCATTTTGTATGCTATTTCCTCATTTCATCCATACAATCAGACTGGGTAAGAGGGTCATTACTGGCAGAAATAATTTCTGAGATTCTGAAATTCTGAGTTTTATTTCCCCCTGCGTCGGTCACCACTTGAAGAGGGGATTGTTGCCTAGATACGCGGCAGCGTTCGGTGGGTCGTCAACGTAGAAACCGCGCTGGTCGAGTAGAGTACAGAGTAGTATGTCATCTAGAGATACGATGTGAGAATACGATAAGGACGTTCGATGAGAGAGCTAATTCACGTGGCTTATCCGAAGACGTAGCACGTGATCAGCCAAAATACTGATCCGAGTGCGCAAGTCTTGGTTCAAGGGGGATAAACTGCTCCATTCGTGGGTGGGAGGGCACCCTAATATACATGTACATGACAGCGGATCACGTAGCAAAGAAGATGTGGGGTTTTCTGGTTATGGGGATGCAATCGCGTGAGACATTACTATCTATGATAACTGTCTAGACATAAAAGGAAACTTTGAAATACTGAATCATTGGGGCCTTGTCCTCGATGACAGACTTCGTTCTCGGTACGTCCAGACGGTTGACACTGGGGAGCGCTGTCTCGGCAAGTTCGGACCTCACAGGAGATCAAATTTATGAGTCGCAGCCCGCCACCCTCAGACGTGCGATCATCACCGTGGGCCTCTCCTCGCCTACATCTCCCTGACCTCTTGTCCGTTCGCCCACGTCGGAAGCTGGTAGAGTCGATGGATACACAAATCATATGCATGCACTAGAAGAATCGTCTCAAATGAAAGAAAAGGATGAATTACGGTACCAGCGCCTGTCTCCTCCACAAGAGGGGTCGACTTCGCGTCTTATCCCCAAGACTACCACAGCGGCTCGTAATATTGCACGACGAGCGATGCGAGTTCGGCGACATTGGTATCAAGAGAGAGGTGACGACCACGAAGACGAAGATGGAGGGGTTTTGAAGTTGCTGCATTGAGGTCGATGGTCGGTGAAGTCGTCAGTAGTACATCGTCCAGAATGGATCGAGTATCGGTTGACTGATGATAGATGCGAGAGTGGAAGATCTGGTGTGTTTCCCTGTAATAAAAAAGCTTGACACGATTAGCTGTGACCGCCTCTTTGAGGACGGTGCCGTCGAGCTCCTTCAGACAATAGGAACCTGAGGCGTATCGTTCGTGGACGACATATGGGCCCGACCAGTGAAGCACGCCTTTGTTTCCGTGTTGCGCGTCCAACCAGGTCTCATGGACGAGTACCCAAGTGCCCGGTGAGTAATCGCCTGCAGTGATCATCCGCTCATGTACGCGCATGTAGTCATCGATTGCGCATTGTCAGCTCTGGCGTAGATGCTCGATAGCAATGCCGATATGCTCTTCTTTTCGAGTGAGTTGTTGAAGCCGAAGTGTGATGAGATCTTCGGTAGAATTGACTTGATCCCAATCTAGAGCATACCAAGTGCGATCAGTGAGGTCAAATGGAAATAAGGAATGTCTTTCGTATAGCAGAAAGTAGGGCGTATAACCAGTTGCGCGCGATACGGTGGTCCGCATGAATTGCAGCCCAGCATGAACGAAGAGCGGCCACTTCGTTGAGGACTGTCCACGGCATCGCAAAATTGCGCGGGTAAGCGTTTGGCCATCGCGTTCTGCAATATCGTTTCCCTGAGGATGATATGGTGAGCTCATAACAACTGCGACACCATGCTTCTCGAGTAGGAGATGAGCGACGCCTTTGAATTCCGGACCACCGTCACAAACGCAAACTGGAATGCACCCGAAATGACATAATACATCCTCCCACAGAAACTTGGCCCAGTTCTGCGCCGTGTTCTTAGCAACGGCACGTGCTTCTGGCCAGCGGGAGACATCATCCAAAGCATGAAGAAGATACCGCTGTCCTCCATAGCCCTTCGGCATGTGGACAGTGTCCAGCACGAATCGCCGAAGGATGCTGGGTGATATAGTAAGCGTTAGCGGCGTCTTGTTTCGTGTGCGCGCACGATATTGGCAGCCATTGCAAGAGCGAACGAAATACACGATCTGCAGGTACATGTTCAGCCAGTAATATCGGTCCGCGAGTTTTCGATAGGTTGGATCGCGTCCACGATGGCCGCAATCGTCATGTGCTTGCTTGAGAAGATCTAAGCGTCGAGAATTGTCAGCAATCACAAGATGAGGAAGAGCTTTGCGGTGGATTTTCCACAACCGCCCATCATGTATAACGAAGCCCGCTGCCCGATGAATGAACGTTCTCGAGGCGCTAGGGTCATCGTGCACTCATGGCGGCATCTCGCCGAAATTGAGATACTGTTGGATCTCACGGAAATATACCTCACCATCGTCATCATAGACGCGATGTTGATGGGGAAGATTCTGCACGTCCACAATAGAGGACTGACAGTAATAAAAATACCTGGAGTCTTGCATTCGTGCGACAACATGCGAGGTGCTCGAGGCACTGTAAGCCTTCGGGACAGCTGTGATGGCATATTGGATCGCATCCTGTTGCTCCGCAGGTTCCATGAGATCATTTGTGATGAACGTGGCACGATAGTGGGTGATGGGCAGAGGCGAAGATACTCCTTCAAGAGAAAAGATGTTAGTAGTCATTTGCGCGCGTTTTCGCACCATGAACTCGTTCCCAATATATGAGATGTCATCCATGTTCTGCAGGAACGAGGCATGGAATGGCGACGGAATAGTTCCAGGTGATGCGCCCGCCTCGATATGCGCTCCATACATCGACCACCAGCGTGGTCGAGATCCGAACAGGTTTGCATCAATCTCATGATACCCAGGACCAGCAGCCATACGCAGGAGTTCGCCCTTCGCTGATGGGAAGTCTCCAAAGCTAGTAGGTGCATCTGTCCATTGAATGGAATGTGGGTGCACTGTGTGGTCACCTCACGCACTGCCGATGATCCTATCAAGCTGCTCCTCGCCGTCCGATTCTTCGGAGTCATCTGATGATGGTCTTCGACGAGACAGCCCGTCTGCAGCGATACGTTGCCTGCAGGTACGTGTTCGAGTTCGAAGCTGACGAGCTTGAGATAGGCAACCCAACGCGTCATCGGCACATTCGGTAAGTCCGGGTCACTAATCATTTGATGCAAGTACTTCGCGTCGACCTCGAGACGGAAGAATATTCCCCAGATGTGGTGACGCAACTCCTTCATTGCCCGGAATACACCATAGACTTCGACATTCGGCTGCGAATAGCGTGATTCGGTCGCGTTGAACGTACAGGAACTGAATAGCACCGGACATTTCACGGTCCCTTCGTATTGGAAGAGTACCCAGCCAGCGCCATGGATAGAGGAATCGACTGCCAAGATGACCAGTCCATCGGTTGACTCGTGAGTTCTGGGTTGTATGAGCACGGCCAGCTGATAGCTGAGTTTCTTGAGCACAGGTGCGTCTGAGATAAGCTGCTTCAACTCGTCTATGGATGCCTTCTGGTCCTCTCCAAAGATGAAATCTTTGCCTGTATCTCGTAGTAAAATAGTTAGCGGCTTCGCAATGAGAGAGAAACCTTTAATCCATCATCTTGCAACCCCCGCGGTCCCAAGGAATCCGTGAACCTTCGAGACGTTCTCGCATTCTGGCCACTTGCAGACCTTACTCGCGAGTCCATGATCGACCTCCCATCCTCTGAGTGACACCACTGTGCCCACCACTTTGAGCTTCGATGTAGCCAATACTAACTTGCTTCCCGATGCTGTGATTCCAGCCTCGATGAAATGCTTCAGAAGTAGGTCGACCGTAGTAGCGAACTCGTAGACGAATCGACGAATGTTGGGGTTTGAAGGAATGGGTTCATCATCATATCGGGAGCATGGACCAAGTGCACAAGCGTCATCAACGAATACTCCTGCGAGCTCAGGACTCATGGGTCCCAAAACGTGAGATGTCGCTTGCTGGAATTCTTGCATAGTGTTTGTATATCCTTGAGGTAGGCAAGTGACACGCATTGGTCCGAGAAGCGAGTGGAAAGTTGTTAGGTCGTGAGACCCTGCTGCCAGAATGCACGCATCGTAGCCAGATAGCAAGTCGCAAAGCATGTAGATGGCCCAGCCAATGCAGTGTTCTGCAAATTCATCAGCGTGCGGAGGGAGCACCGAATCGCGAATAGTGACCGCGTTTAATGATTCGAGGTTGATGACCATGCGTATGTCGCCACTCTTTTTCATGACAGCGAATGTATTCACGCGGTATGATGCCGAGGAATATTCGTACTTCCCCGCCGCTTCCTGTGAGCGAAGTACAGTTCTTACCTTATCCTCAAGAGCCTTCGGAACAGGCACCGGACGATTTACCCAGAGAACATGTTCCACAGTGGGAATCTCGTAGTCTGGAAAGTATCTGCGAGAGAACGTGCCTCGCTCCGAGTCCGTCCAGGCGATTGCCTGCTGATTGATATCGATGATGTGCACCAATAGAGCCACTTCTTCTGAAGATAGAAACCCGTCAGGTACTGTAGAGAGAATTGCATCAAGACGGTCTTGAGTGAGACGCGCAGTAGGAATGAAGTCCGAAAGAGGTAGAGGATGCGTGGGAAGAGACAGAACATCCGAGATTTCAATGGGAATAAATGCCTGGGCCTGCGGGTTTGGCATATAAGTCGGTACAGGCTGAACCTTGCGATGTACAGGTTTGTACCACTTTCCCGCATGAGTCGAGTATGATGTGAACAAGAAAGCTCTATGCGTCCATCGAGACTGGAGTGGAGTGACTGACGCTGGTAAGGAGTATGAAAGTGTGCGGAGCAAGGCGTCAAACGACTCCGGAGGATGCAGCTGTGAAAGAAAGATGGTATCGTTGTCTGACGTAACTGGAAGTAGCCCTAGAAGCGAATAGAGAGTCCGGCCGACTAATGGTATGTCATCGCCCCAATTTATAGCCGGAGGGGTCGACTTAGAATGATTGTTAGGGAGGTCAGAAACCAGCTCCCTCGTCAACGCCCAAGGTAGACGCCATGACGAGCCGGTCTGTATTGCGCTGGTGTGAGATTCCGACGACCTGAGCTTTGACTGGTTTTCGAGTGGAATCGCCAAAGGGGTATGCGACGAGTTTGACAGATCCACCACGTTGATACTCAATGTGCGCCGAGAACCATTGGAGCCAGGGCTGCCCCAGTATGCCATCATGGCTGCCATACTCCTGTAGCCCGACAAAGAAGTGATGGTCGAAGCGCTCTCCCCCGATCTCGACAGATGCATCTCTGCAGCATCCAAGAAGATGGACTGGTTCTCCACTGATCCCTTTGAGTGACCAGTGAGAGCCATCGGAATCAAGCTCGACTCCCGCTCAGTCATATACCCGTTGGGTGATCAAATTCAGTTCGGATCCCGAGTCGACCAAGAACGTACAGTCTTCTGTCCTGAACTTCCCCTGGACTGTTCCACAAGCCATCGCGAAGTAACGCTTGGGTTCCACCACGATCACGCTCGCATATCGGTCAAGAATATGCATTGCTTCCTCCGTGGTTGCGCACGTTAGGTATGCTGCCCCCGATGGGTAGCCTCCCTCGTTTTCAGCTTCCGCTCGATCTTGTTCCTCCAGCTCGTCTTCTAGTTTGACCTTGGATGTCTGAGTCCCTGGTGTCATGATCTCTTCCAGAACCTCGCCTTCTGTTGCACGGATAGATGCTTCCCGACGCAGACGCGTGAGCCCTGTCATACGCTTCTGTAACTCCGGGGATACTCCTAATAGAGCTCGTAGAGGTAGTGACACCTCTGTATCCAACAAACGTGTCTGGACCTCCTCCATAGACACGCTATCCTGGATCTGCGAGGTGAAACGATGCCCAGACCCTTTAGATCCGTACCGCTCATTTATCTCGCCCAAATTCTTCTCGTCAGTTCTAGCCTTCTCCGCTTGTCTCTACCCTGCTTCCGTATTGCTGGGGTGAGGCACGAATGATACCTGCTTTTTCCCCGAGTCAGATCCATTCCGCATCCTGGTGAACCTTGTAGGGTCTGCAGGCTGCTGAACTTTAATAGATTCTGGATGACCGTCCTCGTACGTCGTATCATCCGCTCCCTCGTGCTCGAATTCAAAACGGACGGATCTCTGAATCTCATCCTCCTGATCAGATTCGACCGTGGCTTTCGCCTTGGATCGAGTCATGACCGGGAAGGCATACACGTCCTCTGCCATGACTGCAAACACGCTGCCCTGGATCACATTCTGACCCTCTCGCATCAACCCAACCACCTGATAAACATCAGACTGATGCGACGGTGGATCACGCTCACGATCCTTTCCACGTGAACGCATTTCAAGCCGAATGAGAGACGCAATTCCCCCTTTGCCAGGGAATCGAGGAAGACCAGTACCATCACAGTGAATGATTTTTCCTTCTGCAGAATATTTGAGAAGCCCTTCGAGAATCAATGCCACCGTCTCCGGGCATTTCCGCATGGATAACGGATGATCCAAATCGACCCCTTCAACCTTTCCGCACATATAGCAAGCTTCCGCTTGTCCATATTCATACTGATCACGTAACTGTCCTCGCTCTGAAGCTGAGGCTTGCCCAACAGGAGCTGTCCCCATAGAAGCGGACTGTGCGACAGCTATTCTAAGCTGTCACATTTGCTCCTTTAGCTCGGCGACAGAGGATTTCTCTGCCTCGGCATCGGAACTCTGCCTCACCTTCCTTTTGCTCTTCTCGCCCTTTTTACCCTTCAATAACTTTCATGACCTTTTAGAGATATATTTGTAATTTGACTTCTATAGATCATTATTACATTTGTACACCTGATATAACTAAGTATCACATGATGTATCAATATAGTATATGTTTAACATAACCAGTATAGAAATACAGTGAAATTGAACAAAGTCTAGTATAGCTTGTCACAAATCTAATTATCACATATGCTTTATTGAGCAGTTTATGATTAGCCACTTTTACAGTGTCCTTATACTGAACTATTGTTAGCAGTAATTTCATGATATTCTCTCTGATGTATGGTGCAAAATCAAGCTGGACTTGCTTTTTGTTTGTGATGATAAACAATAAGAAGTCTGAGAAATTGTTAAAGCTGCATCAGTCATCTGTGACATGTTTGACATGATAACTCAGAATTTTACAGTAATTGTGGGAGCTTTTTATTGTCTTCGAGATGCTTACCTTGACAAACATTTTTTTTTAATTTGACAAGCTGCAGGTTTGTAAATAAATGAAAGCATCTGCTAAATTTACATCTCCATCGCAGTACTGATAATGAAGACAGATTATAATATTGTGAGATTATCATTCAAATGCAGCAAAATACAAACTGTAAGTATCTGTACCATTTTTTGCAGTAATAAAAATTGCAGCAGAATCTGCACTTGCAACATGGCATAAATGACATCTCTTGCATCTTTTCTCAAGCATAAACTTGTGCATGCCTAACTGAAATGTTAATGAAATTGTGAAGAAGGACATTTTAACTTTTCACAGATTTACTTAATTACTTTGGATGATCTTCAAACATCTTAAAGCATGAAGAAAAGGCTTTCATGTGTATATCTATATATAAGTATCTTCATCGTATCTGAAACTCACTCAATCTGAGTGCATAATAAGTGATGAGAAATGTTTCATCTTTTTTTTGTCATTGCCTTTGACATCACTGACACAGTCATAATGAGTAAATGTTTTTCATCCTTATCACCACTAATGATGAAAATCATCTTTGTTTCTTTGACAGATATACACTTATATATAAACTTGATCTCCTTCACTTTGAATGAGGTTTTTTGTGTCTTCAGACTTTTCAGTTGTATTGACTATCCATGTGTCAGAAATTGTGATGCTCTGGTTCATTCAGTAGATAGAGTTGATCATTACTTTTCTTCAAATAGTTCACTTGGACATGGACAATTTGTGCATTGTCTTATATATATAGTTCCTTTTATGATGTATAAAAGATGATGAGTGCATTCATAGTGACATCTTTGACTATATCCAGCAGCCTTTCATTTGCAATGCAGCTTGACTATTCCATTTGAAGTTATAGATCTCTGAATTTTTATCAAAGTAAATCAGAGATGCTGCCAGTCAATGCATAGTTATCAAAGCCTTAAACAACAATAGTGCCTTTATATATAGACACTCTGAAAAGACAATTTTACATCAACTTGCAATGTTAAAGATCAGTCTTGCAAACAGGTTAGTGTACACATTGTTAGACCTTGTGTGACTCTAAGAGGTTAAGTCTGTCCATAGCAAAACTGAATATGGATTGTTACCTGACTTCTCACAATAGTGATCATCAGACATGATACAAATAACTCCTTGAGCTGGTTTCTAATGAAAACAACATTTTTGGGTAGCCCATTTAATTTGATTAGCTTGTCAAAAAGTATGTTCAGAACCAGCTTGTTATACTGCAAAGGGCTTAACTTTTACTGTGTCAATACACCCTCTGCACCATCAGTAACACAGCACTCTGTAGCCTTACTGGTGTTAATTATGACTGGTGTGCCACATTATAGAGTCAATTTTTAGGCTGAATCTCTTTCGATCATGAAAGATATTTCATAAACTTCTCAGTGTTTCAAAATTCATTACATTATAAGAGCTTTACAAATTCACAGAATTCACAGCACTATTTCTGGCCTTGAGCATTATGCTAGCCCTTTTGCTATTTGTTTTCTTGTGGTATGCTTCAGAGATTGACTAAAGCATTTATAATCTCAAGTGCCTTCAAGCATTTGTTCACTTTTATTATTATTCAAGACTGTAGTAAGTCTCAAATAGATAAAACAAAGTCACAGTCAATTGACTTGGTCTAATAGTATAGACCAGAAATGATGTGCTTTGATGTTAGATGTTAAAAGAGAATAACAATGGTATAATAGAACATAATCTGTAGATAATTATGCATTTTTTGTGATCAATAGAGAATACAACAGATTCTATATTATAAAGGGTAATCATCACTTTTTTCTACAAAAATGGAACATACTTTGTGATATAGAATTCTCACTTCGTACATTCATCATACATCTGCTAACTATCCTTGTTAACCCACTTTTTTTTTTCAAACAGTAAAATGTTTTAGCTTATAAAATTTGTGTCCCTTCATCAGCCATGTCTTTTCTAAAACTTACCATTGACTCTGCTTTTTGAAGAGCTATTTGAAATTGATATGATTATCTGTACTTCATATTCTATTATATATGGCTATCCTGTGCAGATATGTTTTGTTATTAAAGGGCAAGAACACCCAGTTTGTGAAAACATGTTTCACACTATGATGACATTCTTTAAAAGAATGATCTATGTCTTGACTTTTTAGAGCAATATGCATGTGAATTATATATGATAGATTTGATTGCCATGCTTTAGGCAGATTTTGAAACTAAAAAACAACATTTGAGGCTCCACCACCTTTAGAAAAGTCAGCTGTTTATCCAAATATGAGAATTACCAGTGGCTGACATTTTCACAGGTCTTATAGCCCTCACAATTCACTTCTTCATACTGTAAGGCCTGGTTTAGGTTATTACAATCACACAGATCATGTTCATTGAGTATGTCGTAATATAAGTTGTACTTTGAAAGATCAAATACAGCATAGTTAGAGCTGATCTCACTAAATACACATATATGTTTGGTGTATCATTGAGAGATGAATTGCTAATAGCAAATACACAGTGTGAGGTAGAAGGGCACAACATACTGTATGTATATTCTAAACATTCAAGTTGTTAATAATATCAATATGTGCTAAGGTTTTCACCTCAGTTATATAGCAGCTCTGAGTGTGATTGGTACTAACCTTTAGCCTAAGTACTAGCATAGCATAGCACCACCATGGTACTCACTGTCAGATCTTAGTGCTAGTTTAGTACTATCATAGTAGTACCTTCTTGAGACTTTAATTTCAGCATATTGCTAACATTAAAATCTTAGTATTATTCTCCTGACTATAGCACTAGCATAATGCTAATGTATAAATCTGAGTATTAATCTTTATACCTTAGTGCTAGCTTAGTATATAATAACAAGGGTATGACATAGTCACAATATTTTATCATCTTTGACAAAAAAGAGTTAAAAAGAATTTTTAAACTTTTATCATAACTTGATCTGAAACATAATAGAATAATTTAAACTATTGTTAATATTTTACTTAATCTTTTTTAATGTTTTTATCATGCTTCACAAGAAAACATGCAAAAACATTTCAAATCCTTTTTATTATAAATTAACAGTAAAGGTGCTAAAAAGATTTGAACTTTTCTTTAACAGCTTCATCATCCTTCATCTCATTGTTTCACTCAGTGCATGAAGAAAAATAAAATGCTAGGCTCTCAGATGGGCATCTATGTGACATTATGGTCACATGGTCATAGTCATGAGAGATAGTGCATCTAGTATAGAAAAAAATGCCTGCTGATGGTCGATCAATCATCAGTCACCCATGAGGATTCAACATATATAACCAACAGTTGACCATATATTCAGCTTTCTCTCATTTACTCACCTTTCTGCATCTCAAGGTAAGGCATGTTGAGTTGCCAGACATTCATATGCTCATTTTATTTTATTCCAGATATGCAGTAAATTGTTGTGAGAGAGGCTGACTTCAACATAAAAGTAGATTTTCAATCACTGTAGCTTTATCTGCTAAATCATGTTCACAGCAAAATGCTTATAATATGCTAGGCATCATGTGCACTGTTTGTTTTTAGTACTTTTCATATGTATTGCCCATCATTATATGGTTACTTTTATCCTCAATAATGTTGAAAGCCCTCCTTTCCTGCTCTCACATTTCTGTTCTCACCTATGATGCCTTGTTCAGAAAGAAATTCTAGCTGCACATTTGATACTTGTACATTGATATAAAATGCATGGTCTCAAGTACTATAGATGAGCTGGTGGTTTGTGATGCTCATCTACTATAAATATCCTCTAAGGCTTTGAAGAGGCTAGTCAAGCTAATAGTGAACATGTGAGTGATAGTTTTCACTGGGTGAAGCAATCAATAACTTTAGATGAAAGATGGTAAAAATATTGAAGAAAAAGTTCAAATCTTTTAAGCATCTTCACTGTCAATTTGTCATAAAAGTATTTAAAATATTTTTAACATCTTTTGTGGTGAAAGATGATAAAAGGATTGAAAGGAGATTGCATGAAATATTAATAATCATTTCTTCAATCATTTTACAATCTTTCATACAAAACTATGATGAAAAGTTTTAAAATCTTTTTTCACTCTTTTTTGATCAAAGATGATGAAGTTATTATGACTATGTCACACCCTTGTTTTCATATACTAAGTTAGTACTAAGATATGGAGGTTAATGCTCAGATTTAAATGTTAGCAGTATACTAGTACTATAGTCAGAAGAGTAATACTAAGATATAAATGCTAGTACTATGCTAGTACTAAGCTAGTGCTAACATTTAGAGATCAATACTATGCTAGTACTATGCTAGTACTAGCATTCACACCTTAGTACTAACCTTCAGACCTTAGTACTAGCATAGTACTAGCATAGTACTAGCCTTCAGACCTTAGTACTAGCATAGTACTAACCTTCAGACCTTAATACTAGCATCCATAGTACTAGCATTTAAATCTTAATATTACTCTTCTGACTATAGTACTAGTATACTGCTAACATATAAATCTGAGTATTAACCTCCATATCTTAGTACTAGCTTAGTATATGAAAACATAGGTGTGACATAGTCACAATAACTTCATCATCTTTGATCACAAAAGAGTGAAAAAATATTTTAAAACTTTTCATCGTAGTTTTGTACAAAAGTTTGTAAAATGATTGAAGAAATGATTATTAATATTTCATACAATCTCCTTTTAATCTTTTCATCATCTTTTACAATAAAAGATGTGAAAAAGATTTTAAATACTTTTATCACAAATTGACAGTGAAGATGCTTGAAAGATTTGAACTTTTTCTTCAATATTTTTACCACCTTTCACCTCAAATTATTGATTGTTTCACCCAGTGATATTACTGGCTGAATACTAAGATTCAAGCCTTAGTGCTAATCTTCAAACCTTAGTATAGCTTAGTATATGATGATGAGAATGTTGATGTATGACAAAACAAAGAATAGGACAAGATTTTAAAATGTTTTATTATATATTACTTTGTCTGAACAATTGTAAGATAATTTAAATAATTATTTATATCTCATGAAATTTCTTTATGATATTTTTAGCATCCTTCACAAGAAAAGAGTATGAATTCTTTTATCACAAATTGACAGTAAAGACACTGAAAAGATTTCAACTATTTCTCAATATCTTTATCATCTTTTATCTTAAATTATTAATTGCTTCACCAGTGTTATTTTAATATGATCAATATGCAGTGCACCCTTTAGAATGGCAATGCAGCGAGTTTTAGTGTCATAAAAAGGCTCGTGTTAATCTCATTTTAAGTTTAAGCACTCATTTATAGATTGATGATCAACAAGCGCATCAAAGCAGACAAGTCACTCAAAAAAGAGTCTCATGTAAAGCCATCAGCAAATGATATAATGATTATTCTAAAATGCTAGGTAAATTGTGAAAGGTGAGCTAAAATGATATTGCACAGCTGACATATAGGCTGTCGAAGATTGTTTATATATAGGGCTAACAACATTTGAGTTACCTTTTGACTGTGATGGTGATGTGTTCAGAATGATCTTGTTAGAATCATAGCCTTATGCTTCCTGTGACTGTAATGCATCTGTAGTCACATTTATTTTTTATTCATTGTAAGAAAATGTTTCTAACCAGCTCATCTGAGATGAGAAATTAACAATCTTTTTTAGACATTTTGTATGAAGAGTGGTGAGAGATTTTACATAACCTAAGACCATTCTAACTGAAGATGATAATATGATTAAATTGTTTTTTCATTACATTTCCAGTGTTTAAGCCATTGCATGTAAGATGCTCAAATTGATTGAAGCTTCTTTTAAATACCTTTATCCTTTTTGATGTAAATCGTTGTGTGTAATTCTCTCACTGGACTATAGACAATCTACCCTACAGTAGGATAGCAGACTTTATTTATCCTAGGGGTTCTCTTAGGTTGGAACGGAAAGTGAGACAACCTTTTATCATATAATAATGCTCGGCTACTGAGGTAGCATTGTTCTGCGTCGCTCTGGATGATGATAATATGTACTGTGTTGCTTACCAGACATTACAGCATTTTCACCTTGTCCATCTGGCCCACCTAATCCCTGCCCAGAGGCTGCACCAACATCTGTTCCATCTGAATCACTATTGTCACTTAACCAGTTATCACTTTCAGGCAACACCATTACTCCTGAACTGTGATCATAGCTAATCTGACGGTGTAGCGTTGGAGAATGAGGTAGACCAATGTTCAAACCAGCCGGCTGGTGACCTCCTGGAGAGAGTGCTTGATCTCCGACCGGCTGTCGGGCGTCCGGTAGATTGTCATTTGCCTGAACACTACGCCGCTTGCGCAGTGTTAGTACGACAGCAGGGTTTTCACCTGCTCTTGATGCAATGAGTTGCTTATGAGGCAGCCAAGGTGATGGCAGGACACCATTGATGGCTGGGTGGCCATATCTTCTTTTTCCTGTGCTGTGATGAAGTGAGAAGGCATCGGCAAAAAAATTTAATACTTTCGCATACTTCAGGACACCGCTATACCAATTTGCCATGGGTGGCTGTGACTGCATTGTGCGTGAGCCGCAGGGCTACAGGAAACAAGAGTGGACCTACATAGTCAGTGCGGTCATCTTCAGGCGCAACATACAATGTCTCATCGTTTTGTGCATATCGCCGATGATTCAGATTACTGCAGATCATCAACAACATCACTCCCTGGAACCCGCAGTGACATACCTTTGTGACCATGTCACTGGATGGCCGCTCCTCAAGCGCACCACATCTGCGGTATCTTCTCCACGCTGAACTTCAAACACTGAGCTCAGGTTGACATACTTGCTAAGTGGACGAAATGCTTTAGCTATCTGCCATGACCAAAAAATGGTGCCGGCTAGCAGTGGAACGAGGAGAGTGGAGAGGACAAAGGATTTCTTCAAGACGAAGATGCCGGTCATGAAGAGGATGAATATGATGACGCCCCAAATAAGACGTGCAAACGTGATCGGCCATGCTTGTCCTTGGGACTCGTAGGGTTTGTAGAACACTGACGGTGATCAGGCGACATTATATCGGATCCGAGGCGATAGACTCACCGAATAGCAGCTTGTACTTGTAGACAACATACCCGACACCGAAATATAGTGCGCCGAATATCAAAATCAGCGGCTGAATGACACTATACAACAGTGTGATGACGAATATCAGGATCGCCTGTGGATACACAACGCCGTAGTTGATCATCGGCGGTGCGTTCAGTTCCGCATAATCTGCTCATATGTTATCACCGTTCGCGACGTGATAAGTAGTACTAACCTCTAGGGGTCCGTGTGATGAAGAGACGATAGACGAGACGTGGAATGATTGTTCCGAAATTAAGCAGCTGTAGCGGCATAATGCCAAGCCCTATCACAATGAATGGAAGAATGTCCAACAAGTAGTATATAGTGTCTCACCTTGCAGGATTACATATGACAAGAAGAAATGTCTGGGTACATCCATCTTCAAGTGCATACATATACGAGAAAGGATGGCCCTTACCTGGCTTTCCCTGCAGCCAGCGCGTCGGCGAGCTTCTGAACTCCCTTAGCAGGCGAGCTGGCGAGATCCCGAACAAGCTGCCAGTAGGTACTGGCTACCAAGAATATGAAGACGACGTTCACCAATAAGAAGAGAAAGTACCTAAAATATAGCCGTTAGTGCGCAACTACCGCAGCAAGGCAATGAATCACTTCTTCAAGAGCGAATACTCAATCCAGCTACGGGCGGGATATCCCTGAAAATAGGTAAGCGCTGTCGTAAATGGAAACTCTAAGGTGAGCGCATTCCCAGGAATGTCGCAGAGTGAATGATGGGTACCTTCCAATAGAAACGGCAACAGGGCATTCAGTGTAATGATTGCCACTGAAGGAAGCGAGTTCTGTACAATCGCGCGGACTTGTTCGTTTGTATCGATTAGTCGGCCAAGGCGAGGCATCACTTTCTTGATCTCTTTATAGCTAAGCAGACTCGCAAGAGCGGACGTCGGGATAAGCCAGAACAGAAGCAGGAGACACATTGCGGAGAAGACAATCAGCTCGCGAACGCGCTTCGACGTCGGCGAGTGGCTGATGTTTGCCCATACAATGTCGCGGGGCTCAGGGGCAAGATGCGTCATGCATTGATTGGGAGCTGGCGCATGGACTGTCTGGGCTGCCACTTGCTGTACGGTGGTCATCAGCTAACGATACTGTACACTCTTGTTGCCATGCACATACCGCACTAGACATCTTCTCAAAGGTGACAAAGGCAACATGCGTTGCTTTGAAACGGCCAGTTCTTCGCTGCTTCTGGACCAACTCGTCCGCCATCTGGAATTGCTCGTCTAAGTACTTCAGCGCGTCTACTCTCCGACTGAACCAACTTGGATGAATGGTCGGCCGTCTACGACCCGGAACCACCGGATGGACAGGTTCGATATCGGCTTCTCCTGCATCCAACAGGCGGCGACTCTCGCGTTCGAGATCTATGATACTGGGATTCCCGACATATTTAACCCAAGCCGCCTCCAGCTTCAGCAATGTCGCTGTACGTTTGTCCAAGAGCCGTTTCAGCGTTTCGACCTCTCTGCATATGCTGACGCTCTCGACGCTGAGATCCATCCGCTCGAAGTACTCCGCTACCGCTCTCTCACTACGTAGGTGTTTGGGGAGGTGGGTGACCATGACTGTCCGCGCAGATATCGAATGGACGAGTTCCAGAGAGAACAACTGGCGCGCGCGAATGAATCGTTTGTAGTTGTGGTGTATCGCACGGAGGGCTAGGATAGTGAACAGATAGGTGAAAAGGAAGTGGACGGATAGATATGAGTTGGCATCGCTGACGAGATCGAGCCAATCGCGCGATGTGGAATTGCCAGGAGCGGCGATAATGGTACGCCAGTCGGTCTCATTGTCTTCGCTGCCATCCCCAATATCGATGTTATTCTAAGATGACATCAACAGGACACCCATATGCATGAACACGGAAGCGCACCCTAAGATTGAGTGGCATGAGTATCGTTACCGCGAAGACGGAGCAGATTGAGAACAGCATGAAAGACATCTTGAAGAAGTTGAGAAGCTTATGAACAGCATCAGTCGCCATGGTATGTTCAACTGCTCCAATCACTTACCACAGCTGCATCCAATCCAACGATCTGTAGCACAGAGAACTCGGATGTGCGAATAGTGGGTATAATCCAACCGAAGAATGCTTGATGTGCGTGAGCCTCATGAGGCGAAAAGCCTGTGATGGGCAGGGAAGTTTGCCGTCATTTCCAAACGCGTAACGCTTACCTTTCAACTTGGTACGAGGAGCAAACACAAGGGGCCATCGCGTGCGACAGAAGCAGAACACGAGGAACGATACAAGACCAATACTGGAAGAAAGCAAGAGTTGCGTGGTAAACCATGGACCTTCAAACTTCTCTAGTAGTAGATTGTACGCCATCAGTACGTCGAGCGGCAGACAGATGCAGTCGATGTTGTCTTACGTGTTGGAGGCGTTCCCGGCGGTAGGCCCGGCTCGCCGTCGTCGTAGGTCATGGCGGTCAGCCACTCGTCGAATAGTTGGCTGGTCATCGTAAGTACGCGTAGAAAAGAGGCCAGAGCTCTGCAGGAAACGTCACAGAGTGTCTGCGTCAGTCGCAGTTGCGCGCACGCCGCACCGGGACCGTGCAGCGCGCGAACGCGACCAACGCCATCACGTGCTCGACCTTTTTTGGTGACCCTGTTCAAACTTCACGGTAGCCAAATCACTAGATATATAGCGGTATATAATTTTGGATGCTGCACATCGAGCATTCGATTGACCGTCCATTGTCCCAAATGCACGAAGACGGAACACAATGTGCACTAAAGTCAATTACTGAGAAGTTCCTCGAGCGATTCTTGGTGATGACGTTCCTCCAGCGCGTCCAGAATCTTCGTCAGTCCTTCTCCTTCCATGACAGAGTTCAAGTTCATCAGAGACAGGCCCAATCTATGATCTGTCACCCGATCCTGCGCAGTATACATTGTGACCTTTCTCGAATTATCCGTTCGCAAATGCAACTCACCTGGACATAGTTGTACGTCCGAATTTTTTCGCTTCTGTCCGCGCTGCCGACTAGATTTTTGCGCACGGCCCGTCGTTCGGCGAGATCCTGGCTGAACTTGCGGTCCATCAGCCGAGCTCGCAGGACTTGGTATGCACGTCGTCGGTTCTGCGACTACAATGAGCCATGGTAGAAACAACATCTATACGTACAAACCTGGTGTTGACTACGTTCGTCCTGCATAGAGACCGTGATCCCCGTGGGCAAGTGCGTCAGGCGCACGGCAGATTCTGTTTTGTTGACGTGCTGAAGGGAATTCAGAACAGCGCAGAGCATGACAGCAGGAGCATCTTACTTGTCCACCCGCGCCCCTCGCACGCATGACCTCAACCTTCACCTCATCTGGTTTGAACAGATCGTCCTGTTCCGACTGGCTCGACTCCTCAGCGAGCGGCAGCACCTGATGCCCTTATGTCAGGACAGCATGCGTGATAGTGAAGAGCACATACAACCACCGCAACCGTGCTCGTATGGACGCGTCCACTCGACTCCGTCGCAGGTACCCGTTGCACGCGGTGCACTCCGCTCTCCCAGCGCAAGGTGTCATACGCCTTCTCGCCCTTCACCTCCAATATTGCATCCTTCATCCCGCCGTTCTCAAGCTCGCTCCCGCCCATCACGGCCACCTTCCACCCGAGTATGTTTGCAACGCGCGTATACATACGCATGAGGTCTGCGAGGAAAAGAGACGACTCAGAGCCACCGACGCCGGACTTGAGCTCAATAAGTGCGGACAGATGCGCCGTCTTCGATGGCGGGATGAGCAGCGCGGGAAAGGTGTGCTCGAGCAGCTTGGTGAGGCCCTCCACGAGCGAGGCGTGCTCCTCGACGGCGAGCGTACGCATCGCAGGGTCGGCATCGCTGAGAAGGAGCGTCGTTTCTTGCAGCGCCTACTGCAACGGTTTGTCAGAGCAGCTCGGTACACGCAGTGGGAGCACGAACCTCTCTCGTCGTTGTCCACTCACTCCATGCGGCCTGTAAAGGCTCAAGCTCGTGTATTCGTTTCAGTCGCACAACGTCCTCTGTGCTTAAACCCTCGTCTGATACCTTGTGGCGCTGTTGAATGTGGGTTCAGACACCAATCTGATGCAGACATACCTCATAGAGCATTTTGCTTCGTTCGTCCACTTTATGCTTGACATGTTTCAAGATGGGCGAGTCGTCCAACCCAGTAATGAAGTCTTTCTGAGCAATGATAGGGTGCTGCCATCGCAGTGGTCGGATACATGGAGGTCGTGGAGATAAACATCGTAATCGCAGACCGAGCCTGAACATGTCCAGGGAATGGTAGCGGACTTCGAGTGATCGTACCGGGATGGCACGGGCGCTTCCAAACGTTTTTGCATGAACACAGGTGACTAACAACTACTAATGACTAGGGTCTCGAGCTAAACATTTTCTTAATGTCCGTTGAATTAAAGAGACTGTTTATTAATGTATTCCTCGCATCGTGGTAACAGGGATGGACATTACATGCTCAGCACCACTCTCACATGAACGACCAGAGAGCTGGCAGTCATTCATCTGCGATTGATACATAATGCATTTCATCAACGAGCAGCCGGGATGATATCGTAGTACATGGCCACTCTACAAGTGAACACAGTCATGACCATATGTATTCGGAGTCGTGGAAGCTCGTGCACAATGCTCGCAGCAAGCGCAAATGTTCCCTCCAGATACGACCAATAGTGACGGGCCTTCACATTCGCACCAGAATCCCCATATACAACACTTGCGACATTGCTACGATGAACAAGAAAATAATACGTCTGGAGCGCTGAGCGGGACTGTTCACCGGCGCCGCTGTTGCGGATGCGTCTGGTAGTATGAGGTAACGTAAGGATCGCAGCTGGCGCGTAATAGGACGCAGCCGTCCGGCCACATATCAACAATGCGTCGGTTCGAACATTAGGTGGAGAGCTCACCAGAAAGAACGCCGTGGAGAGGAAGGAGTAGCAGAAGGTCACGAAATATAATGTCCTCCCCACGTTGAGAAGACCTGCCACCAGTGTGACGATAACACTTGCGGTTCTATTAATATTTGTCGTGGCTAGGAGATTTGCAAAACGAACACCTACCCAACGAACTTGTACCCGTCGTAAGCCATCAGGTCGAGGACTTGATTGATGCTACCCTAGACACTCGGTCAGCATCATAGCCAAATTAGGATGTGGGATGAGTGACGTACCGGTATATTGAGAAAATAACAGCCCAGCTTGACGAATACAAAGTCAAGCAGCACCACGGCGAGCGCTTTTGATGCGGTGATGCCGAGGATCTCTGGATGGAAGCGGGAACTCAAGCCAGAATGGAGAGCAGCGAGCAGTATATAAGTTACGATGGCCATTACTTTAATTTTTAAATGAACGCAGGAAACAGACGAGCCACTCAGAACTTACATGGTATGTAAAGATCAGGCGCATTGACATCTTCTCTCGGGGGCTGCCACTCCGACTGACCATTCTCAGAGCGACGCACACGCCGAGGCCATTTGTGTCTCCATGGAAATAGCAGTATACGTAGCTTGTTCATGACATACGAATTGGACACGTTAAAGTGGTGTCTCAGGACGGAGATGGGGATGAGGCCTCCGAGCTCATGTGTTGAAAATTAGCGAGCGGCCGAGTAGACGCCATGTTCATCGACGTACATTTCTCTGAACATACTCCTGCCCCGCAGCCACTGCATTCTGGCCAAGCTGCATGCCAAACTGTGCAGTCGGATTATCGAATCCCCATGCGGCAAGGTCTGCAGGTAAGTTTGGCGGTTGGCCGTGGTGAACAGGAATCTGTCTTGGTGTGGGGCCCATCGGCTGGTACTGTCCATGGGAAGAAGCATAGTCAGAGTGCATGCGTACGGCCTGTTGTGGCGGGATGGGCTGCGCGAACGGTTGCTGAACGGGCGGGGAGCTGGTGTAGCGCTGATAGCCTTGTGGGGAGACCGGGGTAGATGGAGGCTCCGGGATGTAGGCCGGGTGGGTCGGCACCGGATGCTGGAGAGGCGGGGGACTTGTGCTGTTTGGAAGGTAGGACATGACGGCGGAGCGAGATTCTTGGCGAGGAGAGCGTGGCGAGCGCAGGGTCCACGACGTGTTTAGTGCACGTGAGCGATACCAGCGAACTTTTGACTCACGTTTGCAGGAAAATAACTTCCGCAAAGCACCAGTTGCGATGCATATTTACAGCTAAAATGGATCCGGTGACCGTGGGGACGAGATATATTGCACGTGGGTGTTGATGTCGCGTATAAGGAGCGACGGCGTGCTGCGCTGTCCAAGCCCGATGTCGGATGCGGTCGCGGTGAGTATGTCCTCCTACTCCGTTCAGGTCACAAAGACCCCTGCCATAAAAAATGCGCCCCTCTTCGGACTCTCTGAGGGCAATGGCTCCTTCAACAACCTTCATCTCGCCGGACTCGTCCTCATTGTCCCATGGTTCGTCAAGCGGATGCTCCCGGTCGTCAACTACGGCGGATTCAAGACGTATCTGTTCCTGGTCCTCGTACTGGGGTTACCCATCACCATGGCGTACTGGACCTTTATGAGCGTGTATGGAACGCGAAAAAACTCCAAGGTCCAGCTGCCTGGGCGCAAGATTGAGGAATATATCACGATCAACGACCCGGAGCTGAAGGCCAAGTACTATGGCCTCGAGAAAATCCCCATGCAGGTGTTTCACGACGCGTACTTCGAGGGAAAAATTGAATTCAATGGTAAGTCCCCATGAATGACACGCTGGACGCGCGTCCTGAGCGCGTTTTACCTGCAGGTGATGTGCTTGACGTTATGGAGCAGCGTCATGATTGGGCGAAGATGATCTTCACATTTGAACTGTTCAAATATGTTTTCACTGTCCTCGTTCCGGACGTGATTATGCACCAAAGGAGTCAGGACGAGGAGCAGGTCCGAGGACATTACGATCGTGCGTGTTCACGTGTTCACGTGTTTCCTTGCCGACTTATCGTGCATATAGGAGGAGACGATTTCTATGAGTGGTGTGTTTACTAACGAGACCATCGTCACAATTGTTACATATTAATCGACGCGTTTCAGGTTCCTTGGCCCACGAATGGTTTACACCGCTGGCGTGGTTAGTGACATCACAAGGGAGGAGACTCTCGAGGAACTACAGGACAATAAACTGACTCTAGTTTGCGACAAGGTGCATTCTACACGATAATAACATGTTCAGCAGACTCTAAGCTTCTGCTTTAGCTCGATCTCCAACCAACAGACCGTCTGCTTGATGTTGGCTGCGGATGGGGCACACTCTGCGCATTCGCTGCGAAGAATTACGGCTGCGAGGCCCTTGGCATCACTCTGGGCAGGAATCAGACGAAGTTTGGTAACGACCGCATTCAAGCGAACGTCAGTAATCCCCTCGTTCATTGCGAGCTACGCGTTGAGAGAGAACTAACCAGGGTATCGATCCGTCCCGAGCCGAGGTCCTGTGCTTGGACTACCGCGATATTCCCGGTGGCAAGGGCGCATACACAAAGATTGTTAGTCTCGAGATGGCTGAGGTGCGTACTGCGCTGTAAAGTATCGCTCTTTATTGAAAACCAAATATTCCCGGTAGCATGTCGGAATCAGACGCTATGGGGCATTCCTGCGCCAGATGTATGACCTCCTCGATGACGACGGCATCTTCGTCCTACAGGTCGCAGGTATTCGGCCCGCATGGCAGTATGAGGACCTGATCTGGTACACTTGCCAACTCTCTATTTCCATTTCCCCTTCTAATGTATAGCCAAATTATAGGGGCCTGTTCATGAATAAATACATTTTCCCGGGTGCGGATGCGTCATGCTCACTCGGGTGGGTCGTGAGCCAGGTGGAGGCGGCTGGCTTCGAGGTGAAGAACATCGACGTGCTTGGCGTGCACTACAGTGCGACAATCTGGCGGTGGTACAGGAACTGGGTCTCAAACAAGGATAAGATCATCGAGAAGTATGGCGAGAGGTGCGTGTCCCGCTACTACCTCCTGAAAGACTATTGACCTTCATGAACCACAGATGGTACAGGATCTGGGTGTTCTTCCTTGCGTACTCCACCATCATCAGCAGGTGGGTTACAGTCTGTGTGAGCTTCCCCTAGAGAAGATGCTGATTAAGCTCCAGGCAAGGAAGCGCATCCGTCTTTCAGCTCACACTCCACAAGAACTTGAACGCCTTCCCGAGGATCCTTGGTGTGCCGAGCCATACGTCCCTCCATGGCTCGCCTAAGCATGAGATCTCGTGAGCCGCTTTCTATGCGTAGGCCGTTCATTACCTAATGAAGCTGTGATGCAGGCCAGTCATTTAAGCCCAGTGATCAAGTAGGGCCAGCAATGGTCGCTGGACTAGGTGCTCGATTGCAAGATTGTTTCTTTTTTCGGGTATGACACTGTCGTGCTGGCCCTTGGCTCATAGTCCCTCCTGCTCAATGTGCCATGTTGCCTTTATGACAATAGAATGTACTTGCACCTTCTGCCGAGGCATAGGTTGATTACAACTAACCATACAACGTATACAAGGAAATCGACATGAGTCCATGAGGGTTTACGCCCTTCTGAACGCATCCACCTGCTAATTGAATAGATAGGCATCGAGGACCCGAGCACCTAGACTAATTGGAACCCCCCGAAATCAAGGAATGCCTCCTCAATAGATAGCTTGCGCACAACCAGTGCCTCGACAATCAGCCGCGGCTCCCGTTTCTGTTCAGCTGGGGGCTCATGCGCATCCTGCACTACAACCTCCACTACAGAAGCGGGAAAGTCAATGGCTGTGACTTGAAGTTCATCGAGTTTCTGCGCCAGTCCGTCCACCTCCACGGGCGCCTTACACGGCTGTGGGGGCGCGACAATGGCGGGCATCTCACCAAGCGAGGACACCGCGTCTGGTAATGTGCCTCCGCCCAACGCAGGGACTGCTTTCCGTTTCTCCTCCCGCTTTCGATCCCTCGCCAGCCGGCGCTGTGCCATCTTTGCCTCTTGTCTATTTGGCGGGAGTGCCCCATTGCTAAGGGTATCTTCCTCGCCCGCATCTTTATGCCACGGCTGCGTCGTCTTCTCCATCCCCTTGTACTTCTGACGCCGGTCATGTCTCCCAAACGAAGAAACAGGATTGACGGCGGGCAATTCGCGCCGGCGCATCGGGCGCGGCTTGAAGACTGAGGCGATCTCTATGTCGACAACGAGGGAGATAGCAGCCGGTAGTGCGAGGTCATCTGGGACCCGGTCGACTGAGTGCGGCAACTCAGGCTCCATGGAGAACAGTGCGAGGTCGTCATCGATTGCCTCGATGAACGGCGAGGACTCCGCTGCAGGACGGTTGGGATTCGAGGAGGCACGACGACCCTGAATGTATGCCAAATTCGGAGTAGGAGGGTTGCGTGAAAGATCCGCGGGTGTGATGAGATCCGTGCTGGAGGAAGAAAAGTCGTCGAAGTCGGTCAGGTCCGTCGTAGATAGCTCCGTCTCCGTCTCAGTCGTCGTCGTAGAATCGTCACCCTTAGGTAGGGCAGCCTTTCTCTTCATCTTTCGTGTCCACTCGCCCGTATCCGGGTCAAGGTATTTGCTAACTTCCTCAGCTAGCGCGTACATCGCAGGCGGAATTTCGATCTCCTTCACCACGATGACGGACGCGCCGATCTCGCCCGCCATCATTTCGAGGGTCTCTAGCGACCGCTCCAGGTCGTTCCGCGTCAGACCGATGAGAGCACCAGAATCGGCGACACCGAGCTCGTAGTACGCTTGACCTCCGCCCTCGAGCAGCCTCCATTTCAGCTGCGTTACTAAACGGGCGAATCGAGCCGGTGAGATGTTGGTGAGTTTCAGCTTGTACTCTACATTGCCCTATACAATATGAGCGTATGAGGATGCATAAAAGTACCATCACTTACCTCGTCTGCCTCGGGCACGAGCTTGGGTACACCGTTGTGGATGAGTTTGCTGGGGTCGACGGCGCACTCGGCGGGCGGGGACGGAAGGAAAGGGTCCCACGGGCTGGGAACGCGAGGGCTCTCGGATTCGTGCTCGCCAAACATTCGAACTAGTCAGTAATGTATGAGATGGCGGATATTCGAGGGATCATGGTAGGTCTGGAGTCGACGACGAGGACGACGAGGGGGACCGAGTCAGTCGTATCCTGTCAAGCAGTGCCAGCCTCCCAATCTGGAAACCCGATCATTGGCGCCGGCTTAGATAAGCGGGGACGTGTGGCCACAATCGCAGCCACCGACGTATAGCTTGTCTCTCCACCTCCATTGACTGGTACCCACATGGCTTCGAGAGTCTCTAGCCCGGTGTGCTTCTACACTCACACAGCTTGCGATCTGAACTCACTGGATCATAGACTACTCTGAAACGCATCCATCGCGAGATTGCGGACCTGAAGAAGGAAGATCTCGGTGCCATCTCACTCGCTCCATCCTCCGACAGCCTTTTCCATTGGACTGCCACCATACCTGGACCAGAGGGAAGCTGCTACGAAGGTGGTGTATTCAGCGTCGATATTCATCTTGCTCTTGACTATCCGTACGTTCCGACTCCTGCGTGCCTCCACCCACCCAGGCTGACGATCACGCGTGTGGCTAAGGTTCTCTGCACCTAGAGTCACATTCAAGACTAGGTGCGTACTATGTTTTCAATCAGTTATGCAAATCTTACGATAGGTATCTACTGCGCGTACGAAGGATTTACCACATGAACATTAACGAACGAGGCAACATATGTATAGACATGTTGAAGCACAACTGGTCACCTGCTCTCTCGCTATTCAAGGTCATCTTATCGCTCTCTTCACTTTTAACAGATCCGAACCCTAGTACGTGTGGCCACCACAGCATATATTTTGACCATTAACCAACTCGCTTTTCACAGAGGATCCGCTAGGTATGCTTGCCATCAATGTGGAAGCATAGAAATGTCACTTTATCTCTGCCTGTCAGTTCCATCAATAGCGGTGCTATATCAGCGGGACCGGCAAGAACACGACCGCAACGCGCGAACATGGACCGAGCTCTACGCCCGCCCGAAGCCAAAGGTGGCCTCGATGTCCGACTCCAAGGGAAAGGCTAAAGCCACGGATGCCGCTGGATCCTCATCGTCACCCACTGGGCAGCAGTCCGCCAATTCGACTACAGCTGGCAATTCGCAGACAGAAGCGATCGAGATCGAGGACTCTGATGAGGAAGCCACCGCGAGTGCTCAGAGTAAAGTGCAGACGCGATCGGGCACGAAGCGACAACGCGAACAGGCCGGTACAGATGGTGCATCGAATGCGGATGGATCCGAGCGGCCTGCGAGGCGGAGAAAAGGTGGTATGGGGGGAGGCATAGGAGGTTCAGGGACAGGACCGACCGAAGCAGGAGACGTCATTGTGATTGAAGATTAATTCGTTATGCTGCTTGCGTCTGGTGGGATTAATTAATGTATTGACTGTTTCTATATGAGCATTACACGTTCCAGGCTGGGATTGTTCACCAGACCTTCTACGTGTGTTGATCATATGTAAGCATTTGGCGCATCACACACTTGTGCTACTACGCCATTCCCACTATTCTGGAGCCCGAGCAGACACAAGTCAGAGCGTCATGCTTATACATGCAAAGAAGTAAACATACGGATACCATACCGCGTTTGCTTATGACAAGATGAATTCACTTCCACTACTTTATCCAACACCATCGCTAACGCGTTGACATCATCTGTAGTTAGATTATTGGCCGCAATACGAGTGAACAATACTCCTGAAAGCGCTTACTGCACAGCTCACATCATCCTCCTGCCTCCGAGTCGGAACGAGAGTTGCTTGACAATGCTAACTAGATGCCGTTGCTCGCGGAAATGTGACTGCGGCCAAGGTCTTGCTCAGCAATATACCATCTCTTGTGTGGTTCAAACTGCGTGGCCTTGTCCTACTGAGAATTTAAAAGTAGCAATAAAACCGCGTGAGTATGAACCATATTCAAAATCTGCGAGTCTATCGAAACTCGTGTATTCAAATCGTAACGGAAAACACCCAAGGATAGCATGGATTTCCAGGACGGCCTACCGGACACGGTTTCCCTTCACTTCGTGAGCTGCTCAACTAATTTAGATTGCATAGAATGTAAGTACACAAGATCCATGCTACGGCGTGCGTTAAGAACGCATGCCACCGAACAGATTTGAAACAGCGAACACAACTTGAAGGTTTGCCTTGAAGACCTCAAATCATAAAGTATAGACTGTATAGTGCTCACCGATTTCCGCGCCGATTTCGGCTCCAAGCACCAGCTGCCTTCAAATAAAAAGTGACCTCCGAAGGTGTAGCAAGATAATGTCGGTGCTATGGCAGGTAGCATCCGCTGCCGTCGCATAGTCCAGAACACATCCGCAAGTCAAGACTTTTTTTGATGCCGATACCAGTGGCTATATCGCGCTAATAATAATACGCTATGTATGAACTTTACACAATCCAACTTGCAGATGCGCTTCGCAGCATCTGGTGTTGAACAACGGCAGCCAAGACCGGCACCACATCCAATAACTCACGACACCACTTGGGATTTGGGTACAAACGAGCAAGGTAACACTACGTTAACTACCTCCCTTTTAACCATGCCACTTCAGGGCAGGCAGCGCAGCTCGCACACCCGGCGCTTATCCGGCTGCCATTCCTGCAGCCCCTGTACCCAGCTCCGATGCCCCCGAGGTCCACTGCTATCCCGCAGTGCCTCCCAGGCCCCAAAAGCCAACAACTGGTTCCAGAGAGCCCCAACGAAGCAGAGACCGGTCGCTCGCAGAAAGTCTGCATCGGGACCTCAGCAGCATTCATGAAGTTGAAGACCTTATCAATACTCGGGAGAACGACATACGAGAGCAAAGGGGACGGATTGGTGCAACGTAACAGATCAGAGTGACAGCAAAGTTTGCCCTGCAATCGCATTATTCGTGGGATTACCCCTGCGGCGGAGGTCTAAAATTAGCATTTCAATCAGATCTCCTGACCATTGGCGGAGATTACGTTTGTGGCCTGTGGCCACCAATCCCGAAGCCGGCCACAACATTGCCCGGTGTACCGTGCTCAGTGACTGACTAGCACTTGAGGAGGCTAAGAGCAAACGGATGCTGCAGTATGATCCCGCTATTCTGCTAAGAAATGAATGACTGTCCATGATACCATCGAGATACCTGTCTAGCTGCCGTCGGAGATATACAAGGCAAGCAGATTATAAATATGCTGAGAAGCGTTCCAATCCTTGGGGGAAAAATAGCACTAAGAGAGTGGCATGGGAATGTACAATAGGAGCATGGTATGTGGGGCCGACCAACCACATCAGAGGAACAGGGAGAGCCGTAGGCTGTAGCTGGTATCATGAACACGGAAGATTAGAGAAGGGGAATAGAAAATGTGATCAAGCAAGTAGGCACTGCTGTAAGGATTCAGCACTTCTATATCAGAACCAGTCTTCATCATCGACCGGGAATTGTCGCCCTGATACGTTCACGCATTCATCTTCTGCGCTTCATCGAACACGATGGTCTTCACTGGTACTTGTTGCTTCCACTGCTCGCCGGGTCCAAGAAGCAAGCCGGGGTGGAAGAAGTTGACGGTGAAAATTGCGAGCGTAATCATGCCGCCATCCAGCCAATCTGTTTTCGCGAAATCATATGAAACTGAGCCATACTGAAGAAATTTGGAGTCGTTACGCACCGAAGAAGCGCTCGGTGCGAATGATGTAGCCTGTCCATCCGTCAGCGAGTTCCTGGAAAATAGAAACATCAGATCTCAGATTCCTATCCGCATGCACCACAGGGATTAAAAACTCACGATTGTACGATATACGGACCTGCAGGTAAATGCGAAATTGAGTCTGATTGCTCGTGACGGGAAGAAGTAGACCCACCGAATGTAGATGCAGACGCTGCTCAGTGTCATTCCGGCGAGCATCAGCTTGGTATTCCTGTCCAGTGAATACCCAGACAATGTGCTCTCGGCCCTGCGCAACGGTCGGTCCCAGAGGAACCTGAGAACAAACTCTGTTGCGAGTGTCATGTAGACCGTGATGGAAACTGCACACCCCATCAATATCTTTCCCGGTAGCAAGGATGAGTAATGTATACGCACACATCTGGAAGACGATACCGGCCAGCATGATATGACCGCCCTGGAGACTCGACATGAGACTCGACGGTTACGTCATGAGGGATGCGCTTACGATGTTGGGATTCTTGTTCTGGTTTACCGCGCCGGCAGCAGTCGCACCACCGACGGCCTGCACCACGAGTGCGACAACATCCTGAAAGGAACATTCGTGAGATTTATTGCTAATTGCCAAGAGAGATGCCCCTTACACAGCTGCAAAACACGACGGTGTCTGGGAAGGATATATCAGAACATGACACGTGTAAAAAGGAAGGGAGAGGCGCACTCACACCACTTGGCGCTGAGCCGGCTGTAACACTGGCCCAGTCGGCGGATGAGCTGACCGAGAATGACAAAGTTTGCGGCCACGAGGGGTGTCGGCGCGATGATCGTTGCCACAATCCTACACGCATGTCGTCCGTGAGCGCGAGCAAAAAGACGAACTGTAACCACTACTCACTGCATGAGGTATGGACTCTTTGCCAGAACATTCTGACTGGACCACAGCCTCCCGCTCCATCCAATAATTTCGAGGATGGCAGCTACGCAGATGGTCGGAAAGATCCACCACAGACGGGTATATATCGCTTGACCTGCGTGGATCACTGTGAAGCCGTCAATGTGATTGTTTCTGAATGTATACGGAATGAGAAACTTACATCCGGAGAGAGCGAAGAGAACGATGAAGAGGATGCATATCCATTCTGTAGGGACGTTGCCGTATGGATCCTTATTGAAGTCATTAGAGGAAGCTCGGGCTGCGACTATATCAGCTTCTAGTACTACCCGCAAACGTCGGCAGAGGACGCACCTGCCAAGTCCATGGCGAGAAGAGCAAGAGCAACGAAGAGCAGCGATTATGTCAAGAAGATGAGAAAAAGCGGAATCCAGGCCAACATGGTGCTTCTCTATATAACAGGACTGCATGAGAAGGCTCATCTAAGAGAACATTACAGTGGTTCCGGAGACACGTCCGCCCGTAAACAACATAAGAGAGCGGCAGACACGCCGGCACGGAGGAGCTGCGGCCGCTCCGAGAATTTGTGTGCAAAAATGACAATAATGATGGAGGTTAACTACCGCATCACCATCAAGCCGACGGATCTATACCGTCTCGGGCAGCTGCTGTAGCAGTGGCTGCGGCCCGAGGAAATGCGGCATGCCAGCCGTCAGGCGCATGATGGGAGATGAAGTGCTTAACAGGGATGGCCGTGGGAGATGTGTCAAACAGCCTCAGGATGGATGGGTCGCTGTACAACAAGCTCACGATGACGGGAGGCCTGGTGTGAAAGCCTCATGCTCCGAGATCGCGCTGAGCCTGTTCCATTCAAAAGTTGGGCGCGGCTCTATTAGTGCGGCTGCACTGACTGAAAGCTTCTTTGACAAGTGCTCCAGACGGTGTAGGATTGCTCATCGTCCACGTACTACGCTGGCGTGAGAGATGATCGATGATTTTTCAACGCTGAGCTGCATGGTGCTTGATTATCTCACAGCCTCCTAATATCAACGTATCATTTTTGCACTAGCAAACGCATGGAGACAGCGCCGCAGATGCCATCAGTCTCAGCGCACCAAATCCCCATTCCTTTCGTGCCTTGATTCACGCTACAGATTAGCCTTACCGGCCGGGCGCAGCGCGAGCAAGCCCGGCGACCTATCCCGTTTCCAGTGACCTCGTGTGAGCTGCCCATGATGCCATCGAGGTATCTGTTTAGCTATCAGCGCGAATCCATCACGCAAGCAGATAGTAGATACACTGAAAAGCGTTCATGTCCTTGGGGGGTCATAGTGTCAGGAGGGTGGCATGCCAGTGGGAATGCACAACAGGAACGTCATGGTGGTACACAGGACTGGCCGCAAACCTCAACTAGGGAACTGCGGAAGATGAGAGAAAAGAAAGAGAGAGAGAGATGTGACCATGTCAGTAGACACTGCTGTAAAATTCCAGCACTTCTCCGTCATGACATATCTTCATCATCGACTGGAGATTGTCATCGGGGTCCGTTCATCCACATCTTCTTCGCTTCGTATCTTCTGCTTCCACTGCTCGACGGGCCCGATAAGGATGCCAGGATGAAAGACGTTGACGGCGAACATCGCGAGCGAGATCATGCCGCCATCCAGCCAATCTGATTTCACGAAGTTATATGGAACGCGCTATATTGAATGAAGTTGGAGTCGTAACGCACCGAAGAAGCGCTCGATGCGAATGATGTGGCCTTTCCATCTGTCGGCAAGCTCCTGGAAGAAAGAAATATCAGATCCGAGATTTCTGCCGCATGCATCATAGGAATCAAAAACGTACGATTGTACGATATACGGACCTACAGATGGATGCTACATTGAGTTGATTGCTCGTGACGGGGAGATGTAGATAGACACACCGTATGAAGACACAGACGCTGCTCAGGGCCATTCCGGTGAGCACCAGCTTTGTGTTCCTGTCCAACGAATACCCAGAAATTGTACTCTCGGCCATGCGCAGCGGTCGGTCCCAGAGGAACCTCAGAACGAACTCTACTGCGAGAGCCATGTAGACCGTGATAGCAACTGCAGATTTGACATCGGTCCCATGCCCAGTAGCAGTAGCGAGGATGAGTAGTATATACGCACCCATTTGGAAGACGATGCCGGCCAACATGATGTGACCGCCCTGAAGACTCGCCGTGAGACACGACGGCTATGTGATGAGCAAATGCTCACATTGTTGGGGCTCTCTCCCTGGTTTACCGCGCCTGCAGCAATCGCACCACCGACGGCCTGTACGACAAGTGCAACAACATCCTGAAAGGGGCATTCATGAAATTCATTGTCAATTGCAAAGAGAGATGCCGCTTACGAAGCTGCAAACTATTATGGTATCTGTGGGAAAGATATGTCAGGCTTCACAAAGCATGACACGCATAAAGGGGAGGGCGGAGGGGAAGGGGAGGCACTCACACCACCTGGCGCTGAGCCGGCTGTAGCACTGGCCCAGTTGGCGGATGAGCTGACCGAGGATGACAAATTCCGCAGCGATGAGGGGTGTTGGCGCGATGATTGTCGTAACAATCCTGCACGCATGTCGTCTGTATGCGCGAGCAAGAAAGAAATGAAGCGCAGCTGCTACTAACTGAATGAGGTACGGATTTTGTGCCACAATGTTCTGACTGGACCATAGCCTCGCGCTCCATCCAATGATCTCGAGCACGGATGCGAGGCAGATGGTCGGAAAGATCCACCATAGACGAGTATATATCGCCTGAGCTGCATGGATCACTGCGGAGCAGTCAATGTGATTGCTGCAGGATTAATATGGAATGAAAAACTTGCATCCGGAGAGGGAAAAGAGGATGACAAAGAGAATGCATATCCATTCTGTAGGGACGTAGCCATACGGATCCTCTCCGAACTGGGCGGAGGAAACTCGAGCTACGAATATATTAGCCAATAATACTACCCGAAAATATCAGCGGTGAACGCACCTGCCAAGGGCATGGTAAGAACAGCAAGAAGGAAAGAAGAGTAGCGATGATATCAAGAAAATGAGGGTTGTTGGGATGAGACCGACATGGCACCAACCTATATAACAGGACTGCGGTAGCCGGACAGATTTCCGCCCCTCAGCCAGCATGCGAAGCGGTAGACACAGCAAGGAGGAGCTGAGGCCGCTCTAACCCGTGCAAAAATGACAATTACGATGGAGACTGACTGCGATCACAATCAACTTGAAGCTAAGGTTTCATGCCGTCTCGTGGCCAGAGAATGCGGCGTCCACGCCGCACGGTGGGAGATGAAGTGCACCTTAGAAATGGGCCGTTGCAGCTGTGTCAAGCTTCAAGCGCCAGACACTGGATAATAAGTGGCTCGCGCTGTACAACATGCTCGCTATGACAAACAAGTGAGAGTCTCACGTTCGCCGCGCTGAGCCTAATTCCATTGGGCATGCTGCGAGTATGACTGCGCCGACTGAAGCTTGCTCGCCAAGTGATCCAGACCGTGTACGAAAAGAAATGAGCTGCTTGATGCCTGGTTCACAGCCTGCCAGTGACAGCGACATATCGTTTTTGCGCTAGCAAACCCCATATGGAGACAATATCGCCATCAGCATCACATCAGTCTCTCAGGTATACATGCGTGATGCTGGCACAGATGTCACATTTAAACTAGCGACGTACCAGTGAGCACAGGGTTCCGCAACCAGCGTCGGTCGAGATTACATCTCCGATCACTAATTGGGAATTGTCATATTCAAAACACGTGGCTTCACATTTTGGATTTCGATCGGCATCAAGTTTTGCTTCAGCAGCTCTTGCGTTTATATACCCTTGCTCCCATGGCATCAGACCTCAAAAGAAAGCGCGCTGCGCGCACTGAGACACATGGAGGAAAGGTGTGCGCACATGGAATGACTCAAAAACTTGATCGTTGTTAAAGAAATGTATGTTCAGCGTAGGAATGTCAGTGCAGAGCGAGGGGAACACTCGGCATTCAGCGACGCAAAAAATCTCGCCGATACTCATCTCGATGGTTCTAAAGATGAAGAACCGGAAAATACAGAGCCTGAATCTGGTTCAGATGAGGAAAACGAGTGGGCAGGAATGGACAGTGAGAGCGACGAAGGCCCGCCAGCCCATAATGCGAATGGCAGAGTGGGTCGTTCTGGGATGCCACCAAAGCAGGTACCAAAGGGGGAGGAGCTAAGAGACATCAGCGACGCTGCGAGCTTGTATAGGTCGACATCATTCAAGTTGCAGGTAGGTCGCAATATTCTTGTGTATCTTGATGCAGTCTAATTCTCATCTCGTCCAAATTACCATAGATAGACGCCCTCTTGCCGAACGTCCGACCAAAATATGGAAAATCATCATCGCTTGACCACTTCCTACTCTCTCTTTACACGTTCCTCAATAGTCTTCCCTCCAAACCGCTCCAACATCCTCTTGCGGCTTCCCGCCACCTTCTCAAAAGGAGCATAGCAGTAGCTTATCCTCTGCCCGTTCCAACAGAGGAGACCAACTGGACAGTAGCCTTCGAGAAGCCGAGCGAGATACTGCTAGTCGGTAGCTGGGCATTGAAGACGAGTGTGAAGGCGAAGGATGGACATAGATATGGAGTTGATGTGGCTGTCGCAATGCCTGACGTGAGTCTTAACACTTCTAAGCTATCAAGATGGGCCTTACACGTTATCATTCAGTCCCTGTTCCAAGAGAAAGACTATATGCATAGCAGGTTTTTCCACAAACGTGCGTACTATCTAGCTGTGATTGCTGCAGCCATCGCAAGTAAGAAGAGCCCATTCGACATGGAACTATCATACGAGTCTACGTTCGGCGACCCCCGCCTCACCAACCTCATCATCAGACCAAAGCACGGTAGTGTCTCACGCATTTCGCGCTGTTTGCCTCATCTCATCCGATGCCATTTCAGACGGCTCTCAAAACGACTTCTCCAATCTCAACGCCGAGGTCCACATCATCCCTGTGCTCTCTCCTACTTCCCCCATCCCGCTGCATCGCCTTTCTCCCTCGCGTTCAAACATACGCACGTCCGATGATGCTTCTAAGGATGCGCCTTCACCGCTCTACAATTCCTCGCTCCTGCAGTGCATGGCGTACAAAAGCCACTTTCTCTCCATGCATGCAGTGAAAGAGGCGGTGCCCGCGTTCAACGACGCGCTAGCGCTGCTACGGGTGTGGGCGAACCAGCGCGGGTACGGGGTGGGAAACAGGCTGTGCGTGAGGGGATTTGAGGGAAGGGGGGATTGGTGGGCGTCTTTGTTGGAGATGCTGGTCAACGGGGAGGAGCCGCTCGCTTCATCATTTAGCAAGGCATCGGCGAAGCGGAAGGCGTTCGGAAAAGGCTTGAGCTCATATCAGCTCTTCAAAGCTGCGCTGGACTTTCTTGGTAAGTCCCTTGCTCGTTCTGTGGCGGCACCCAGTTCATGTTTAACACATGAATAGCAAAGCATGATTTTTCGAAGGAACGGGTATTCGTAAAGACAAAAGACGGTCATCGAGTATGTCCCTCACCGCATATAATTGGACCATGCCTGATAGCATGTACTGACTGTCCTGAGAGGTAGTTCTCGCCTGATGACTACCGATCACATGAAGCCGTCTTCGTCGACTCCACCTCGATGCGAAACCTGCTCGCAGCCGTCCCGCTCGGTTCGCTGGCCATGGTAAGATCCACCAGCAGTAGATTCGTATACTTCGTTTGACATGCTATGATGTAGCTCCGATACGATGCTCAGCAAACATTACAGCTGCTGGACAACTCTCCTATCACAGAAGATCCTTTTGTAGCTGTGTTGCTCAAGGAGCTGCGGGACGTCTCTTCACGCTTTGACGTTGTTGCTCGGTACGTATTTTATTCTCACGGCTGGACAATCAAGTTAACGGTTTTGCTTAGAGTGGATCTTACTTCTGCTAAGCTACGTAAGGTCTCCCAGCAGGCTATTCTTGAGCACGGATCAGCCTACAATGCTCTTCTTGCCGAGCTTGTATCCTATCTGCAACAAGGTCTTGGAAACCGCGCGAAAGCTATCGTCGTGCTCCATCCGACATCTCAACACCGAAAGACCTCCCAAGCACACCCCTCTAATCCTTCTATCATCTACATCGGATTGATCCTGGACATCGAGCATGCCTTCCGGCTGGTCGACCACGGCCCGCCAGCCGCAGAGCAAGAGAGTGAGGCAGCACAACAATTCCGCGACTTGTGGGGCGAGAAGGCGGAGTTGCGTCGGTTCAAGGATGGCAGCATCGTTGAGAGTGTTGTCTGGATGGTCACCAACCCGGACGAGCGCGCGCATATTCCTGCCATGATCATGCGGCACATTTTAAAGCGGCATTGTGGCATCGACGAGACTGCGGTACAGACGTGGCAGGCGTCGTTTGATGGAGTGTTGCGCCTGCCTGAGTCCATCGCGGCGAAATTCCGAGCCAACAACGGGCCGATAGGTTTCAAGGCTGCCATGACAGCGTTCGACCAGCTCGTCCGCACTATGAAGGCGCTCGAGGGGCAGATTCCACTAAGCATTCTAACCGTCAGTCCTGTTACAGATACATTGCGCTACACGAGCACGCTAAATCCCGTCGCCATCTCCGCATCGCTTGCCGCCGCGTTGCCACCCTGTGCGCGGTACATCGCCCCGATGGAGGTCGTGATTGAGTTCGAGCGGTCCGGCCGCTGGCCCGACGATCTGCGTGCAATCCAGAAGATCAAGCTGGCCTTCTTCGAGGCGCTCGCAACCGCGCTCATGGCTGCTCACAAAGGGCTTCGTGCGACTGTCGTCCTCAGCGACGGTACGCCCGCCTCCGAGATACAGGACCAGGCGTTCCTCGAGATCGTCACTGTGGACGGCTGGGCGTTTCGCGCACGCATTCGGCACGACCGCGAGGCAACGCTGTTGCAGCGCCTGATCGAGGGCGAGCGCTCGCATATCCCGAAGCACCTGCAGAAGGACGAGGACATTGACCCGAAGGCGCGACAGGAAGCGCTCGCTGCGCTTGAAGTGTACCGCCGGCGGTTCGTGCACGGCCCGCGGCATCATCGCGCAGTCGCAGCGATGTGCCACCGCTTCACAGCGTTTGCGGGGACTGTGCGGCTCGTGAAGCGGTGGCTGGGCTCACACTGGCTCCTGAAGGGGCACGTCAGCGGGGAAGCTGCGGAGCTGCTGTGCGCACATGTATTCTTTCGGTGTGGTACGGTAGGCGTGCCGGGGACGAAGGAGCGCGGGTTCGCGCGCGTGGTGGAGTGGCTGAAAGATTGGGACTGGAGTGCGGGCGTGTATGTGCCCGTGTATGGTGCGGCGGAGGACGTGGCGGTGCTGGGAGAGGAAGAGAAGGCGCAGGTGACGGTGACGGCGGATGCGAGGGTGGGCGTGTGGGCGGTGGCGACGGAGCTGGATCCTGATGGGCACGTGTGGACGAGGGCGGGCCCTGACGCTGTCGTCGCGCGTCGTGTGCGTGCGCTCGCGCAGGCGACATGGGAGTGCCTGCAAGGGATTGAACGCGACGTGTTTGACGTGTTGGTGTGTGGACCTTTTTTTTCTCCGCTGCCTTTGCAGCAAGTGCTAAGATTCCTTCTCTCGCAGACTCTCTTTGCGCACCCGACGGAACACTACGACTTTCTCATCGAGTTCGATCCAACCGTGCTCCCCCGCTATGCACAGAACGTCCGTGCGGATCCTGCCGTATGGGAGACTAAGGGGAAGTACGCCAACGCGAAGGCCATACCGGCCTCTTCCTCTTCCGCTGTGCTGCCAGGGTTCGACCCCGTACAGGCGCTTTCTGATGACCTCCAGGTATGTGGTGCCCGTGGCTACTTATTGTTGGGGAAAATAATGTATGATGGGCGGTGCAGCGCGTGTATAAGGACACATTCGTCCTGTTCTACGATCCTCTTGGTGGAGACAAATTAGGCGGTGTATGGGATCCGAGGTTGAATGCGCCGCGGTCCTTCCGTGTGCTGGGCGGGTTCTCGAGCATGCCAGCGTACGCGGTGAGCACTTTTCCCCATGCATTCCCTTTGAAGTCTCTGTCTTTCTTTTCGCTGATAACCGATTTGCAGGATGCAGACAAGGTGCAGTCCAAGTCGAAAGCGAAGGAGAAGGAAAAAGACAAGTCGCTCGTCGCGTTAAATGAAGTCGCGGTGCTGAGCGAGGTAGAGCGGATGGGCGCGGGAATGATCACAAGGATCGTGCGACACATCTAGCATGCCTTCCTCTGCACAGGTGTTCATGCCCGCGTGTGCCCCACATGCATATATGCGCGGTTTCTCCTGAAATTATTTCTTAACTCATCTTGATGCTACCTTGGCTGTGGTGATAACGGGAGGTATACGTTGGTAATCGTTTGCTTATGCTATGGCTACATAAGGAGTAGATAAGTTTCGCAAATAGCAGAACGATATTCATTGAAATAGTGATTTGTATAATGATTCTCTTCGCGTATTGGGATGAGAACCATGGCGCGCACTTACCTCTCCTCCAGTGACGTCCACACCTTCTTCGCAACGTCGTCCATGACCTCTCTCCACTTCCTCGCCCCATCACCCCCGTCACTATTTCCGGCTAGCACGAGTGGTACGCCGTGGTCCCCGCCCGTGCTCACCTCAGGTACGAGCGGAAGCTCGCCAAGGATGGGGGTGCCGAGGCGCTCGGCGGTCGCGCGAAAGGACTCAGGCGGGCCGAAAAGCATGTGAGGTGTGTGGCAGGACGGGCAAGTGAAGTGGGACTGGTTGAGGACGAGGCCGGTTATCTGCGGGAGTGGTCTGAAGGAGATGAACAGAAAGAAAAGGGGATGCAACGCACAGGCACGGAGATCTTCTGGAACATCGCTACGCCCTTGCGCACGTCTGCAAGCGCGACGTCCTGTGGAGTCGACACGATCACCGCGCCTGAGCGCACATCAGCGCCACCACTATGCCGCGGTGAGCCACTCACCATCGACCTGCACGAGCTGCCCGAGCGTGAGAGGGACATCGCCCGTGCCGGGCGGCATATCGAGCACGAGAAGGTCGAGTCCGGCACCGGAGTGGTCACGCCAATCGACGTCGAAGAGGAGCTGCTGGACGGCTTTCTGGACCATGAGACCGCGCCAGACGACGGGGGTATCTGCGCCCGAGTCTCCCGGGGAGCGCGGGAGAAGGAAGCCCATGGACATGCAGGGCAGACCGTGATTCGTCAGGGGCACGATCGCACCCGCTACGCGATCATGTCCATATCCGAGTTAAGCGAGGCACAATATGTGAAAAAATATCCGTGCATACCTTTCGTCAAGCGCGGCTCCACCGCATCCTCGAGACCCATGAGCTTTGGCACAGAAGGGCCGAATATGTCGAGGTCGAGTATGCCTACCCTCCGCCCGCCGTGCATCGCCAGCGCGCAAGCCAGATTGACTTGCGGCAATCGGGCAGTCGCATCAGTAGGCCGTTTAGCGAGCCTGGGCGTGCACTCACCGGCGACGGTGCTCTTGCCAACGCCGCCCTTGCCGCTTGCGACCGCGAGCACTTTCTTCACATGGGGCAGCGCGCGCTTCTGGATCCGGCGAGTAATGGTGGGCGGTGGCGGGCGGTTTGGCAGGCCCTGCGCTGGGCGGTGGTTAGATTCGGGTGGTGCAGCGGCTGGGTGGACTCACGATGGGGTTGTAGTGCGCGATGCGCGCGGAGGATGCAAAGGCGCGTCGGAGGGCGGGTGGTGGCGGGCGCATGGAGGCGGTGGATGGATTAGGAAGGGGCCACAAGTGACGGACGTTCCCAGGACGACGGCGTTTGCCGGGATGGTCGCCATCTGTGGCGGTGATCTCGGTCGCCGTCTCGCTTGCCTTGTCCTAATTTCTTTCTCTTCCCCGCCTCTCTTTCTCTTCGCTGCATCCGTCTCTCCTTCACCTCACGCTCCTTCTGCGTCGACGACCTCCCCCGTCTCACTAATTCCTCCTTCATCCCCCGCAACAATGTCCATCCTCGCACGCTCCGTCGTCGCTGCCCTCCTCGCCTTTTCCCTCGTCGCGCACTGTGAGTTACCGTGGGGCATATCCATTCGCACGCGCTGACTCTGCCCGCAGCGGCAAACGCCCAGCAGTGCGCGCGCACGTACACCGTGCAGGAGGGCGAAGACTGTGACAGCATCTCCGCCGCCCAGAACGTCTCCACCTACCAGCTCGCGACCGTCAACTCCGGCGAGGTCGACACAGACTGCTCCAACCTCGTCCCCGGCGAGGAGCTCTGTCTCGGCTGGGTGGGCTCCGACTGTACAGACACTTACGTCGTCTCTGACGGAGACGACTGCGACATTGTCGCGGCACGCTATGGCATCAACGTCACGCTTCTATACGAGAACAACCCCCAGCTGGACGCGAGCTGTGATAACATGTATATAGGCGAGGTGCGCTGCCCTGCTATGTTGTTTGATTCGTGCTGACGGTGTCCAGGTCCTGTGTGTGGCGAGCGCCGTCGATGTCCCCGTTGCAGGCTCCGGGTCGTCCTCCGCTGTCGTATCAGCCACCGCTGTGGTACCATCCTCCGCTGTTGTAACGTCCTCTATCGAGGTCGCCCAGACCAGCTCCGCCGTGGCCACCTCGTCTTTCGTAACTATCACCGCAACGGTCATCGCCACCAGCACCGACTCGGCAGGTATCACTACCGCGACGACCACCGGCGATGACGGTGACGATGGCGATAGCGGCGACGACGACGACTACCCGTGGTGCGACGAGCTCTAAGCCCGGCACGTCTTGGTAGCCTTGTAGTCAAAAGGACCCATCGTGCCTGGCAGCTCGCGCGTCCTCCTTTCTTGTCCCGCTCCTGTTCAGGTCTGATGTTGATTTTCTCATTCTTTACCGCTATACCTTCGTATACCTTCACACGCGGCGCGGTCCGTACTGTTACCCGTTATACCCTCGCGGCCTCTTGTTGTTTTGTCGTGTCGGTGCTCGCCGTTTGTCGCTGTCGAATGGATTGGAATGTAGCTCTGTGGGCTCATCGCGATTTGCGCTAATTTCGAAGAATGGAATGATGTTTGGTTCTCGCCGTTTTGGAACAAGCTTGGTGCTTTACTTATATCCAAAGCTTCCTCGCTAAGACCTGTGGCGCTGGCACAGGTCTGCCATGACTCCGCAATATATCAATACTTACCAGCTTGCGCTGTTTGATCTAAGCATATAGGGTAGTTATTGGATTGCTAGGTGCCGCTAGTGACGCGTTTACTTTTGAGTGAATCGCAGCTCCCTAGGCACACTTTCCAGTATGAGCTTTGTTATTTTAAAGGTTAGTTTGGAGTATAAACTCAAGCGCGCCCACGATGACGGCATCTGCGATCGAAGTGCGATCCTTCTCGAGCTTGCCGCGAGCGCACGCGTCTTTGCCGTACTTATCTCTATCTCGTCCACCACCATCTTCCTCCAGCGAAAACTCATACAGAGCTCACTACTCTCCGCTGCGACTCAGAAAAGACAGTGCAACCAGCATCCAGGTCAAAAAGCGCAATGCACAGCGTGCGCCGTGTCGGGCAAATTCAGGTCCGCCCAAAATATGCCGGAAGCATCTCTCGTCGATACTCGCATGTTGCATCTCCGTATGGCGCGCTAGGAGAGGGACATCCTGACTCGCTCCTCGTCTCGCCTCCCTCTCGTCCCGCCTCCCATACCCCCGTGCCTTCATCCTACGTCTTCAACTCCAGCGCGCCCAGCAGCACACCCGAGCCCCCACCCGGCGAGGACACACACCTTCCGGACCAGGAATGGGAGATCCGCACAGGTGCGTCCGACCACCGTCCTGCCGCGCCCCGGAGGATCTGATACTACGTGCAGCGCGCCGGGCGCGAACGTGCAGGCCGCGCGATCTACGTCCTCCAACAGACACTGCCTGACTTTTTCGAGCGCGGGCTCGTCTCCTCGCTTGAGATCCCGATCGTAGGGCACGACGCAGGCGGCGGGCAGGGGAAGGCGAAGGAGGGGAAGGAGGATCCCGACGTGGTGTGCATATACAGCCCGAAGGTCAGGCTGGCGTACCGCCCGCCGGTCGCGCTGCCCCCGCCGCTGCCGCGCGTGCTGCATGTCGAGGGTGCGTCGTGCTGCGTTCGTGTGTGAGATGTAAGGTGCTGATGGTAGTGTGTGTGTCTGGTAGGCCTCCAGCTCTACCTTGCGTCGTCGGCGCTCGTGAGGCATATGCTCAAGACGCTGTACACGGATTTGCATGTCGAGCTGCGGCAGGTGCGCGTACAGGGACCAAAGAATGGCAGTGCGTGCTTCGCTATCTTGGTGTTTTGCTCATAAGTTGGTCTCACATCTCAATGCCAAAGGCCCGAATGCAAGCGCACCCGTGCCGCCGGGTACAGCCCCTAGTGAGACAGAAAAGCCGCGGAGCCTGCGCGAGAAGAGCCTCTTCGTGGGGCTCGCTGTATCGGGGGTCGCGCGCGTGAGCGGAGCGCGCGGCGGGTGGACGGTGTGAGTGGCGTCTCGTCTCTCATGCTCATCTCTGGTGTCCTTACTCACAGGCTCGCACGCATAGGAACTCGACGTACCACTTCTCGCCGACGACGGGACTGATCAACTTGCACACGATCGACTCGATTGAGCCTGCGCCGCATGTGAGCGTGGTTGATGCGTTTCGCGCGGCGCTTGCGAAGTTGGGCATCGGGCCTGAGGGGCGGGCGAGCCCTGGTGCGGGCGCGGCGAGGACGCAGGGGGCGCGAGAGGGGGGAGTGTGAATTGTGATGCGGATTCAGTTTGAGCGTGCGGATGGACGCGAGGGTAGACGGGACGTCTGTCGTTGAGCTCGTGAGAGGTATACAATGCATTCTGCGTTACAGCACAAGGCGTTATTCCGTACTGTGTACAATCTCCACTCCGTACTCTGTGTTCTGATATGTCGTTTGGGATTGTTTTCCACTCAGTTGTACGCTTCGTGTTGTATCCCACTCCGTAGTTACGAGCGCACTGGATTGGATCTGGAGCGGGTGAAGAGTGTCAGACAAAGGCTCAATAGTTTCAGGCAGCTTATTTGGAACGAATGTTGCATGTTGACGGTCATACTATGTAGTAGCTGTGAGGCCGGCCAAATTCTGTGCTACCTGGAGGGACATATTGATTGTCTCTGTTGAGAGGACTGTGTCGAGAAATGAATGAGCGTAACCTATCAGCATCGTAGAGTCAAAATCGGTCTCCAATGCTGGTCAACGTTGACTCCTTTCTGTCCAGTCCTCTATGCAGGACTGTTAGCTCAAGACAGCTCACCGCATCATAGGCACTCGATGTGGATTTCATATATCTATATCCAGGAGCAGATCACGGTACGCGCGAATACGACAACGAAGAACGGCAATGATGACACCATGACAGATAGAGCCGTGCAAGGCTTGTCACATTGTGTGAAACGCCATGTTTGCATGCGGCGGCGCGATGACTGTGACTCTGTGTGACGCGACGCGAACGTGACGTCTATCAGCACGCGTTATGTGGGCGTCTAAAGCAGGAGTTGGGCGACGATGAGCACATCCGAATCGCGAGACATCGAGGCTGCAACCACCGCCATCCAGTCCGTCTCTCCTCTCTCTCCTCAACGCTGACCCCATCGTTGACCCCGTCGTGCTCACCAGGGCCCCCGACGCCAAGACCCGCCGCTACGATCGCCAGCTCCGGTGCGTCGTCTGCCCGCCACCCGTCGCCCGCTGACCCCGGCCTCGCAGCCTCTGGGCCGCTTCGGGCCAGTCCGCGCTCGAGTCCGCCCGCATCCTCGTTCTTTCTTCTTCCGCTACCGCCACCGCCGTCCTCAAGAACCTCGTCCTCCCTGGCATCGGCCACTTTGTGATCCTCGACGACGCCACAACGTCTCCCGCCGATGCCGGCAACAACTTTTTCCTTGCAGGTCCCGCTAGCATCGGCAAGCCACGCGCACAGGAGGCCGTGCCCCTCCTTAGGGAGCTCAATGACAGCGTACAGGGCGAGGCGGTACTCAAGAACGTCAAGGATCTGATCGCTACCGAGGACGGCCAAGAGTTCGTCCGCGGCTTTTCGCTCGTCATCGCACACAATCTGCAAGAGGACGTACTCGATGAGCTTGCACGCTTGCTCTGGGCAGACATCGCGAACCCGCCGCTCATCGTCGTCCGCTCCGCCGGCTTCCTCGCCGAGTTTTTCGTCCAGTTTCACGAACATTGCGGTGAGTGTGATTTACATCCTCCTCACGCGCGCCGATTGATATTCCGCAGTGTCCGAGCCGCATACGGACGAAACTCCACCATCGCTCCGCATTATTCGACCGTTCCCTGCCCTTCTCGAATGGGCCCGCAGCCTCGACCTCGACAACATGGACCCCACCGACCACGCCCACGTCCCCTTTGTCATTATCCTCGTCCGCGCCGTCGACGACTGGCGAAAAGCGGTGCGTGCCCTTTCTCCGCCCCATGCCCGAACCGCTGACTAACCACTTTCACTGGCAGCACGACGGCAAGCTGCCCGCCACATCCACCGAGAAGCAAGAGTTCAAGGCCTCAGTGCGCGCCATGCGGCGCAAAGCCGACGAGGAGAACTTTGACGAAGCCGAGGCGCAGGCGTGGCGGGTGTGGATGGAACCCGCGGTGAGTCTCCCGCGCGCGCACACCGTGCAACTCCCCTGACGCGCCGCAGATCCCGACAGACATCAAACGCCTACTCGCACTCTCTCCCCTCTCCTCATCATCGAATTCTGCAGAAACGCCATCCAATGCCATCACCCCACAGACGCCCAATGCGCCGTTCCACGCGCTTTTACGTACGCTAGGCGCGTTCGTGGCGGATCCCTCCGGTCCGGGGACGCTCCCGCTGAGCGGTGCGCTGCCGGACATGCGCACGGACACGGAGAGCTACGTGCGATTGCAGCGTGGGTATCGTGAGTGGGCGGGCGTGGAGAAGGTGCGCCCCTCCCGCATCTTGATCTTTTTGGTTGGTTGGAGCCTGATCTGTGTGTACTGATTTGTGCGTGTGTAGGCGCGATTCAAGGAGTTGCTGAAGGAGAAGTTTCCAGAGATCGAACCGTTGGTGGATGATGAGGCGGTGGATACGTTTGTGAAGAATGCGCATCAGGTGCGGGTGTTGAGGGGGAAGCGGTGGGGCGCGTGGGGGGAGGACAAGGAGGATGTTGGTGAGTGGCCGTGCTGGCTGTCTTTGTGTCGCTTTGCACCTCTGGCGTGGTGGTCACCGCCTGCGCGCGCTCGCATGATTTGTCCCTTGTCCTTGTCGCCTGCCGTTCGTCGCCTAGCGAGCGAATCGTCCGCGGCCGGGACAGCATTTCCAGTCTTGCTGGGTGGAAATCGAGCAGGGAGGCTAGCCGGGGAGTGGGATTTTGCGTCGCGCTTGATCCTCTTTGTCCGGTCGCAGGAATGTTTCTCGCTCCTCCGTCGTACATGCGTCCATGGGGCAGAGGTGGGACCGTACCTGTGCACTGGAGGGGTGCCGACAAGCTGGATTTGAGCTGTTGCTGACCGGGAGGCCGTCTCACCCGGCATGCCTGCTTTCTATGCCCAGAATGGGTATACGCGCGCGCGGCACAGCGGAATGGCGAGGGCATCATGTGCGGGCCGCCTAGCGGCTCGTGTGTGTTCTATCCTCGCCTTCCGTGCTGTTCAGAAGCGACAGTGTTGATGCTGTGCATCTCTTTATTGTGCTATCGACACGAGGGGGGTCTCATGCGAGTCTGAGGACACGCATACAGCAAAAACGGTGTGGAGGTTGGATTTTCAAGCTGCTGAGCCTGTCATCCCATTTCAATATCGTCTGCCTGAGCATGCCTATCGGCTCTCTCCCTCTCCTCTTGTTACTCGTTCACCGATGTTTTGCCTTGTACCTCATGTTCTGATTTTGATCAACTGTATGCTTACGACTGTTCTTCACAGCATCTTCGCTGCAAGTGTATCCTCGCGAGACGGCCACGCATCTCGCGCTCTCCGCGCTCGCAATTCTATTAAATGACAAGCCAGGTAAGCTCTGTTCGTTGAGTATGATTTAGGCTCAAGCTGATGGCCAACTTCTTCGACGTAGATGCATCGACAGTGACGACCGAGGCACTCAACAAGGAGGTGCGGAAGCTAGTCGGCGAGAACGTCGAATTTCCAGAAGATTTGGACGCTGCAATTGGCGAAATGTACGCTTCACCTCTACGTTTCTTCTCACTCCCTTCACGCAGTTCGCTGACCTCGCTGGTGCCACAGAGCACGCGCGCCGACTGCCGACCTTCCCAACACGGCGGCCTTCCTCGGCGGGCTCGTCGCGCAGGAGGCGATCAAGATGATCACGAAGCAGTACGTGCCTGTGAACGGGTCCTGTGTCCTTGATTTGGTGGATTCGTGGACGGGTGTGGTCGGACAGTGAACAAGATGGAGGAGGAAGTTGAAGTGATGTGGTCTGGTACATTGTGCTGTGTTGCTGTGTTGCTGTTTGCAGAACGTCAAACGTCGTACATTTGCATTGTTTAGTTCAATAAAAGGGAGAGCCAGTGTGGGACTATGAGCTCGTCTCTGCTAAGGCTAGGTTGATAGCACATACTCCACACCTCCGTACCAAGGCGTGAAGATAGCCCGGGACGTCCATTAACGTTAGTTGGCCACACCAGTCAAACTGGCTTCGGCACGGTATACGGTGCCATCGTCAAGCGACGCATATGCCAGTCCTCAAAGTCACCTCGGCCTGAATAGCAAGATCAGCACACTGCTTTACATGTATCAGTAACATGGATATTGGATTACACGTCCTGAAAACGAAAGGGAAGTCATGCAAGGGTAGTATATCATCAATACAGCAGGTGTTGCAGCTGAAGTCGCAGCAGGTCATCCACAGAACAAATACAGAGAGATGAAGAGACTAAAGGTATCATACGGCGATGAGTTCAACGCGAACCTCACGCCTTCTCTCCGATGGATGAATGCTCATGCTCATGTACTTCATGCTGCAGAATGACATTATCAGCGCGCATTACATCGTCAGGTTGTTTCGACGCCTACCTTCTCTCCAGAGTGAACGTGCACGTCCTCGATACGCTTCTTCCCGACATCCCTTGGGATACACCACGCCGTGAGCATGTTGCCCTGCGCAAATACGGCCTCGACCCCTCGAGCGAGCGCTGCGCAGTTTCTGGGAAGCAGAAGAAAATGTGGATGAAGGCCTACAACCATGCGAAACGACGATCAGTTGTCGCTCAAGAACACGTTAGCCATGGGACGTACCGCGAAGTTGAACGTGCCGAAGATGAAATAGGTCTTGTATGCTATTGATGATAAGCCAAGCGGGACGGCAAACGCGAGAGCGAGATTAAAGATCCAGTTTACGGCTGGATCATAATAAGCAAACAGATAATGTCAGCATCGCACATAATGAACCTGGGCGGTGCAGACCGGTCGCGAGAGAGACAGCCTTTGCGCGGACTTTCATAGGGAAGATCTCTGCAGGATACGTCCACGACACCTGCGAGTCATGCAATCAATGAATTTGAACGAAGAATGGTCATTTGAAACGTACAGGGCCCATGGTGATGGCGAAGCTATAGAAATTGTCAGCAGACAACCATCTGTAAGGTTTTCCGAAACTAACCTGCAGACAATAGGTACGAGCAAACGATGATCGCCTTCGTTGCGGCCATATTGCCCGTGATCACCGAAACTCCTGCCAAGGAATCGTTCATGAGCATTACCTCAGAGAACGCAGCGCAGTCACTAACTGTCACCATCGACTTCACCCCAGTGTCCGAAGCGGCCCTGCAGTCCACCCACGAGCATAAGCCAGAACCCCATGGTTCCGACAAGAAGCATCGGTCGGCGACCCCACTTATCAATATGAATGATGGCAGGAACTGGAATCAATCGCGAATGTGCAGCACAATCAGTTCCGAGGCTCGAAGGAACGTAATGAATGTGGCCAACACACAGGTAAGTGCAACGTTCAGAACGTATTGAATGGAGTCAGCGATGAGATTTCCACGTCGTCCGGTTAAACCTGCGCCTTCGAAGACGTAGACGATGTAGTACCTGTGCGACATCATAAGCAGAGCGAACAGTAACCACGGGACCTAAACAATGCCTACATCATGATGTTCATGCCTGTCAGCTGGCTCCACATCTGCAATGCACAGCCTAGCCCAACCCGACGCCGGATGCCCGGCTTGAGGAGATCCAAGTAGCTCTTTGTGCCTTCAGCACGCTCGAATGAGACTTGTTCCTGGATCTCACTGTATTCGAGCTGTACAAGCGAAGCCTTGGTATCGCCCCCGCCATGCAAGTCGGCAAGAATCTCGAAGGCTTCTTTGGAACTGAAATTAAGCGTCATCTAGCACTTCATCATCTAACGTTTTAGAAATCTGTTTACCGATAATGATCCACAAGCCAACGAGGACTCTGGAAGACCGCATATGCCAAATAAGCGGTCGGTAATGGATCAAAGCGGAAGAGACGCACCTCTGGGAACAACAACATGCCCATCGAGAGCACGATCGCAGGGATAATCTGCAAACCCCATGGAATTCGGAAAGATGCAACTCCATTAATGTACGAACACCCGAACTCGACGAACTACTGGAGCAGAATGCCCCACGTGATGGCCCTATCGAAACGTCAAACTCTGTAGGTCTCGACATAGACTCGGGCGCACGAAAAACCTGCTCACCACTGCTGCATGGCAACCAGCCTTCCTCTGATAGCAGGGGCAGTAATCTCAGATTGATATATAGGAACGATCGTCGAGGCAATTCCAACCGCAAGCCCAGATACAACTCGCCCCATAACGAGCATTCCACGGTCCTAGAATACGGGCGAGTCGGGTCAGTACCACGCGTTGCTTTTCACCGAAGCCGCCGGACCTTGCAGGAAGAAATTCGCGTCATGCATTGTGCAGCCGCAAAGATGACGTCTCTATGCCAGATACAGATGGGCTGCGGAATAGCGGGATATCTTACCACAGCGGCACATTGCAGGATGCTGCCGATAACCCATATCCATCCGCTCAAGATGACTGTTCACTTGCGTCCCAACTTGTCTGCGAGCTTGCTGACGGCCAATGCGCCGATGAAAGAGGTGCCAGGCATTGCGGCAACGATTGCCCCTTGATGGCTTGAATCCGGATGTCCGAAGGTGTCCTCGTAGGCGGGGTTCTGGCCATGTCATTGTAAGCTAAATTGAGATAAACAGCATCAGATGTAGGGAAGCTCACGTTAAGAACACCAGACATGGACGAGATGTCCAGTCCGAACAGCCCACCACCGATACATGCGAAGGAACCTGAAATCGATCAGAAATCGATGGGTGGATCTCAATGACTCTGTGTATAGAGCGATGCGGAATTGACTGACCCACGATATACTGTTGACGCAACACGTATATGATCATTGGTATTTGTTGAGGCTCTGTTTACTGAAACGTACCGGATTGGACGCGATTGTAGCGCTGTACTACTCGAGGAATGGATCTCAGCATCGACCGAAGAAGCGGGCGAGCAAAGCACGTACGCCTTTCCCCATGGTTACAATTCGGTTGAGACTCGATAGCCTGCGACTGGAGATTCAATAGGAAAGAGAAAAGCAGGGGGGAGGAAAACCGCGTTGGCGATCTCGGGGTTTCTTTTATTCAATACAGTTCCTCTTTAAACCTAGTCCGCCCTGGGCAGGTTGGACTGGTTCCTTCTTGTCCAACCATGCACATCCTCACATGCAAGCCGGGCCGGATGCAGAAAAACATGGGCGGCTGAAAAGAGCAACGGAGATTAAGCACGGCACTAGAGCAAGACGAGGGATCAGGCGACCACCGCGGTGAAGACGAGGTGATACGAGAGATCTTTCAGACCAGTCAGGTCATGAGCGAATACTTGCTTCCTGCCTGAGATTGATGGCGATCTGATCGGAAGTGAATGGCAAATGGCGGCAGCAATGAGATAGCAAGCAGAAGAAGGGCGTGAAGTAGCAAGCCTGGGTCAAAGGAACCGGTCAGAACCAGAGTCTGTCTTGATCAGTGTGGTTGCGGCAGCGGCATGGACGAGTCCAGGTCAGGGACGGCCATGGGATGCATTCTCATGTCAGCGTGATCTTTCCATCAAGATGCCGTACATCTGGAGCGTTGAGCATTGGCTCAATCCATAGATGTACACCAAGCCTCCGTGGCATGTGGATACGAGGTCGAGGTCTCATGACATGCGCGATCTCACGCGGAGTCCCCCACGCGTCCACCAGCGCGACGGTCGAACGTCTCCTCCTGTACGCAACTGGAAGGCAGCGGGCAATTAGAAATGTTCGGCCGCCAATTCGCGAGGACGATAAGCGAAGGGTACCGTCAGCCGACTTCAATAGAAGTCGACCTTGATGTTCGTCGTCAACATCACGTCAACAACGTCCTTGGCCTACCTGATATGGGTTATGCCCAACATGAACCTAAGCCATTCTCCGTCACACGTGAGAGCATGAGCGGTTCTTCTGTCGATGATGAATTGATACGTGAGGGTCTACACAGAGGGAGGTTGTCGACGATTGATGGTATGAGTCGCGGCGCGGGACCATATTTTTAGTGAAATACAACACTTCAACATATTTCTTGCCCTTGGAACGCAAAGACTTGCCTATATGACCGAATGTTCCATCAATTGAACGACCTATTCAGCGAGTGACTAGTTGGAAAACATGGCCATTGAGAAACTTACTTATTGTATGACATGCCGGAACCCTCGTTCTTACGAAGGATACAAATGCTTACGAGTAATTCGGTACCATGGTAATGCCATCTGGACAATCTTGAGACAATCGTAGACTATAGAGCATCTTAAGTCTACCAAGATGTTCCTAAACCTGCTATGAACTGGCGGCGTTGCATAATGAAGTTGGTCGACACGAGCCCGTGTCCAAATCCAAGTCGGACTCCTTGATTGGATACTTTTCCATTCTGCCCTGTGTTGCTCAGTGGGAGATTACAAGTCTGTTGCTATCACCCGGAGTTTAGAGAATAACAGTGTTTTGACATGGCCGAGTACCTCAAGAAGGGGTGGAAGACTCAAGAAGAGGATATACTAGACTGATGGTGTCCAGTTAGAACCGAAGTTGATGGCTGTTGATGGTTGCTCACGATCGAATCTCGGAAGCTGCCGTCTGATCTTACCTCAGCGCTCAATTTTCACGTAGACTGGCCCTGACTGGCCACATCCTCTATGCGCAGCTCCTTACGTCGGCACACTTACGGTAGTTGACGTTGAATGTTACTCGAAATTCGCAATCAAAATAGCACTTCAACTCTGCAGCTGCATGCCAAAAACTACGCCTTCCGTCACGTCTAGACCCTCAAATGCAAACAATCGCTGCGATGCGCATCAATATGTTCCAATGCAAAGCCGTAACAATGCTACCCCCATAAAAAGCTGAATATGAACCCTCTGCACACTACGTTAAACCCGATATAAGATCCGAAAATGCAAACGGGGAACCTCCGCGTAGCTCTGACAATCGATCCATCCTTCTGTAAGCCTTTCGTTCCACCTACGTCAATAAATCATTGTTTCCACTTGGTGTTTCGCGCTCACATCACCAACATCAGCGATGCAACCATGAAGTTGAGCTCCGTTTTGCGCGACCTTCAAATACGACTGGTTCGGGCAGCTTGAAGACCGGGGTCTCCCCCGATTGCACCTTCTTAATAGCACCGGGTGGAAACGTCATAAGCCGATTCGCGTTCAACTCGATCCCGGTCGCTGCAAGTTGGCTGAAGTACGCGACAGAAGGACGTGCCGGGCCGGAGAACAAGATTGGTTGTGGAAGTCGTCCAGGCCGTGGTGTCGTCGGTGCTGTGCTGATGCGTAATGCCTCGTTTGCGGACGCAAATCCGAGCCGAATGCGCGATAGGACGTCGTTAAGGCGCTTAAAATGGGGTGCGAATGTCTTTTGAATCAGTTGCGTCCTCTGCATCGCAGGACCAACAGGAAGGGAGGAATGTATGAGGCTGAGGCACATTGTCGCAAGTTTGATTGCTGCAAGCGCCGCAATTAGGACCGAAATCGCCTCAAAATACTAGCGTACTCACAGGAACGGTCAGCGTGGTAGGTTTACAGATGGGTAGAATATCCTTGAGTGCCAGTAGCTCATCCATACGTGCTGCAGCTATATACGCAGACATTAGAAGACGATCATACCTTAGTAAACATCGTCATGCTCGTCGGCGTGATGAGCCACTTTCGCCTGCCGACAATCCCGAAACCCGGTCCACAGATGGTCCAAATATGGATTAAAACACAAGCTCTCTACGCAGCCACTAATTTAGGCCGATCTACGGGATACATCATTGCACGTAGAACAATCTCGAAATCAATAGATAGACGCATCCTAACACTCAGTCAGTCTTCGTTAACGCGTTCACGATGGACTCTAGTCCGCGGTTCCCACCGAGACGTGCGAGCTCCTCGCGCACTTGTCGCTCGAGCTTATCCAGCACCATGCGGGTGTATTCGAACGACTTCGTGCGGTATTCCAAATACGCTACGGCATGATCTTTCAGCGTCGGCGTGGTCGGACGTTTCTGCAGGATACCTAATCCATAATGCCACGATCATTTAGCTCCGGTCCCATGGGGAATCAGGCGGACACGCTTACTGAGGAGCGACCGGTCTTTCGGGTTATAATTAACGCCGTGCACGATAGGGAAGGAGAACTTGCCCTCGGTGAGGTCTTCGGCATAGCCCTTGTTTGCGGCGTACTGTACAACGTGCGTCAGCGTGTTTGTGACGTGTATGTATCGATCGAGACGGAAGATTACTCACATTCTTGGATTGTAGGTTGCAGTAATCGTCCCTAATCTGGAAGTAAATTCCAATGAGATTCACGAGCGGGATATAGTCGCTGGGAGTAAGCCGTTAGCACTTGGGCTATGTCACAGGATTGTTGACTTACACTTCGACGTTCTTCGTAGCATTTGCCATCATGAGCCGTACAGCCAATCGGAAGAGCCCTCCCGTCTCTGTTTGATGCTTTAGCCAACGTTCCTATGTCAACAAGATCGTAACTATGCTCACTGTTGCTGACCATTGCGACATACTCGCGCTCGGACGGACATGTCAAGGTATCTCGCCAAAGTAGGTCGAGACCCTGCCCACGATGAAGGTTCAGAAGCTCATCTACATTATGTATTGTAGGTCTCAATGGCTTCTGGAACGCATGATGTGCACTAACCGATAACAATGGAATGCAGATCGACGTCGATGCAAGTTGCCTGCAGCGCGGATAGCTCTAAGAAGGCTTGGAAATAGACATAATTTGCCGTGTTAATGACTTGTGGAACTCCGTAGATCTTGTGCGCGACTGTGGAAGCGAAGCGAAGCGGTACATTGTAAGCATTTAGATTCATAAGAAGCTCACGGTATCGACTGACCAGGATTGCCACGGCGCATTTGGGAGTCATCCTCCACGTCGTCCACGAGCAGACTAGCGTTATGCAACATGCCGACGATCCGCCTAATAATGTCCAGCTTGTCCTCGGGCACATCGAGCCAAGCGTTGAAGGAGTTGATCATCTGACTTCGAACCTCTTTTCCAGACTGAGAGGTGAGGTACGTGTATGGCTCGAGGATGCTCTGTTTTTTTAATTGGTAGCGGTCATGGGACCTGTCAAGGTCAAAGCCACCAACCTGCTCATCGCATTGGCGCCATTGGGAGTGCTTTGCGAGGGTGAACTTCAGGTTATCGTAGTCGAACGCGTCGATTCCTCCCATGTTGAACTTGTGTGTGGCAGAAGGAAAGGATGGAAGAGCAGGTCAGTAGTGGCTTGCGAGCGCCCTCTGCATTTGTACATGTGCGTTACCATTCAAGACGGTGACTGGAGCAGCTGTTACGTGACTAAGTCGCATATGCTCTACCTGCAGTTCCTTGCCTATCTTTTCGCTCAAGATCATCCGCATTTCCAAGCATCCGCGCACCTATACCGATGGGGATGACAACCTGCATCAAGGTGCCGTGAACATGCGGCATATCCGACGTCGGAGTGGCTGACGCCACCATCAATGCTGATTAGAGGCAACACCTGTGCGGGATGGCTCACGAAGAGCCAGTAGGATGGATCAGACGGCCCCGCTGCAACCAGCGGATGCAGAGATCAATTGGGCGCGTCGAAGGACGCCGGAAGATGGCGTTTCGCGATCGGCGCGGTCAGTGTTTCCGCCGGCTCTGAGAGATTGAAGTCTGAGATCTGATCAGGCACCGCTGTCCATCCAAATGGACATGTCATTCCTTGTCCTTGATCGCAGCCACTTTCACGAGCCGGCACCTCATGGTACGTGCGCCACATACCAACTTGTTATAGGAACGCAATGTTTGCTTAAACGTATCATCACTTATCGCATCGCTACTCTCCATCAAGCGTCGCGCGCATTTGTTTGATGCAAACCGTTTTGCATGTCTAGTCCTTGCTTGCTCTTCGCTTGACACGAGCTTGGCTTGCCTGACACATGTGGCACCACGAGGAGGGCATCATACGATGCGCTTCACTCGAGCAGGCCATATTACATAGATCGAAGAACAGCGAAGTCCCCGTAAATCACTCCTGGCTGTCATTTCTGTTCGAAGTCGGTATCATGGCTGTCGACGTCTCCTTCACTCAAGCTGCATCCGTCGTCATCCTCGGTGCAGTTTCGCTCTTTGCGTGTTATCCCCAGCTCAAAGCTCTTTTCGGTGGAAACGTGACACTCCCGCCTCTCGTAAAGTACAAGGCACGGTGGCTTGAAGTTCATGCGCTGTATAGTTCGCTAAGTCATCCACAGTGGCCTATCTTGGGCTCTACCTTCGACTTCATCAAGGATCCTGAAGGCTTCACTCGCGAAGCGTGCAAGAAATATGGGCCCGTCTTCCGGGTATACTTCCGTGGTCACGTTCAAGCCGTAGTCGGTAAAGACCACGTTAGAGACATCTTCCTCAACCCCGCCTTCAGCTACGAGGTGATGGTCCATTATTCAGTAAGAGTGTTGTCAACTTTAATTTATTATCTAGGAAGCTGTCAAGGACGAGTTCCGCCTCGCTGACATGTTGGGGACTTCCAAGACTAAATTAGAGCCCCATCGGCTGCTGGCGGGCGTCCTCACCCCGTACCTTGCTCGGTTCATCCCCGTGCTCTCCGGCGTGCTGACAAGAGGCTTTGATGTCGGCGTGGGCATGGAGCTGGCTACACCCAAGCAGATTGAGGATCCTTCAGGCCTTATTTCAGACGTCATCGCTCGTGCTACTACTGTCTGCTTCTTCGGCGAGGTACCTTTCAATGATGTAGTTTCAGCCAGACCTCTGACTGGACGAAATCAGGGACTTGGCACGAACCCCGAGCTCATTCCCCTCTACAAGGACTTTGCTCTCTCGATCGGCCACTTCGTCAATCGCAAGAGTCCCATCCTGGCCCTTTTCCCTTCCATCGCTAAGCTGTACATGTGGTGCGCCCCGTTTCCACGGCTAGTTTGTACGCAGCACTGATGATGTCGCCAGGATCAAGTTCACGTTCTCATCGCCCACGGCATCTTACCGCGCCACTGTCCTGAAATGTGAGCCGGTGTCGCACCTCAGTCATTCTCTTCATCAATTGTTGGCATCATAGATACCATGCCCGTTGTGAACGAGCGGCGCGCCAAGATGGCAGAGCTCGGCGACGATTACGATGCTCCCGTGCGTATGATCACCGCATTGATTGCGATCGCATAGTGCTAATACGCGGCACAGCTCGACTCTCTGCAAGCGTACCTTAACATGATACCGCCGGACCAGCCGATCGACGAGATGGAGCTCGGCACGATGATGCTCACGCTCGTGTTCTTCTCCATTCACACCACGACGAAACGCACGACTATCTGTCTGTACAACCTCGCGAAGTACCCGCAGTTCCTGCAGGAGCTGCTGGACGAGCAGAAGGCGATACTGGGCGACAATTGGATGGATGGAACCGTGACCTTGGACCACCTTAAGCGACTTGTCAAGCTGGACAGTTTCATCCGTGAGAGCTTCCGCACGGGTGGTCGGAGCATCGCTCTGCCGCACAAGATAGTCGGAATGGACGCATGGGCACTGCCAGGTGGATTTGTCCTCCCAAAGGGTATGCTTCTGTCGCATTCAGCTGATGACGTGCCGCTCACCCGCATGGCTAGGCACGGTGGTGAATATCAACACTGACGACGTGTACTATTCGCCGGAGCTGCAGGGCCCGAACCCCGAGGAGTTCAATGCGTGGCGGTTCGTCGGCACCGACAAAGGGGCAGCACGTATCGGACCGGACATGGTCGCGTTTGGATTGGGAAGGTACGCGCGGTGTAGCTTTTGATTCCAGACCATGAAGTGCGCTGATGTTCTCCCACGTTCTACAGGCACGCATGCCCCGGCCGATTTTTCGCTGTTCACGAGATGAAGATCGCGCTGAGCCTGATCCTGAAACGCTACCGCATCAGCTTTCCTGAGGGGGTGAAGCCGTCTGGATCGGGTCCACTTGTCTTTACTCCTATGCGAGCACTGTGATGGTCCTGTTTACGTAGCTTTGCTTGATGAATGTGGAGTTCGTTCGTTGTTGTGATAATTACCTTGTAGAGTGCAAAGCTCGCGGCGCACGTGGCACCGTAGCGCGAATGCAACAGATGTTTCCACCCACAAAGCATAAGTCATCTTCTGATACGATAGCGTTCAGACTGATACGGCAGAATGGTTAGTGCAGCGTCTCTAACATATCGGGAAACGACGCTGCCAACTGGTATAAGGTGCAAATCTAGCTTCGTAGGACGTGATGGTGGCTGCGATGGCCAACAACAGGCATCGGAAATGCAATGTGACACCCTTTGAAATTGCACAGGTGTATGCGGCTAACTGAAACGACATGTTTCATAGTCTAAATGACATCTGCTGCGGGACAACAGGCACTGATGGATGTCACCCCCGCATAAGGCAACTGTGTTTCCATATATGGGAATGCCGCCGGCAATAAGCTTGCAATTGGCATGTTCATATTGCAAAGTGCTGATATGAAAAGATGGTAACCCGATAGAAAGAATCAATTGATGAGTTGAGCGGTGTTTCAGCAGTTACGTTGACTTGGTGCCTGTACACCGGCAGTACCCCACTGTTGATGCGTGATTGTCTTACAATTCCAAGGCACGTTCCTTATACTTCGGGTTCTCGCCCTGCGGTTCTATTTATTTAATCAAAAATATAATCAAGCAGACCATACTCTATTGGAGTTGAGTTGTAGATTTGTGTCACTATTATCAGCAGATAGATTGTTCTCCACCTGCATGGGCGAGAAGCTGTCACCGTCCTCGCGCTGGCTGCGGCGAAAGTGGGCATGGGCAGGATGTCTAACTCAAGTTGCGCATTGCGTTACTCACGGTTTTAGGTTCCATTCTCATTGTGAGCCTGTCTTTACTACTTCTATGCACGCGTCGAAGATTGCGACGCATGGCGAACTATTATAACATTTGTGGATGTACTGAGGTGCAATCGCTCAAGCATCAGGAAAACTCAAATCGGCTTGTGGCTCGAGAACCTTCTTTTTGACTTGTTCTGGCTGGATTTGGATTGTACAAGCCAATAAGCACATGATAAGAAGCTCCCAATACGGAGAAAAGTCTAAAACAAGGAGGTCCTGAGACTTTCTCGGACTTCCTGTCTTTTTTTTGGTGATGGCAAGCGGATAGTAAAAGCATCATAAGCCGGATTTGAGTTTTCCTGATGAGTTTGCTCCGCTAGATATCCCAAACCTGATGTTTATTGGCCAGTACTGATTGTTTCAACAATCACTATCTAGACAACTATCTGATATCGCTTGTATACCTCTATTGCGACATAGACTACGGCCACTAGCGTCTGCGAGTGGAAGCTTAGACGATAGAGCTTCCGCGGGCTGTTCTCGTCCAGTACCCAGACCAATGCCGTGGCGTAAAGCGATGCGAACACAATATACGCATTCTGATAGAATGCGAGTATAGTGGCGGCATGCATAGTAGTTAAGAGGATCTTTGTCTTGAACACGGACTTGAGGAGCACAGGAATTGTAGGGACTTGCAGTTCCCAGTCTTCCGTGAAGTCACGGACGTCGGCCATTACCTGGAGACAATGAGTAGGAGGATAGACAGCAGACCGAAAGGAGCATACGGCGTGACATGTGCGATTGATGGTGGACCAAACGACGATTTGCATTGGCGTCCACAGACCGGCTGCAGTGGTTTCCGTTGGGAACGAGCGAGACAAGATTGAGTGAACGACAGCGAACGTGCCGCATCTGTACAGGCACTAGTGTATGAACTGCCATAGTGGCTTTGATGGAGAGCTGAAACGCACCCTCGGATTATACCGATGAAGACAGCCTTCATGCCCGGGATGCGTTTGATAACAAATCCGTTCCTGTCCGCATGGGCCTTCGCCTGCTTTGTCTTCTTCACTCTCACCGGAGCACCGGAGCTCGGATTCCAGTGAAAAAGAGTGGTATCCCATAGGATGGCCGGAGTGATGAATGCCATAGTAATGAGCCAAGTCGAGATCGGGGACATCAGGAGCGCGAAGACCAGGAGAGTGGCGCTGGAAAGCAGCAGCAGGCGTGCGCGAGTGAACACGGATATGACAGTCGCGTCTGCCGTCTTCTTCGCCTGTACAAGTGCGGCGGCTTGGTCATTGTAGTGGTCGAGCCCGATGGTGATGACATCGGACGTGACACAGATGAGCACCTGAATGAAAATTAGCGGAGATGCTAGAGAATTTGAAGGTAATACTTGCGGGTCTCCAGTCAAACACACCGTATATCGAACGCGAGATGAAGCTCGAGAGAGCGAGGCTCCCGATCGAAGTCATGATAGGATGACCGAGCAACTCATCCTTCAGCTTGGGGAGCGTAATGAGAGGGGAATTCTGCGAGGACATCTTCGATACACGTACTGGATATCTCGTAGGACTCTACCAGGGTACTTTATATCCCCCTCGTCATTCGTTTTCCTGGTGAGTGCGTGATCATGCTACCTGAAGCCCATCCCAATCAATCGAATGCGAAAGATTAAGCGGTCCGAATAATGTACAAACCAGTTTTCCATTGCCTGTGACACCTACTCAACTTTATGTGACAGTCTCTCACGTTAGATTGATCCGGACGCGAGTAGGGGTGGCCAAGGAACACCACCATCAAAACAGTCACATGCCGGCGGCGCCCAAAGGCGCGCGCTTACAGACTCCGCCGAACCCATCACCGCGTTAGCACCCACTGCCATGGTCAGTGCTATCCTCTCCCTTCTACCGCCATGAGCAACCACCCGCCTTCCCCTCCTCCCACTGCGAGTCAAGACAATAGCGAGCTCATACGTGATAAAGACGAGCCCCCTCAGCAGGATGATGCGGAGGCGGCCACCGAGCTCTTGCATTCGATGAAGCCTTGGGAAACACACCTTGCGTTCCTTAGGTATCGAAGGTGTAGCCGTTGTCACATTGGTGCTTTTTTGACAAGGGGAATAGTCTGGCCGCTGGAGGATTTCTTGCGGCGTTGGATCAAACGATCGTCTCGACCTCCATGCCCACTATTGCTTCGGAATTCAACAAGCTGAACGAGCAAAGCTGTAAAGACTAGTTGTTTAGCATACGGCGCTCAATGCTCACTCTTACCTACCCCATTCTAGGGATTGCCACGTCATATCTCCTTACATCTACAGTATTTCAGCCATTCTTCGGCCGTGCTTCGGACCTCTGGGGTTGCAAGGTATGCTGAATAACTAGTCTGACAGAGTGTTTAGTACCAGCTCAACACCCATCGTAAAGGCCATGCTAATCACAGCCATTGTACTATTCGAGTTCGGCTCCCTCATGACTGCTACCGCTCAGAATTTTATATGGCTCTGCTGTGCTCGAGCTGTTGCTGGTACGCAGCATGCTACATCTGCAATGGCCTCATGTTGACGATTTTACACGATAGGCATCGGTGGTGCGGGTCTCATGGTATGTGGTGCAGGCTCTGCCTCTGCTCAGTCGTGATGCTTATATTCGTGCCACAGGTTGTCATCATGATTATGATAAGCCAGTAAGCACACGGGTTAGGCACCTGGAAGTGTTGTGCTTCCGCTGACATCGATTTTATGTAGAATGGTGCCGCTGCGAGAGCGAGGGAGGTACATGGGAGTGATGTATGCGCGTCTTGCTCTAGCCAACGTGCTTGGCCCTGTACGTTCCCTCAAGAGACATACCACATATGCATGCTGATTACATAAACAGGTTCTCGGTGGTGTGCACTTTCTACATTCGATGTTGTATATGATGCTGATCTAATAACCCAGGTATATTCACGCACGACGTCACCTGGCGCTGGTGCTTCTATATCAACCTCCCCATCGGTGGGCTTGCCGTGGTGATCATCCTTTCCCTCCTGCACAAGATCCCGGACAGAAAGAAAGAGCACGTCACGCTTGCGGATATCGATTTTGGTGGCATCGCGATCCTCTCGGCGTCCGTTGTATCTCTGCTCCTCGCCCTGTCGTGGGGCGGCGTCGTCTATCCATGGAGCAGCAAGCAGGTCATTGCCCTGCTTGTCGTAGGCGGGGGGCTAATCCCTGTCTTCATTGTTTATGAGAACATGGTACCTCATTACCCTGTCATTCCGCTCTCGATGTTCCGCCATCGCAACGTGGTCATTGCGACTGTGAATTATTTCTTTACTAACATGTCCGTGTATGGGCTAGCGCTCTATATCCCGACCTACTTTCAGCTAGTCAAGAGAGACACGCAACTGATATCCGGTCTTGAACTACTGCCCTAGTGAGCGTGCCTTTCGTGAACCAGTCATAGAAGGACTCACTTTGATCGTGCTCCAGTATCCTGCCGCTCTCCTTCTCCTCCGCTCTTGTCGGCATTCTGGTATCCAAGACAGGCTGGGTCCGCCCGTGGCTCTGGGCCGGCGGCATGGTCAACCTCCTCGGGAACGGGCTGTGCATTCTGATCAACGGGCGCACAGCCCGCGGCGCCGAGTTCGCGTTTCTGATCATCGCCGGTCTCGGGATGGGCTTCGTGTACCAGACGAACACGCTCGCGGCACAGAGTCAAGTTCGCCGCGATGAGCTGGCGAGCCTGACGACGATGACGATGTGGAGCAAGAGCCTGGGCGGGATTGTCGGTATCTCAGTGCAGGATAGTATCATCCAGAATATCCTGAAGAAGCGAGTGATGGCGAATCCTCTTTCTGCTCCGGTCAGACGTTTCCTGTTGTCAGGAGATGTTATTTGCTGAGTATGCTTTTAAAGTACGTCGGCGCCATCGCCTCTGTATCTACGATCGAGGAGACGCCTGCTGCTGTGCAAGCAATCATCCGCGGAGCATATGGTGTCGCCTTCTCGGACATGATGATTGCCACCACGGCCCTTGTGGCTGTCGGTTTTGTCGTGTCACTCTTCACTGCTAAAGTGCCGTTGGGGAAGAAGGTCAAGCCGGAGAAGGAAAGAGCGGGAGGGGATGTCGAGCTGCAGAGGACTGCTTCACGGCAAGTGTCAGCTCCGGATACGAAGGAAATTTATCCGCTGGAGAAGAACAATGCAGGCCAGGAGATGAGCGAATCGGAGAGGTCGACATGAGTTTCGTCATCCCATCATATGATGTTATGTGGTTTGTCATCAGAATTAGATGAGAGAGATATGCACATATGTAATTGCTCTATCCACGAAGCTCGGCGAATGTACGGAGCGAGCGAATCATTATTCCATTCTGAGGGGGGTTGATTTACAAGACAACAGAGGAGCTGGAGAGGGCCACTCTGGTATCGCATGGAGGAAGCCATTAACATTAATGTACATCTCTATGTTCAGCCACCCGCGCGCTTGCGTGCATGGGCGCCAGCCTCAGTCAGCCACAGACTTGTCTCCCCCTAGGCAGACCTATAAATATTGTTTTCAGTGCGGGGAGGACAGGAGATATAAAGGTGTGCTTCACGCCATTTCGAACCCGTGTGGCCTCGTTATGGAAATGCCGAATGTGCGTGCCCCACTGTGAGGGTGGGATTTTGAAACAGACTAGCCACAGACGCGTTGTGCTGAGCCACATCTGTCGTGTCACGTTCCATCGCGGCGAAGCTTGTTAGTCGCCATATTCGACCTGTCCACGTCCGGCGATATGCATGTGGTGTCGTGCTCATTTTTGATCATCCACCGGCTCATCCGAGTGCTCGATGTGCATTGTCAAGCACAGCCATAGTCTCCCCGATTCGGAACGCGGATAATGGGCGTTTCCCCGGAGAGCCTGCTCCGGAGCTACGGTTCGCATAGCGCGGACATCCGCATCCTTTCCTTATATTTATACCCCCACTTCTTGTTGCACTACGCGCCTTGGTTGCATTCACTTTTGGGCTCTCACTATGGTCTTCACTTTGACTGCGGCATCCGTGGTTTCGATCGTGATCGAAGGCATCTTGTATGGTGAGCAGCACCGCTTTCAGGTTTCAAGCTCGCTGACTGACGACAGGATCACGTTGTAGGTCACTCTTGTGTACTGTTTGGAACTACCGTTTGGGCGCTGGTGTACAGGCGGTCCCGGACGCAGATCAATCGTTTGATGGCTGCAGCCACACTTTTGCTCTTTATCCTGAGTACGATGGTAAGTGCTGCAACGTCCGACAAGCAAATCCATTTATACATTTGCTGCAGCACATCGTAGCGGATGCAAGACGCCTCTATGTGGGGATCGTGTTGTCTAAAGACGCTGAGCGGTATTTCCAGGATCTCGAGACTGAGATGTGGAAGAACAGTGTGTATGGAGTAGAAACTCTTGTCGCCGACGCTGTTCTCGTTCGTATCCTCTTTCAATATTCCTGCACACTGTGAATATGCGGTGAATCTCACTTTGTTGCCAGATTTATCGCTGCCACGCTGTGTGGCAGAGACTCTGGGTGATTGTGGTCCCTGTTCTCGGATGGTGCGGGATCGTGGGTGAGCTTTCTGCTCGAACTGGTCTATGCAGTATGATACGAGGTTTTTTTCCTTCAGTCACTGGAATTCGTTCCAGTTGGGCGATCGGACACATCAAGACGAACGCCAATGAAGTGTTCGACGATCTGACGTTTCAGTGGGGACTCGCGTTTTACGCGACTGCTCTGGCGACAGATTTCCTTGCAACAGGTGCTCTCGCACTTTTTATCTGGGGCACTCTCGACCAGTATTGATGTAATCTGTAGGTCTCTTGGCGTACAAGCTGTGGCTAGCCATCCGCGCGGCGTCACGAATCGACGGTGGAGCGGTTCGGTGCCGGGGAAGCTCCTTGAAGTCTGCAATGCTTGTTGTTCTCGAATGCGGTGCGCTGTACTCGCTCTCCCTTCTCGTGACTATCATTGTCTACACGTTGTGGAGCAATTCCGTCTTCGTCATGATCGACGTGGTGAGCATCGAGTCTTCTCTACGCCAGGAGAAGTTAGATGATAAATTGTATACATGCGCAGGTTGGCCAAATCATTCCGATCACGTTTTACATCGTGATTATAAGGGCGACGATGGCGCGGGTCATGGAGGACCATCAGAGTCGGACCGTGTTGAGCGAAATCGTGTATGCGCCGCCGTCGTTAACAGAGACAGCTCAGTCAAAAGTCAGTGGACCGACCGGAGCACATCTCGTGCGATGGGGCGCGTGTGCGGGTGGGTCAAAGGAGGTGGGTGGCGTCGACGGGGAGGGGAAGGAAGGTCAAGTTTTGTGGGGGAGCGATTGCGGTATGCAGGTGTGAGATGTGCTGCGAGTCAGAGCGGGAGGGAACGGATGATATGACGAGTCTTGGCGTGGCTTCAGACCCAGTTGAACAGAGGGTGCTCGTTCGACTTGCGATACCCGCCGAATGCAATTGAGTGCAGATGAGCTTGCATATCGCAGATGAGAGTTTAATATTTAATGGTCTTGCATGATGCTTTCCGCGCTTAGTGAGTGCCACGAGCGTAGTATGTATCACAATAGCGAGTTCATCTGTAGTATCTTCATATCTCCGTCTATCTGCTCATGCTATTCATTCATAATGTATACACAAAGCATACTCCAGACCCATTGTCCGTCAGCGCATGAGTATACATGAAGGCCTCAGACATTTGAGAAATCAGCAAATCGTGGGTACCCAGGTTCGCTTCTGTTCAGCTAGGTGTCTAGGTGTCTAGATACTAGGCACCTGATGCTATGATTGGAGCTCAACTAGAACATCTATTGTCCTCGACTCATTAAACGTCTCAACAGAGAGATACTGGCGCATGCCGGCATGTGAGTGACAGGTATCAATAGAGTACCCTCATCGCTGATTGTGGTTCCATCAGTTTTCTCTGAATATCGAAGACCCTGTGCTGTTACAATGACTACTGATAGATACTATCGAGCTGAGGTAGTGGTCAACTGATAGCATAGTCGTCACATCGAATCGATATACCTTGAAATCGCTTTCCTATCTTTTTCATGTGTGTATCCGCCTGCCGTTGCAAGAGAAGTACTGGCGGTACGGCCTGCTGTTTATAGCACATTAAACGCTATATCGCGGTTATGCTCCTTGACGAGCGCGGATGCATAAAAAGAGGCTCATCTATTCTAACTGCCAGAAGGTGTTATTCTGTGCAATGTCGTATGAAACGTGGATATGCCAGGCAAGGTTTGCGACAGAAGGCTCAAAGCATGTGCCTATATTCCAAACGTGCTGGGTGCGGTTTCATAATTCTCACCTTGTTCAGTCGATCTTTGAAGTAATTGAATCTATCTCGAAGAAGCTTGATACTCTGCAAGATTGCATGAGCCCGCACCAGGTAAGAGCCAAATCATGTATGGCTGATCAGCGCGTTACCTTGCGCCACAGGCGCGATAGTGTGTGACATTCGCGTCTGGTCACATTGATTCTGTCATTCTCAACGCGCGTTTCTAACACTGCGATGAGCAACCAGACGCACCAGTTCGGCGACCTCGCCACACAGCTGCTCACTGAGTCTCGCCGCTCGACAGCGACGGACACCTTGCTCAAGTACAACGACGTCCTCGTACGTGCTATCGTTCGCGAGCAGCGCCAACTCGAGTCCCTCCTCTCCGCCGCCCTCGCCGCCCAGCCCAACAACGACGCCGACTCCGCTGCGGAAACTCCCACCCTTCCTACCGTTCTGCTATATCAGACTGCTATTTACCGCAATAAGCGCTGTCTCCTTGCTTATCACGCCCACCGTATCGACCGTCTCAAGGACCTCTACTGGTCTGTCGGTGGCGCCCTGCCTCTTCTCCTCTCTATACCTTCAGGCGCTTCAAATTTTGCTACCGACTCTGAGCATGGTCAAGCACCGCAGTCAAACACCAGCTCTGCACCGGCTGATATCCGCTCCAAGCTGTCACCACATGAAGTGGACTTCCTTCGCTCGTATAACACGTTGATACTCGAACTGCGCACCGACGCGTTTTCATCTGTCTCGTCAGGCTCCGGCGGCCTTGCGGAGGACATTGACTTGATGGCACCGATCATCCGCCCGCCTAAGGACCTGCACATTCTCGTGCGCGTAGTGCGTGATTGTGGAGTAGTCCATACCGAGCAGGGCGCGATCGACTTCCGCAGAGGACATCGCTTCTTGGTTCGACGCGCCGATGTGGAGCATCTGATAGTACAGGGATTCTTGGAAGAGGTGTAACACGGTCCTAGCTGAAAAAGCATAAGGTGCGTAAATCATCTTCATCGCCCGTATTCACATAACCTCATGCGCATGAAGTTTTTCTACCTACCACTACTAGCATACGCCAGCCCGTCACCGTAACCGATACAGAAGATACCCGACGTTGGAATTTTTGGCAGTACCTTTGCATCGTTGAGTACGCACAACGAGACGACCTTCGCCCTCTTGCTGTAAGCGACCTTTAATGATGGTTTCCGCGCATTTTGCCGATGCGTGCACAATCATACCACCTCAACATACAGAATCTCCCTCTGTTGCCGCGCTCAGTGTAGCGTACGTCGGATCGTCGCACACGAACAAACGCCAAACACTTGTGATATTTGCCGCATGCAACTCGTCTTCCGCTTTCGAATCCTGCTGGGTAGTCAGAATGCATTTCCCGACTATCTTCTCGCTGCATTGTGGAAATTATCATTGCATAACCTCATTTTCTTTCGAGCAACGTTGTCCCGGAGCTAGGCACTACGCATCGACTTCGCAACGGAGCGTGCGGACACTTAGAATCCCGTACAATCAAGCTCAAGCACGCTGATTCAATTCAAAGGGCCTGTATTCCATACTACTTCTTTGAGGCTCTAGCCATGCGGCCGTTCGAAGAAGCGAATTACCCTGCTGCAAGTAACAATTCGGATCCTGTTGGTCATCCAATCTCTCCTGTATAGTCCTTAAGCAACAGAGTCATGGACATACACCGTCATGGATATTTAATTCGATGGTCGATGATAGTAATTGACCTGAAATCTACGAGTTACTCGGCTGTAAGTTTCTTAACTGCAAAAACAAGCAAAGCGCAGAACGAGGCGAAATCGGCGTGCATCCCTCTTCGGAGAATTTTTCCGTCATTCTACCTCTCATCAGCCTGGAGGTAAGCAAGACCGATTTCGACAAGAAGATATCGAGCGCATGACATATCAATAAGGCAAGCATGAAGAAGATTACACCGTAGCATAGCTGCGGAAGAGCGCGAACGTTGGACGAGGGACACGAAGGCTAACGACCAATACACAGGAGCGCAGAAGGATAGCCTCAATACATATGTAAGCCACCACCATCAGCCGATCGCGCGGACAGCTGAACACTTTAGTTGTAGTGCCAGTTTGCGTAGATCACGCCGACGTCGAGGCCTGCGAAGTGCTCGAACAGGCTCTCGCTCAGATCGAGCCCGCCGGAAGGGCAGCCGGGGCACTACATTCAGGTAAGCACGTTGTTGCCCATTGTATACGAGAATTACTGACCTCATCCGCGATGGTAGCCTTGGCAGACTTGCCCTTGTAGTCGATCGTGATGGACTTGAAGCAATGCTTGCCACCATCGTAGAGCTACATACGGTCGCGGTGATTCATTCATCGGAGTCCTTGGGAGGAGGAGATAAGGTCACACTCACGGCAGAGTCCAGTGCGACGATCTACATGCTATTGGTAAGTCTCTCAGATTGTCATGCAGTCAATCGCACTCACATATTCGCTGTTGGTGACAGTCTTGCCGCACGAGCCGCTATCGAATACGTAGATGTCAAGGCGACGTTATGGCGGCGCGAAGGTACACTTACGTTCCCTCAGCGTCATACCAGGTCAACCTAGCGTTGCTGTAGGACTGGCGACGCTCGAGCTGGTTCTCGGTGGCGTTAAGCGGGCTGCCGTGGGCGAAGGAAGCGGCGAGCGAGATAAGGGCGAGTTTAGCGAGGGTCGAGAACTGCATCTTGGTCTTGTCTGGTTGACTGAGTAGTGCGACTCGTCGGTTGGAGTAACTCTGGGTGAGTAGATGTGCTGTTCAAACGCAGAGTGTCCATCGTCCTTATATACGTCTTCCCCCCTCTCCGCCGTTCGCAACGCCGACGTGTTGGTTCTTGCGATCCGCATCGGAGGATGCGCAACAACGAGGGCGGCCTGATTCCCGTGATCGCCATCTCCGCCTCTGCCTCCTCCTAACTCGTCGAGCACCATTCATGGCAACCTTCGGTGTCGCTTCTGTTTCGCTCTAGGCAAACGGAGGTAAGCTGGGCTCACGATGCTGGGCTTCGTACGCCGTTTGTTCCGCTACCGACGATGAAACGCGGTGATGCTCCACCGAAGTGCGAATACAGTGAGCCAACGCTGGCGATCCACGAGTGGATTGTCGGACTGGCAAGGAGAAGTGCATCACTCTGAACCATCTTGTTCCGCAGTTTTCCAGATGAATTTTGATCGTGCAGCCAACATCGACCGCACCTCGGAGCGCTAGTAGGACCGACGATGAGACCTTTGAGCAACACGAAGGGCCCGTAGTATCTAAGGAGCCAGCTAGTGCAGCACGCCTTAACAGGGGCTTTATGAGCTACTGAAACTGTAGATTCATCAAACCACCGACTCACAAAAATTTCATGCATGAGGTTGTCTTTTCGTCGCTGTCCATTTCTCCAACTTTTTCATCACCATTTCTCACAGCATTTTCCGGGGCATCGGTCTAAGTCTATGGGATTAGTGGCAAGGGCTTCCGCACCTCCATTTTCCGCGACCGACGCGCCATTCCATTGCGTTGAACCAGAACGAGCGAGATGTAGCACCATTGCTCCGGAAGAGCGGCGTGATCTCGCTTCGTCTGTACCCGACTCAGGCCGTGTGTTATTCACTTCTTCTTGATCTAGAATGCGATGCCGCTGGCGAATTGAGCACATGGGTGTTCCAGCGGCTATGTAGTCGCATCGTGAGCAAGGATCAACCCGAGGCGTTCGGCGGACATCACGCAGAGCCGCAGGCCTAGCTAGCGCGTTTGATCCTGTAGGTCATTCGGAATTCACAAACGCCGGCCGGGAAGAGTGCAAGAAATCTATTTAATTTTACGGAATTAGCCGACACCATGAGCAGGAGTTGATGGCTGTAAGAACGCCAGAAGAGTTACATGCTCCTGTACTCACTGTCTACCCGCTTTCTCTCAGTGGCTGCCTTGGATGAAGCTGGAGCCATGATTTTACACAAGTCGATCAATGATCGTTACCCGAGCGACGTTTCATGTGTATCTCGATGAAAATCTGGTCGAATTTGTTTCCCGTCATATTGATTTACTTTCGCCTGATTGGCCTGTTCGAGCTAGTCCAGCACGTTCATCGACATTCAATCCGGTGCTCGGAGGTGCTTGAGACGCACAAGAGCCGCTACTACGGGTGTAGGTGCACGAGGCTATGTAACGCTCACCTTCCCGAACACGTGCGTCATCTACTTTAGGTCCGCGTCAATCTACCGCTAATTTCCGCTGGACGCTATCGCTAGTTTCCGCTGGACGCTATCTCGGACGGGTTCCGTGGCTAGAGCGGGTATGATAATCACGTTTCATAGCGGCCGCCATGTTCGATCATTCAATGGGCGACACGCCCATGTTACTTGTTTCCATAGGCGCCGTCAAGTCTGATACAGAGTTTTGTCGGCCAACGCGGTCTAGAGGCCTTGTCCGCTTTTGTACCTGTGTTGTTCTTCGTCGCCGGATCAAATGATCGTTCCGTGTGTTACATCGATAATGCGGCTGGGGCAACACCGTCGTTTCTAGATGCCCTCATCAGTGCTGGTGAGGACCAATCAGCGCTAGTGCAAAGTATTTAAATCAAATTATCATTTTTTTCGTAGTTCTTCAGGCTGATTCTGATGAAAGCTAGTGCCGTGGTTGCGGAAAGTTCAACATAAATGTCTTCGAAAGCTCACTGAATGGCGCATTGCAGCCGCGCGTCAAGCCACCTATTTTCCTGCCAAGCCCATTCAACCAGGTTTCCACGCCAGTTCGCGACCTTCCTTGCCCATTATTGGGAGGCTATATTGTGTTCTCACGACGTCAAGCATGAGATCGAGCTCATGATTGACGCGAAAGTATTCTCCCGTAGGCATTTGTTGATGACATGCCACCGCTGAAAGTCTCCAGTCCGGAAAGTATTGCATGCCATTCTCCCACAGACGTACCCTGACATGATGAATGCAAAACGCGATGACGCCTCTAGATATTCACACAAGCTGTCCTTCTCGTTGACAAACGGCGCTGTCATGTTTCTGATGTAAGATTATGCAAAAACTCCATATGTGCACAGGGGCCCGGTCGAAGCATTCCAGCGCATGGGATGGTGCAGGCGAAAAGCCACAGGGCTTTAATTCCCTCTCAGATGCATTAAGCCTCATCAATAGGTTCGCTATGATAAATTAAAGATTTCCCACTGGCCGACATTATGGGCTCGAATTCTGTTCCTCCTATGCTCAATAGACTTCAAGCCAAATTTTGAGTACTGAACGCGCAGCGCAGCTGAACACAGGTCTTGGCTCGCACGAGATGATGAACAACGATGACCGTCGTAGACCGACATGACTGTTGCGGTACTTTGAAATTTGCGCCACAGGTGCGCGCCCGTGCGTGACAGACGCGAATCGTCACAGAGGCTTTGTCACCCTCGACTCCTCATGATCAACACCGGATTCAAGTTACTCTCTCATGGGCATTGCCGCTTGCAACGGCGAGCGACCTAACGCCCAGTATCTGGTGTCCTAGTAATACAACTGCTGACAGGATCTCTTTGCTTGACCACCCCAGACAACCCACTCAATTACAACGACGTCCTCGTACACGACTCCACACAATCGCCTCACGAGCGCTCAACAGTGTCATCTCGCGGGTCTCCCTTTGTTGCTCTCTTTTTGAAAGCAAGGTTGTGCAATTGCATTAAGCATTTAGATGGTCCTCATGTGACTCCCAGTCTCGATCCTCTTGTCACCGAATCATGCTGCATCAGGAAAATGTCACTTTTTCTTTTTTGCTTCTTTTTGTACCTTTTTCTTACAAAGAAAATAATGTAGAAAAAGCGTGAGGATCGGCTTGAATTTGCCTTGTTCGCTTCTTTTTGAGCACTTTTTGGTTGCTTTCTGATCAGAAAGTTTGTGAAAAGTCCATTCAAGGACAAAAGGTCAGAGAATCTGCCTTGGAATTTCCTGATAGGCTTCTGGGCTTTTGTTCCTTTAATGGACTTGACGACAACTTTTTGGGCAAATCAGTGTTGCCAAGCGTCGTCAAGGAAGCAAAAGGCCATGAGAAAGTGAGGAATCAGCCGATCCTCATGCTTTTTTCTACATTGTTCTCTTTTCTGCCTTTTTTGTAAGAAAAAGGTACAAAAAGAAGCCAAAAAGAAAAAGTGATGTTTTCCTGATGTGGGGAACCGGCTCGCATATTCTACACTCTGTGTAAAGAGTTCGATCGCACAGCTGAAGTGGTCTTCAATATTCACTTTTGCAAGAGTAGTCATATTAGCCAGCATTCCACATCAAACTCTCTTCCTGAGGGCGCGGGTCTTTCCGACGCCCTGCATCTAGGCTCAAGCGCGCCAATAGAATCTAAACAGTCTTTGTTCGGAACATTACTGCAGGAGCTCTGGTCCCCTATTTCAAACTAAGGACTAGAGTGCTGCGACATATGCTCCAGACACTCTGAATGATCGTGTCTTCGCATTCAACAGCTCCGACGGTCGTGTGACAGGATCTGGATATCTGATTGAGGGGTCAATGGCGATGTCTTATCGGAGACAGAGACTTGTTGGCTTATGTGCTCTTGGAGCGTGACTCGAGACAGTCAAATGTAGAAGAGGTGAAGTCGCATATCAGTCTAGTCTATCTGTTCATAGTTTGTAACATCAGAGCGAGTTCAATGTTACGATAGCATAGCTACAAGCAGCGATAACTTAGGGGCGGAATGGAAGACCAGCGATTTAGAAGGGTCGAAATCGGAAGAGGAGATGCTAATGTAAGGAGTGCTATCTTCGCTCTCCTGCGCTAACATTGCATAACGGAGCCTCTCAATTGTAGTACCAGTCTGCATAGAACAGTCCGACCTCGAGGCTCGCAAAGTATTCGAACAGGCTCACGCTCAGGTCGAGCCCGCCGGAAGGGCAGCCAACGCACTACATTCAGGTTAGCATGTTGTTGCCCATTGTAGACGAGAAATACCGACCTCATCTGCGATGGTCGCCACGGCAGACTTTCCGTTGTACTCGATCGTGATAGACTCTTCGCAGTGCGCGCCGCCGTCGTAGAGCTTTGTACCACGAAGGTGAACACTTCTTCGAGAGCATGACATATTATTCTATGGATGCTTACGGCGGAGTCGAGCGCAACGATCTGTAGAAACATGTAAGTCTCTGCTCGAATAATTGGACGCATTATGTTACTCACGAATTCGGTGTTCGTGATGGGTTTGTTGCATGAGCCGCTACCGAATACATCTATGTCAAGGCGACGTTGTCACGATACCAGCGAGCACCCACATTCCATCAGCGTTGTAGAAGGTCATTCTAGCGTTGGTGTACGACTGGCGGCGATCGAGCTGGCCCTCGCCGCTAGCGAGCGGAGTGCCGTGGGCAAAGGACGCGGCGAGCGAGAGGAGAGCGAACTTGGCGATCATCGAGAACTTCATCTTGGTCTGCCTTGGTTGATTGAAAAGTAGCTCCTCGGTTGGTGGAGTCGAGATGGGCGGATGTTCTGGGTTGTCCGACCAGTGATTTCTCATCGTCCTTATATGCATCCAAGGCCCACTCCACTCCACTCGCAGCGCTGAGGCGTTGCTTCCTGCAGTGCAGCATGGGAGAACACATAAAGTGAGGAAGCTTGATTCTCACCATCCTCTCAGCCTCCTCTCTCGTTTGGTCGACATCGTCTTTCACTGCATTCATGTCGGTCTAGACTAATGGGGATAGGCGAGCGGAGGTGCCAACTCAGTTCACTCCACGCCTCCTTTGTTCCCCGTCCCCCGACTGATGCTGAGATGTCAACATTGCGATGCGGCGAGTGATGTTGGCGACGCTCCGGTAGCCTGGCAGATGCGAAACATCGCTACAATATTCTGATCGATGTCTATGCTGCAGTTCGCTCGACATCATTCTTCACGTCACTGGCGGATTGTGACAATGTCTTTTTGGAGACAGAAACTTGTTAGCTTATGTGGTTTTGGAGCGTGACTTGAGACATTTAAATGCGGAAGAGGTGAAGTCGCATACCCATCTTGTCCAGATTTCTGCGTTAGTCTAACCGCAACTCATCATATCAGGAGTAAATAGCGCGATACGCATGCAGTGAGACCTTTCTTTCACAATTTATGCATTAAAGTGAGTTGCAGGTCTGGATAGCATAGTTACAAGCAGCGAGATATTAGATAAAAAGGGATGGACAGGAAGACTTGCGATTTAAGGGTCGGAATTTGGAAGAGGAATGCTAATGTAAGGAGTGCTATCTTCAGTTGCCTGCAATAACATTGCATAGCGGAGCCTCTCAGTTGTAGTACCAGTCTCCGTAGATCACACCGACATCAAGGCTCGCGAAGTGCTCGAACAGGCTCTCGGTCAGGTCGAGCCCGCCGGAAGGGCAGCCGGGGCACTACATTCAGGTTAGCACGTTGTTGTCCATTGGGGGCGAGAAATACTGACCTCATCTGCGATGGTCGCCTGGGCAGTCTTGCCATCGTACTCGATCGTGATGGACTTTCCGCAGTGCGCGCCGCTGTCGTAGAGCTGTATACCATGAAGGTGATTACGTGTTCGAGAACATGACATATTATTCTATGGATGCTTACGGCGGAGTCGAGCGCAACGATCTAGAGAAACAAGTAAGCTTCTGCTGGAATAATTGAACAGATCATTTAACTGACGTATTCGCTGTTCGTAACGGTATTGCCGCATGAGCCGCTGCCGAATAAGTCGATGTCAAGGTGATGTTGTCACGGCACGGAGGTGCACTCACGTTCCATCAGCGTTGTACCAGGTCATTCTAGCATTGCTGTATGACTGGCGACGCTCGAGCTGGCCCTCACCGCTGGCGAGCGGGGTGCCGTGGGCGAAGGACGCAGCGAGCGAGAGGAGAGCGAACTTGGCGATCATCGAGAACTGCATCTTGGTCTTTCTTCGTTGACTGAGAGTAGCTCGTCAGTTGGCGGACTCGAAAGGAGTGAAAGTACTAGGTTGTCCGACCGGTGAGTGCTCCTTGTCCTTATATGCATTCAAGCCCCCCTCCACTCCATTCGCAGCGCCGACGCGTTGCTTCTTGCGATGCGGCATCGGAGAACACATGGAGGTGAGACAACTTGCTTCTGCCCATCGTCTCAGCGTTCTCTCTCGCTTGGTCGACAGAGTCGTCCTTCACTGCATTCATGTCGGTCTAGACTAACGGGGATAAACGAGCGAAGGTGACGCAGATTCGCTCCACGCTTCTTTTGTTCCGCATCCCCCGACTGATGCTGAAATGTCAACATTAGGACGCAGTGAGTGATCTCGGCGACGGTCCGGGCAGGCTGGAAGACGCGAAAGATCGCCACAATATTCTGATCACCGCCTCTCCCAATTTGCTCGACATCATTCTTCGCGTCACCGACGCCATTTTTTCCCCTCCAAACTTAAAAAAGAAGCTGCGTCAACGAGCATACTCTGCTGCCCTTCTTTTGTTTTGCCGCCGATGTTTCGATACGGAGCATATGTCAACTGATCGGCCCACAACGTCAAATGCATAATGCTCTGTGTCCTGAGATTATAGTCTTCATCCGACGCTCAGACGCAATACCAGCCCATCCTGGGACGGGCTGAGCGCAGAAACCCCCTTTTCCGCCTCCAGTCATCTTTTGTCTTTCCAGAATTCTTGGATTTCTTCTCTCACTAATTCGATGTGGCTTTACATACATAGTTGCAATGGTGCAAACCTTTCCCTGTGCTTCTTTTGTTCCGCAACTAAGACTGATACGCGGTGTTGATCCGTCTAGGCGGACATACACCCCGCGAGCGTCAGTACGGCCCGCAGCGTAGGCGAGCAACATTAAAGGCAAAATAATTGTCCACGAAGAAATCCTCTCGAGCATCTTAGAGTGTTTATCTTGTGTCAATTTTTGAAGCGATGGATGCCGCCTCTGTCTATATTGTGGTGGAACGCCTCGGCCACGCAGGTTGTCTTCCGTGCTTCTTTCCTTCCGGAGCCGATGTTAGGGTCCCGTTCCGAAATGGAGGAGTGAATGCAGCGCTTCTTCCAACGAGAGTGCTACCGCTTCTCAGAGGCAACGAACGACTCAGAGAACGAGATGTTATCCCGTTTCGCCTTCTGTCCGAACAGTCCGGATACCGATCAGTTCTAATGCAACTCGTGCTAGGCACATATGGATGGCCCGGCGGCTATGTGGTCGAGTCATTGGCAACCAGGCGCCGGAGCGAGGAGAGCGGCGCGCGTCACACAAGCGGGAATCCTCCGACCGCGCTCGTTCGCATCGGTATTCGAAATCAAACTGACGCTGACTGGGAAGAAAACACGTTTCACGGCGTTGTCGGGTGTGATGGCTGGGTATTGCTGCAGCAACGCCAGGAGGAGCGTTCATAATTTACTGTGTCTGTTGATTGCTTTCAGATTTTGTCAAAGTTCGACAGAAATAGCACTCGCACGTGTGGATCTGCAATCGCTTGTTTTATCTCGGTAAGTAATATGCGAATTCGTCAGCAGACATATTCACATACCGTCCCATCCGATTGGCCCATTCGACCTAGTCTGGCGTTCAATCCGCCGGCTTCGGACGTGCTAGAAGCCCGCACGAGCGTTCGATGGTGCGATCAAGGGCGAGAGGCTATTCAACGCTAGCAACGGCCGTGCACGTGCGTCATCTACTCTCCTTCTAACTCTGGTGAGCCTTCCTAGTTACAGTCGACATCTACTCCTCTCTTGAACGTCCAGCCATCAGCAGCACAGGGATAGTGTGGGTGAAACCAACGTGATTGAAGTGTTTCGCATTGCGCGCAACATCAAACAGGCGATACGCCTGTGTTGCTTTGTCGCGATGGGGATGACTGCTGTCAAATCCGAAACGACTTTCACACAATACTCCGTGGACGCACAAGCATCAACGAGCGCCGCGCCGTCCGCTCGCACGCTTCTCTATCCTTGCGGAACCAACTTCATCTTCGCACGCTTCTTTAGGATCAATGTGGTCAGAGCACATGATGGTAGGCATGCGTCTTGGACCATCGCTAGTGTGTACAAAATGACTTTTTTCACTATATCTGACCTGGTGTTCCTTACCGCAGCTTTAGTTGGTAGTAACGGTAAATAGTTGACATGTCTATGCGTCATATGTGACTCGTGAGTAGGTTCGTCTCGCAGTCCAGACAGCGGGGGAGCTTAGCTGTTGCGTTACCTCATGGGATCATGTCAATTGTAGATTCGGGACCTCTTGAGAATGGTGCTCTCGGCGCGGCGGTTGAAGAATAATCGGGCTGGCTCGACACGGTCCCTTGTGGGTAATTTCTGTTCGCCACGTTCCCACATACGAGCGCTGACATGATGGGCGCTCAGCGCGCAGTGTCGACCCGCCGTTGGAGTGCCCTGGTAGGGATCTCGGCTGGATATACGCTCTTCGACTGTTTCGGAGGAGTGCATGATCACAAGGGGCAGGGCATAATGGACTGTTTCCGATGAACCACCGAGTCACATACAGGTCGCTGTAAGCTATGCTTATGCACTAGATCGCGGTATGTCACCATCGAACTCTCCGATTTCAGCGGTGATAACAAGGTCCTAGATGCGTGTACTTGACAACTCACCGTGACATTGACCATGTTTTGCTGAAATCATAGTTCACTACCGTCATTGCCATTCTGATTTTCGTACGGCAACGATCACCGGTAAGTGTTTAGTTACATATATGTGTAACAACGAAATGGCACTTGTATTAACCTGTGCATGCTTCAGGTCTGTGCGAGATGGTCCCAGATTCGGAATTATGCAATCAAGTGCCCGTAATTGTGCGGCTATCCTCGACCCAGAAGGTCTCTTTGCCGAATAATCGGATACAAATTTACTTCGGCCAGTCAGTCGTGGACGTAGCGCTCCTTCGTAGGTGCTCCACTCTGTGCGGATCTATCTGATAATCAATGCGGGACCTAGTTGTCGGGATGATGTAAGGTTAGCTCATCCTCCGATGTTTCACGCTTTTTACCACTTTCATTACTCGTTGCAGGCGCAACACTCATGTGGGATTGTAAATGGCTACATTTTCCACAATATTGAAAGTCCACTCTCCAGTGAACCCAGCCTCTCGTGGTACTAAGCTTCGGATGACGGGTTTTCTGCGCGGGGTTCTCAACGTGTATACCTTTCTTCATAGTGATCCCCTGCTTTCTTGGTATAACTTGCATTCAAAACTAGAATCAAAATCCGAGCGCGCAATTTCGGCAATAAGAAATAGGGGATTGCCGGAATGAATGCGATACCGTGGACAGTCCCAGGCGCGTGAATGTCATGATGAATGACTGTGTGCAGGGTCTATGTGCGTTTTTTCTACCTACTGACATTGCCAACCAAATGGCATGCCCTGTTTTCGAGCTGTCTTATAGGTGAAGCACCACATTTGCTCATCTTCTCCCTAGAGCATCCGCAGCTCTGGAGGTTAGTGTATCATACCAGCCAATCGGCAATCGGCAAGGCACTGATCTGCAATGCAACTAATACACACCTTGCTGCTGGATGATACAGCGAAGGCGCTCCGTTGCTCCCGGATATCATTTCCAAAGACTACGCGTCAATACTGGCGCCGGCGACTTTGAAAGCCTTAGTGACGTTGCAATTGATGTGGCGAGCGCAGTGTTCGACTGTCGTTGTCAGTTGTCATGCTTCAGTTTCCATTGCTCAAGATAGACACCGCTTCAGGGCATAAATAATTAAGTTCGTGCGCTGCTTAACTTCTGTCATGATCTGTGTTGATGGGATCTGCAAGGCGGCGCCGGTTTCCTATGCAGAGGCGCATGTGTCTTAAACTTGGATACAATTCTCCCGCTTTTGCAGGCCCTATACGCCGGCTCTACATGTAGCAGCATCCCGGGGATTGGAACGTCCGGCCGAGATTGCTCTACCTGGTGAACGCGGATCGATGGGCGCTCCCACCAAGGGTCAGTTTGAATGAATTTGTATAGACGCATGAACTCTAACAATTGTATTCGGCAGGGACCAAAGCGTCAAGTGGCATGCACCTTGATGAACGTGTTGCACGCCGCAATCAAGTACTATGGAGATAGTATGGAGAACAAACTCACCAGCGTGCGGTCGGTCGCCTCGGTTTCGAATGTGCGTAGAGTTTACAAATGTTTGCACTGCATCCAATTCACATCTGTACCCTTATCCTGAAGGGCATGCCTCATTCGTATGTCAGGACCCATCAACAGAGCATGTTGCATGACGAGTGCCTTGATTTATTGTGATCGAATGGGCGGCGTGCGTGACAGCTGTGGGGAGCTATGATGGCTAGACAAGAAACAGATTATTTGTATCAAGCCCATAGCGTCGGTGAGGTGAGTCGTTGAGAACGTTGACCTTTGAAATATAGACTTTTCGCTTATGCAAAGCGACTGCAAAGTAGGATGTTGTGGAAAGCACGAAACAACTTGCAGATTGTCACCTTCTAGGCTTCAGCGATCATCAGCCTCACGTCCCTGATCAGAGCGAAACTGGGCGCCGTCCTGAAAATCAGCTCGGAGGCGAGGAATCTTGGGTAAACCCCTCGCCTTGGATCTTCGGGTAGCGAGGGCACGCCAGAGCCTCCCAGAGCAAGGTTCGTCAAAGGCGCCGTGTTTCAATGCATGCGCACCTCCCGGTCCTGCCGCCATTTCAATAGGCTTGGGATTATTCTGCGGGTGCACCTCGGTCCCGGTGCTCCCAGCGTCTCGTCTAGTTTCTGCATATAAGAAGGTTGTCGGAACGGACTGCTCCTCACTTACTCGAGTCTGCAGTTGCATCTCCTTTGCAGAGTCCAACGTCTACAGTCGAAATGCAGTTCACCCAGCTCGCCAAATTCACCGCTCTCTCGCTCCTCGTTGCTGCCGTTCGCGGCGCACCTCAGCCTGAGGACGCTAAGCGCGATCTCGAGGCTCGTCAGTCCTATTCGGACGTTAGGATGACTTACTTCTACACTGGCAATCCCGGAACGTAAGTGTTCATCACCCTCACAGCCATACCTGGCCGATACTAACGTACTAAACAGCGGTGCCTGCGGTGGTCAGGAGTACGATACTCAATACGTGGGTATTGCGATCTCAAAATGTTCTTTCAAGTACTGACCGCGTTGGTAATAGATTGTTGCTCTGGATTCCGACGTAAGCATGTGCCTAATCGGCAATCGGCCTCATCTAATTTGAACGCCTGTAGTTGTACGATGGTGGAGCCAATTGCTACAAGACTATCACCATTGAGTACAATGGCCAGTCGACCCAAGCGTCCATTCTTGACGAGGTGAGTGCAAGATTTATTTGACCGCAGCATCGTACTTAGGTGTCGAACGAAGTGTCCCGGCTGCCCGTACGGTGGGCTCGACCTCACGCCCAGCTTGTTCGAGTACTTCGCTCCGCTCAGCCAAGGCGTGATCTACGGAGACTGGTACTACGACTGAGCGACCTGTTCGCATAATAGGAGAACCGCTTCCTTTTGAAAGCATAGTAACTGGTTCAAATTAGCTGTTCAGATGATTGTGTGACGAATGCTTGTCAAGTTGTCCTTGTGTACGAATAACTTTCTATGCTGTGCAGCGCTATCCTCCGATTTGCGTGATCACGATATCATTTAAGCCCCGCACATTAAAAACGCTAAGAGGGGTCTCCCTCAGTTGCGTTCGAGAGCCAGGCCGCCGGCGGGTCGGTATGCGTTACGTAGTATGGGTCGCATGACTCGCATCTCGTCTCGTCCTATGAATCCGCCGTTGATGAGTGGTTTTTGCCAGTCCTATAAAATGTACTCTTCAACTGAGTGACAATGGAAGTGGGGGACTGCATTGGGCATGCGAGCTGGAGCTAGTACCAGCACGTGACCGCGTCATGATAGTACGCACGAAGGCCTTTTCACTCTTCTACACAGTGCGTTTTTCGTAGTTGCAACCATGCTACGCCTGCAGCAAACGACATGTTTGGTTCTTGCGCTTTCTACCAGTCGAATATGACTAGTTGAGCGCTCCTTCTCGCCGTATCAGCTGGCATTCTGTGCCCATTTATCAGAGGTTGGGGCACGCACAAGCGAGTTGTAAGTCAGGGCACCAGCGAAAAGGGCAGTCTTCTTCGTCTGAGAAAGGCAAATATTGTGTCTGTTTGGCAGTCCTTTCGATGCTCAAGAGACGATCGCACGCTGCCGAGTATCTTAACGCTCATCGAGACGCGTAAGCCTGTCCTTGTCTCACACCCAACCCCACAGCCATGGCCGAGCGAGCGCGACGACTCATCAAACTCTTGGATGGAATTATCGGGGGCCGACAGCCCATTTCCGTGCAGAACGCGCCTCAATTCCTCGAAGCTATATGTGCACAGGCTGATGCAGCATCGTGTTTAAGCAAGATCATCGGGAGTCAGAGAGGCATCTCGTCCATCCAGTCCGCGATGCGATTTGATCTTTCACCCCGCTTTATGAACGGTCTTGCGTCCAATTTCCTACGCTATATCCGTGCTCCCGAGCTCCACACCATTGGTAACGGATCCTTCCTTCGCCAAATCATCGTCGCTATTGTCGAGCCACCCATCTTCTGGGATGCCTTTGTCAGTGCATTTCGGGACGGCGTTCTGCAAGAGAATGGGCAAGTATCCTTCGCATGGCTGCTTCATGAGCTCGTCTCGTTGCCTGTCGAGAAAGCCGGTCCGTATCGCGAGATCGCCGGAGATCAAGCGATACTGGACCGTCTTGTCTCGTCTCCGCATCCAGAGACAAGCAGCATCGCATCCCGGATCAAACGTATACTGTCGACATTTATCTCTACTGCACCTGCTGACAGCGACTACCAACCTGGTGGTCGGCACGACAATGATTTCGCAGACTACCGTTCGATCTCTATCCATCCAACTGCGGAGGAGATCCTTTCCAATGAACGACCGTTTCTCAGGCCTTCTTTCTTTTTGGAAGATCCAGATTCGCAGGAAGCTCGACTGGCCACCCATCTGGATAACCAGTTCCGCCTCCTCCGAGAGGACATGATTTACGAGTTGCGCGATGAGCTGCACATCGCACTCCGGAAGAAGAAGGGTAAGCTCCGGGGCTTGGTGATCGATGGCCTGAAGCTGGACGGCATGCACTGTGGCGCCGAAAACAACAGGACTCGGTGGGCGCTTGCCCTCGAATGTATCCACGACCTGCCGCCTCTCGCGAAAAAGAGCAAGTTCCAGGACCGGAAAGCGTACCTCGCCAAAGAGGGGCGCCACGTCTGCAGACACCAGGCGCTTGCCTGCCTGATTGTCGACGACGACGAGGTGGTCGCGTTCCCCACGATCTCGCGAAATGAAGACCTGCTGGCGCGCCAGCCGCCGGTGGTGCTTCTGTGTTTCGCAGGCGAAGCCAGCATCAAGCGGACACTTCTGAGGCTGAAGACTGCAAAGCGCATCAAGCTCATCCAGATCAACACGGCCGTCTTCTCTTACGAGCCAGTTTTGCGGGCACTGCAGGAGATGACGAATGTGCCACTTTCAGATGAGCTGCTTTCATGGACGGAGGAGAGCGAGATCACAACGCCAGCGTCTCAACCGGAGACCATTGTACAGTCTCTGCGGGAGAATCCTCGCCAGGATTTGCGTGGTGTACTGGGCATCATGCAATTGAAGCCGATTGAGCTAGATGAATCCCAGGCTGCGTCGCTGCAGTCCGCTCTGACGCAGAGGGTGTCATTGATCCAGGGTCCTCCAGGTTCGTCCATCACTATTCCAGCCTAATGTTCAACGTTGTTCACAACAGAGACGTAGGCACCGGCAAATCCTTCATCGGTGCTCTACTTGCAAAGGCCCTCCATGATAATGATCAGAAAATCCTCGTCGTCTGCTACACGAACCACGCCCTTGACCAATTCCTCGAGGATCTTCTTAACATTGGCATCCCGGAGAACAGCATCGTCCGCCTGGGCAGCAAGTCCACAGCGCGGACAGCTTCCCTCACCCTTCAGCAGCGGGGACGTGTGTACAGGATGTCCCGGACAGAGTGGGGCGAGGTCGACCAGCTCAAAGAGGCTGCGGAGCGCCTTGCGAAACATCTCGAGGACACGTTCACCCGGTACGTGTCAGCAACCGTATCGCTGGGTGAGATGCTTGAGTACCTCGAGTTCGAGTATCCCGAATATTGCGAGGCATTCACCGTCCCTCAGTCCATGGACGGCATGACGCTGGTGAAGAAGGGCGGCAAGGCTGTGGACAAGCTCTACTTGCTTAGCCAGTGGGTGCGCGGGTTCCATGCGGGTATATTCAGGAACCACGCCGTCGTGCGCGATGCTGCCAGTATCTGGAACATGCCACATGCTGCACGCAAGAACGTGATACAGAAGTGGCGGCAGGAGATACTAAAGGAGCAGATCGCGGAAATTTACGAGACGGGTGTGGCGTATCATGAGAAACTGAGCGAAATTGAGCGCCGGCTGGGACAGAATACGGCGGTGGTTCTGAGGAGTAAGAAGATCATTGCATGTACTACGACGGCTGCGGCGAAGTATGGGGAGGACATTCAGGCTGCAGCGCCTAACGTACTTCTCGTTGAAGAGGCAGGTGAGATTCTCGAAAGTCATATTCTGACCGCTCTAGGAAAGCAAACAGACCAACTCATCCTCATCGGCGACCATCAGTAAGTGTTCTGATGTTTTCGCCGTTCTCAGGTCTTTTAAAATAGTCTCGGATGGCTCTAGACAACTGCGCCCCAAAGTGCAGAACTATCTACTGACAGTGGAGAAGAATCTCGGCTATGATCTTAATCGGTCATTATTCGAGCGGCTCGTACTGAAAGGTTATCCGCACCAGACCCTCAGCTCTCAGCACCGCATGCGGCCAGAGATCTCTGCCCTAATCCGTCATCTGACCTACCCCGCTCTCATCGACGCTGACGATACGAAACAGCGGCCGAACCTGCGTGGCATGCAGAGCAACATCGTCTTCATCAACCATGCCCATCCGGAGGACGAGCACGCGCACACAGACCCAGGTGACGTATCAGACGTGTACGCGTCATCATCGAAGCGAAACACGTATGAGGCGGAGATGGTGCTCAAAATTGTGCGCTACCTCGCGCAGCAGGGTTATGGCACCGACAAGCTCGTCGTTCTGACGCCATATCTAGGACAACTGTTCCTTCTGCAGGAGAAGCTACGTGAGGAGACAGATCCTGTGCTAAATGATTTAGATTCGTTTGATCTTGTGCGTGCTGGACTGATACCCGAGGCTACCGCGGAGTTGGCAAAGAAGCCATTACGTCTTGCTACGATCGGTGAGTGTTCATCTAGATCGCCTGATTACAATACTTGATTGTCACCATGTTAGATAACTACCAAGGAGAAGAAAGCGATATCGTCATATGCAACCTGACGAGGAGCAATGTGGATCACGACATCGGGTTCATGTCATCGCCTCAGCGGCTTAACGTTCTCCTCTCGCGTGCGCGCAATGCATTGATCATTCTGGGCAACGCAGAGACATTCATGAATCCACGCAAGGGGGGCGAGACGTGGAATCAGCTCTTCGATTTGCTCAAGAAAGGTGCCCATGTATTCGATGGACTGCCGGTGCGCTGCGAGCGGCATCCCCAACGAGCAGCTCTTCTTAAGAATCCAATCGACTTCGACAACCTTGTGCCAGATGGCGGCTGTCAGGAGCCGTGGTGAGGGATTTCTTTCTCCTAGAAATTTTAATCTTGCTTAACGTAGCACAGCAACGCGATGCTGAGCTGCAACATCCACACCTGCCCATCTAAGTGCCATCAGCTCTCAGACCACTCCAAAATGCAGTGTGACAAGGTCCTCGTCGACACATGTCCCAAAGGCCACAAGCTCTCCTGGAAATGCCACCAAACCAAGCCACCGTTGTGCAAGAAGTGCGAGAAGGATGCGAAAGAGGACGATGAACGGCGCCAGCGCGAGTTTGCCTTGAAGCAGAAGCGTGATGCGGAGGATCAGGCGCATGCGAAAGAGCTCCAGAAGATCGAAGATGAGATAGAGCAGGAGCGGCAGCGCATACGGGATGCGCAGCTTGCTGAGGAACGCGCAAATGCGCTTTGGCAAAAGCAACGGGATCTTCAGGCAATGCGTGAGATGGCAGCCAGAGCTTCTACGCAAGCTCGTCCCGCAACACCCAGTCCCGCAGCTTCCAGTTCCAATGAGCCCGCGCCGAAAGCATCTAGCACTGGTGCCACACCGAAGACTGACTCCAAAGTAAAAGCTGCCTCCAAAGCAGCGGTGCCACCTTCGCAAGAGGCAGACAATCCAACGGCGCCAGCTGAGCCTGATGCGAGCGACGATGATACGGACGACCAGACTCCAACCTTCGAGTCCCCTTCAGAACAGGAATGGGAGCGGCAGAAATCAATCGAAGGCGCGAGCAATCAGTATATCGACGAGCTCATGCGAATGACTGGGCTAGAAGACGTCAAGGCGCAGATCCTGCAGATCAAGGCAAAGATCGACGTCGCGAGCCTGCAAGGCATGCCGCTTGCGAATGAACGATTCAATGTCGTTTTCCTTGGTAACCCGGGGACCGGTGAGTATTACTTGCTCAGAGCTATAACGCGACAGGCCTCATCGCGTTGTCGTTGCATTCAGGAAAGACTACTGTCGCGAGGCTCTACGCGAAGATTCTCGCGTACCTCAAGGTCATCCCAGGTATCACGTTCGTCGAGACTACCGGATCACGACTCGCGAACGACGGCGTTAACGGTACAAAAAAGGCAGTCGAGAATATCATCAACAGCGGCGGAGGCGCGCTCTTCGTCGATGAAGCGTACCAGCTCACCGGAGAAAACAATTTCCAGGGCAGCCAGGTGCTGGACTTTCTGCTCGCTGAGATGGAGAACAACGTCGGCAAGATCGTCTTCATCCTGGCGGGATACAGCAAGCAGATGGAGAAGTTCTTCGAGCACAACCCCGGCTTGACGAGCCGCGTTCCATATTCATTGAAATTCGCAGACTACACTGACGACGAGCTGCGACTCATGTTGCAGAGGCTGGTCGAGAAGCGATGGAAGGGGAAGATGCAGTTCCAGCGCGGAGCACATGGCTTGTATGCTCGGATAGCGGTGCGCCGTCTGGGACGCGGACGCGGACGCGAGGGCTTCGGCAACGCTCGCGCTCTCGAGAACATGCTTGCGAAGATCACAGGGCATCAGGCCGACCGTCTGGCCTCTGAGCGAAAGAAGGGACAGAATCCTGACGTCTTCTTGCTCACGAAAGAAGACCTGATTGGGCCTGACCCCTCGAAAGTCATGCTTGAGAGCGACGCCTGGAAGGAACTGCAATCCCTCATTGGCCTTGAAACTGTCAAGGACTCCATTCGCAGCTTGTTTGATAGGATCGCGCAAAACTATCGCCGTGAACTTGTAGAGAAGGAGCCCATCCAGGTGTCTCTGAATCGAGTCTTTATTGGCTCGCCGGGAACGGGAAAGACGACGGTCGCGAAGCTCTATGGGCAAATCCTGGCCGATCTCGGTATGCTAAGCAACGGTGAAGGTGAGAAACTAATTTGCTCCTGTCGGTCCGGGTGCGGATGTGCTGATAGCGTTTACGTTACGCACTAGTCATAGTGAAGAATCCTGCGGACTTTGTTGGCTCTGTCCTTGGAGAGTCGGAGAAAAATACCAAGGCAATCCTGGCAGCTACCATGGGGAAGGTCTTGGTTATCGACGAGGTCAGAGGATGATATAACTCTTGACACCTACTGATGAATATGCGTAGGCATACATGCTCTACGGAGGCGCAGGGAGCGCTGGAGGAGGAAAGCAAAGTGACCCATACAAGACTGCCGTGATTGACACGATCGTGGCCGAGGTCCAAAGCACGCCTGGCGAGGATCGCTGCGTGCTGCTGCTTGGTTACAAGGAACAGATCATGGAGATGTTCCAGGTGACCGGTTTACGTTAATGTCATTGTCACGCGCTGACACGTTCAACAGAATGTCAACCCCGGTCTATCACGCCGGTTCGCCATCGAGAACGCGTTCCAGTTCGAAGACTACTCGGACGCTGATCTGAGAAAAATCCTCGACAAGAAACTCAAAGGACAGCAGCTGCAAGCGACCGACGCAGCCAAGAACGTCGCGATCCAGGTCCTCAGCCGTGCTCGTAACCGGCCCAATTTTGGAAATGCAGGCGAGGTAGAGAACATCCTCGGCCAAGCAAAGGCGCGCTTCCAGCAACGGCAGTCGGCGCTGCCCGTGGAACGACGCCCGTTCGACGTGCTATTTGAGCCTCAGGACTTTGACCCGGAGTTTGATCGTGATGCGCGGGCGTCGATGAACTTGAAAAAGCTGTTCGAGGACGTTATTGGGTGCGAGGCGATTGTGGAGAAGCTGGGGCGGTTCCAGGATACGGCGCGCAAGATGAAGGCGCGAGGGATGGATCCTCGACAGGAGATACCGACGAACTTTATTATGAAAGGTCCTCCGGGTGCGTACACGATTCCTCTTCCCAAAGCTATGGATGATGATGACCGGTCCGTTTTGCAGGCACGGGCAAGACGACCACTGCGCGCAAGCTCGGCCAAGTGTTCTACGACATGGGGTTCCTCTCCTCTATCGAAGTCATCGAATGCAGCGCCTCAGACCTCGTGGGCCAGTACGTGGGCCAAACCGGCCCCAAGACAAAGTCCCTGCTCGAGAAGGCCCTCGGGCGGGTGCTCTTCATCGACGAGGCCTACCGGCTCGGCGACGGACCCTTTGCGAAAGAGGCCATCGACGAGCTGGTCAGCTTGCTCACGAACCCGCAGTTCTACAAGAAGATCGTGGTGATACTTGCCGGATACGATCAGGACATGAATCGGCTGCTCGCGATCAACTCTGGGCTGTCGAGCCGGTTCTCGGAGGAGATTGTGTTCCCGAACATGACCTCGGAGCGGTGCCTCGAGGTTCTCAAGGCGGAGCTTGGCAAGAAGCAGATCCGTTGTCGTGCGCTGGACGACATGGCCTCGAAGGGCTATGCGGCGATGGTGCAATCGATCGGGGAGCTATCTGCGTTGCCGTCGTGGGGGAACGCCCGGGACGTCATTACACTGAGCAAAAGGATGGTCAGCTGCGTCTTTGACCGCCTGGCAGACGACGAAGATGAGAACGGCGAACTCGAGTTGATACAGGAGGATGTGATTACGTGCATGAGAGAGTTACTGAAGGAACGGAGAGAGCGTAACGTGAATGTACCCCGCGACCCGGCATCCGCGTATTTTGATCAGCTCAAGCAGCAACAGCAGCAAATGCCGGGGGCGGCACCGCCTCCTCCGTCTATCCGAACTGCACAAGCTCATCGCACCGAAAGCGTTGCTCCAAAGCCTGCGCAGGAGCAAGAGGAGGAGCAAAGCACGGAGGACGGGCGAGATGCGGGAGTCACGGAAGAGACGTGGCGCCAGCTGCAGATGGACAAGCTCGCGCAGGAGCAGGAAAAACAGCGTGCAAAGGAGGAGGTCGCGAGGTTGGAGCGGGAGATGGAGGAGACGAAGAGACGGGAGGAGGCGCTGCGTCAAGTTATGAAGAAGTTGGCAGAGGCTCGCGCGAAGAGCGCGGCGGAGGAGGACGAGCGGAGACGGAAGCTGGAGGCGGCGCGTCTGAAAGAGATCGAGGCTCGTGCAGAGCGTGAGAGACGGGAAGCGGCGCTGAGGGCAGTGAGAGAGGCAGAGGAGAAGCGGAGGCGGCAGGAGGCGCAGGTTCAGATGAAGCTGCGGCAAATGGGGGTTTGTGTTGCGGGGTTCCAGTGGATCAAGCAGGCGAGCGGATATAGATGTGCGGGTGGATCGCACTTTGTGGGCAATGGATCGTTGGGTATCTGATGAATATTGTATATTTCATACCGTCGAATAGAGTTTCTTGCCATTTGGAGCATTGCCAGCAGAATTATCATGTGCAGTATGGACCATTGAATATGAATATTGATGGAAGCGAGCAGCCCAATGGAGAGGGTTGCATCGAGTCCGCAACGGAGGGCAAATTCGCGAGTACGTGATGGACGTAAAGTGCTGTAAATGTCTGTTGTAGTACGTGCTTAGGATTTTAGCAGCGAGTGATGCTGGAGTTTTAGAACGAGCATGACGTGGATTACGTGAGTCACATCGAGTGTTGCGTGACCATGCGCGTCTCGGAGCGCGTGCTATATACAGCTAACCACCACTGCGGCAGCGTGACTAGGTCTCTACGGCTACTCCAGTCTACAACCCTTGTCCATCGCGCGCCCTAATCCCACGCGTCCGCCTACCGCTCCGACGAGCGACCGTCGCCCTAGCCACGTTCTTCCCACCGCCACTGCCCGTCACCTCCGCAGACGCCTCTGAATCCGCCTCAACGACGGCTTGCTCCTCTACCGAATCGCTTTGGGAAGCGTGCCCGTCGGTCGCCGCAGGATCGTGCGACCGCTCTTGTGCACTGCGTTCGCCTCCAGGTTGTCCTTCAGGTGCTCGCGCCGGCGCAATCGCCCGCAGCCGCTCGGATTTGCGGATGCCTACGTCGACAGAGGATGTACGTGCGGCCGCTTGACGACGCGCCTTGGCTATGGATGCCTTTCCGCCGCTCCCGCGATCTTCAGGGCGCGCGTCGAGCGACGAGGAGACAGCTTGCTCTATCGCAGAGGCGCTTGCCAAAGACTGACCGTGTCCGTCTGTGCTTGCGGCATCGTTGGACTCGTCCTCGTCGGCATCTTTGGCTACTACGTGCTGTGAGGCAAACGCCGCGCTTGAGGGCCCCTCATCCGAGACGCGAATTCGTAGTGCCGGGGAAGGGATGGCAGATCGCGAACTGGGCTTTGACGTAGACACTTTCATGCCGTCGACGTTCTCTCTACCGACGTCGACCGACTGACTGACAGCTTGCTCTGCTGCTGTGACGGCCCCGGATGGCTCAGCATCATCCGTTGCGTTCGCTATGTCGCGTGAGTGGCCCTCTATGGCACCTCCAGATGGCTGTCCGCCGTCCGCGGGCATCGTGCCATTCCAGGGACGACCACGAGATGGACCTCCGCCGTTGTCTTCATCGAATAGGTAAGCAGGATCCGTGCACGACTGGCCGTGGACGAACAAAGGAGGGTTTTGCGGCGCACGCGGAGCCGCAGCGAGGCGAACGGCAAGTCCTCTCTGGTCGCGATCCCCATTCGCCGGTGCAGGGAGCGTGTTCTCGATGTCCTCCAGCACCGAAGGAGGCACACCGGCGATGGTACTCTTGCCTTTGACGGCCTGGCCGCAGCTGGGACAGCACGACTCTATTGGCATGGTCTGGCAAGCGGCCTCCTTTCTTTCCGGTTTCTTGTCGCCTCTGCCTTGGGCTTTCTTCTTTTTGCTGGCCGACTGGGTCCGCACTCGAGGGGCCGGGAGCCGTATTGAGAGCGCAGACGATCGCTCGTCAAGATCTTGCACTAGATACGCCTGCATCAGACACTGAACGGCAAGCGTGAGATGCTTCTTACCTGTTTGCGCGAGGTGAGCCTTGACGTCCACATCGAGCGGAGCCCGGATGGCGTACTTTACGTCTGCATCGCCTCAAAATATCAGCGGTGGGACTGTCGAGATGACAGTAGACGCACCGAGGTCGAACGTGAAATCCTCATACTCTAGCTGGCTGCCCTTCCGTGTCTTCGCGTTCTCCATCGCACCGCTACACAGCCTCTGCAACAGCAGGACGTTACATTCGTAGAACATGTCGACGAGCGACGCTAGGAGCTGCAGCACTCCGTTAGCACACGCCGCAGCCCCGAGCCCAAGGGACACGCACAATGGGGACTTTGGCGTCCACTTGCTCGCTCCGCAGCTTGAGCTCGTCGCTCAGAAACGTGAGCGCCCACTGGCGGAGGGCGTGCGTCTGGCGGCTTGACGGCGCGCTCTCTACGGTCTGATCCCCGCTCACGCCGAGATCGTCCATCCCGAGTATCGTTGGGTATTCGAACTGACGATCGGAGGTACCGTGAGGTGTGCGGATCGGGAACGGAGGTGGGATGCACGCTTACGTTGAGTCTGAGCAGGTGGTCGCGGATTGTGCAGCGTCGGGTGTCGGGAGATGGTGGGAGGGTTTCGGTGCTTGTTTTCATCCAGATTTTGATTCGCTGCGGCGTGGTCAGGAGGGCCGTGGTCGAGCGGGCGCACGCACCTCTTTACGGTTCAGTCCGTCTGTGTGGCTGGGGTTGGCGACGGTGCCGCTGGCGAGCGATGCGTCCGGAGATGGCGCAGAGTTGTTTTTGAAGACGATGTCGAGCAGCGAGCTTGAGGCGCGTGCTGCGTCTGGGACGGGGTACGGCGCGGCGGTATGTGGGCTCGAGCGCTGTAGGGCTGAATAAAAGGCGGCCTCGCCTTGAGTCTCTTCTATGCCACTCGAGGGCGCCTTGCCAGAAAACCACGCAGCGCTCCCATGGGCATGCGCCACGGCCTTTCCCTTACCCTGCACGTCCGCGGTCGACCATGATGCGTCGTGGGGTGACAGGAACGTGTCGTGCGCGCGTGCGTAGTCCTTTACCGGTGGGACCGGGGGCGACGGTTCGTTTAGCCTAGCCGTTCGGTAAATGGTTTGTCAAGGTTGCTTTTGGAGGATGAGAAGCTCACGTGAGAGTAAGATGCCCCGGTAAGTGCTGCGATCCTTGGTCTGCTGCGGGTTCTTCTGTCCGGCTGGAGTTGGTCAAGTGAGAGACGCGGGTGCCATTCAGAGGTCGGGTGACTTACAAGATAGAATTGGCGGCTTCCTGAGGTGTGAAACGCCGCGGTCCCGGTTCGCGAGCATTGTCGGGGAGATACCTGAGCGTGAGTGGCGGCTCAGCTGTATTCGGTGCGGTGAGCGAAAGGATCATTATTCATACATGGCAGCACTGTTTGACGAGTTGGCAACGCTTTGGGGATTGTCAGCCGCCGATTGCTGGACTTCTTGGTGGGTTGTCTCGGGTTCTTCTGGGGGATTGCGTATGAGCAAGTAGCGCACCGGGACTGGGAGCGGCGCCGGGTGCATTTTCTTATGTCAATGAGCAAAGTGATGACTCGGATGGAAGTGTGTGCAGGGTATGCAGGTGCCAATGCGAGTGGTCTTGGGTGCGGCGATGGCGGTAGAGAGCGACGCCACTCGAGACTCGAGAGGACAAAGGATGGACGCGATCGTGGGACTCGTGTTGGAACCCCGCATTGTGCGTGCATATTCGCGGACGGGTGTGTCATTGCCTCTGTTCATCGTGAGCTGCGTGCGGTCGAGAGGCGAGCAGCAGTGTTGGATAGACCATCGATATGGGGTTACGTATATGGGAATGACTCTGCTACCAGCTAATCCCTACCAGCTCTCGAGCTGGCGGTTTTTCTGCATCTTAAAGAGTCCTTGTTGTCAATTTAATCCCTCGTGTTGGAGACGAATAAGCAGCCTGGCCGCCATAAGTGGTGAGCGCTGAGCGATGGCACTGCCTTGGGTTAAGTGAAGAGAAAGACCTCGGCACCGCTCAGCGCACCTCGTGTCCGCGATAAAGGTCAGTAGACACGACAGCGTCTGCATATCGAGTCTATGTAACGAGTGGCGGTGAGTGACACCAGGACGGTGGCGGAAGGACGAGTTTCCAAATGGGGCAAGTGTTGTATGAGGGCGGGCGGCTAAGTTCTCCATTGTCCCGTGGATGGCAACGAAGCCAGCAGCGGAGACAACGATTGCCTCGTCAATGCCCCCCTCGTGCCTACCCAACCGTTGTTGGTCGCATTGACTGCGCTGGACGCCGTCGTTTGTTTTTTTCTTCCTGCTATAACAAGCTCGCTTGCGGTAGCCGTCGTGAGTCCCTGACATTCAATCTCGTTGCCGAGTCGCGTACTGTGTACGCACTTCGTCCGCACGACATCCCGCTCTGTATCACTAGACACACACCCACGCCCCCACCTTATTATCTTATAATCCGAGCCGTCCTCACATCATGAACATCACGAATGCCTTCCTCAGCCCTTCCCTTCCGCCGACCACTAACCACCTCGACCCCCGAGAGCGCGCCCGTCTCATGCGCTCCGCACGCAAACTGGGCAACGTCCTCGGCAGCACGCCTCAGCTGCTCGAGTCAGAACCGGCGGCGGCCACACCGATCGCTCGCTTGCCTATAGGACCCTCGCCCGGCAGGTCAGGGTCGATCAAGTCCGTCTCTTCTTTCAGACAAGGCTCTATCTGCTCGCGGGCATCTACGCCCTCTCTGTATAGTTCCTCCTCGACAAATTCCTCCGTCGTGTCTCTCGCGCTGCCGCCGCCACACGCCAGCTGCGAATCACTCCCCGAGCCTCGGCTCTACTCGACGAAACATAAAAAGGCACGCAAGTCGAAGGAACTCCCAAGACCGCTTGTCCTCCGCCTCAACGCCGTGCCCTTGCCCCCATCGGACAGACGCCTTCCCGGCCTCCCGCCCACCCCTTCTACCGCCGTCCCCACCACGCCCATATCCCCAACCACACCCGTTGCCCCCAGCCCCGAAGAGACACGCCGTAAGCGCATGGCAAAGCTGAAGCGCACCCTTGGCGAAAACATTCCCCTCGACCTCGTCTTTCCTCGACACACACGTACTTCATCCTCTTCGCCACCGCGCTCACCAAACAGGGCAGGCCGGCACCGGAACATGTCTGTCGACCTTGGCCGGGAGGCGCCGCAGCCGTCGCGATCGTCCCGTGTGTGGGTGACGGGAACGGACAAATGGGTGGGCGAATGGAATCGGAAGGACATCTTCGAGGTGCAGCAGCAGCTGAGAACACTAAAGGGCCGATAACGTTGTCAAGTCCTCGGAACTCCCAGATATCTATGTCATGTTGTACGATAGTTGCTAGTATACGCTGGATCGTTTGCAGAGGCCGCATAATAGGCTCAAAAGACCGACCTTACGACATTGCATAATGTATTTTGCAGCAAATTGTATTAAATGCACATGAGATGTACAACCCACGGAGGTTCTCAATGCGGCAGCAGATCGGCATGCCAGCACAGCAATCATTCCTTTTGCAGCAAATGGCGCAGCAGACACGTTAAGCCCTTGGGAGTCTCGAGGATGTGAACGCGTTCTAATCGGACGCTTGATGTTCTCCGACGACCTAGTTCATATGGTGCACGGCCTCTCTTCGCCCCCGGCAAGGGCAGGGAGGAGCATGTGACCGTGCAGGTGATTCGTAGGCGACAAGAGGCAGTGCAGACATGACGAACGCTGTGAGAAGAGAATTCAAGCGTCCGTTCGCGCATGATCGAGAGAAGCAGGGGGTGCCGCCTGACCAAGATCCTCGGCCTCGTCTGCACAAACCGGCCCTTCCCACCGGTAGCTATGCGCGCATTAGCTGAACCATCCACAAGGAAAAGGAGGGCCGTACCTGCTCTGTTTATGGCGCAATAGAGGCCCATCCAATAGTGCATACACTATATTGAGCATGCACGGAGATGACTCTCGGCAGGTGGTGTCGCTCGCCTACTTATTGCGGCCCGAGCTGCACGAACAATAGGTCCAGCCCTTGCGATTGGCGCCATCTGGTCGGATTGTAATGTATCATCCGAAGAGGATGTCGAAGGTGGCATGCGCACAGGAGATCTGAGCCCTGAGTGTGGAGCTTCTTCCGCTGGAAGCGCATGATAGTCCGCGGCAGAACGACCGAAAATCCGCTCTGAGAGAGAAAGGCGTCGAACAGAGGCCGATCGCAGACGTTATTGCGAGCTAGTACAGATCCTCTAACACCGTGCCTTCCGCATATCGGCCGCTAAGGGATCACCTGACAGCTGTGAATCGGTCAAAGACACGCACAGTAGCGTGTCATCAGTGCACTGGCCGCCGTCTGGACGGGCCAGTGAAGTGCCCCACCAATCCGTAATCCTCCGTGCTCATCGTTGTGCATGCTAGAAACCTATTAGAATGGCTGGCCAGTAGGATCTGCTGCGTTTGTCGGCCCTGCGAAGTGTTTCTGGTATGACTTGGTCACACTTCCCTGCCCGGAGTGAGGTCGCGACCGTCGAAGAATGTCAAGCCCACACGGACAATGTCTATTTGGAACGTTCGTGGGGAGGTCGTCGAGGAGGTCATGGATACCGCATCAGTGCTCGTGAAAAGAAGGCACGGTGCGGCGAGACTGCGCGAGCGAAGTTGACGATGGGATTGCCAATTGCACTTGCTGTGGATAACTGGTTTCAATTCGCAGACTGAATCACAGAACATAAGCAGCAGACTGACACTCGAATGGTGCCGAACCCGTACCTTGCCGTCTTGTTCAATCTCACCATGAATCTGTATAGTGTCAGAGCGTTGGGTGACTCGTATCATACTTATCTAAGTCGCAAGCGCTTCAATATCAGTATCTCCCCTTTGAATCCGAAGGAACGTCGAAGGCATCTAGCATCTGTTATACACATCGAAACGGTAATAACTTACAGTGACACGATGAAGGGTATCGTTGATAAAGCCCAATCAGCTCACCATCTCGCTCGCGCGCCCCTCGTATCCTGGAAATAATGGCCGTCCCACCTCCGTTCACGAATACGCCGAGCTTCCTCCACTTCTCTTCGATTAAAGACATCGCCGTACCCTTCATCCCTTCCCCCGTGCACAGTGCTCGGCGTCTCGCTTCCCTCCATCTCCCTTTTCTTCCGCCGGATCAGCTCTAACGCCCGCTGGCGCTCCGAAGACTCACGATTCAGTCGCGCGACCTCTGGCGGCTTCTGATTGGCGGCAGACGTCGAAGACGGTGGCCGACGGGCGTGCGACGTCGTCGATGTGCTTGCGGAGCGAGAAGACAGCTGGTAATTGATGGAGGTGAGAGGGTCATTAACCGACTTCCGCGCGAGGTCGCGGATCCTGCAAAAATAACTCAGCGATGGCAGGGAAGGTGGACACAATAGAAGACGAACTTTCGATCCTCGTCTACCTCGTGCTCTTTGCCGTGGTTCCGTTCGTAATACCATGGTTTGAGGTCTTTCTCGGGCGGTGCGAGCGGGATTCCCTTCTCTGTCTCGGGCGGTTCTTTTTTTGTGGACCTCACCGGGACCAATTGCTAGTGCGGACAGGAGGTGTCAACAGGGTGACTGCGCAGACAGACAGAAGAGAAGCAGACTCAACTCGTTCCAGGTCCTCGAAAAGATTGATATGGCCGCCGGTCGTGATTGAAGATGGTCCCGCTTTGGCTTGGGAATCAAGCTCATCATCGTCTTGTCTGTTCTTGGATGCCTTCACTCCAGCACGCTGCCGCAGCAGATCTATGCGTGCTTCCGAGTCCTGCACGGTATCATCTCCGCCTGTGTATGAATGCACAGAAAGAGCAGCTTACCGCTAGCATCATCTTGCCTTCCTGGACAGCCTCCTGCAATCGCGCCTCCTCTTCATCTCGGCGGACCCTCTCGATGTTATCCCTGCGGTAAGGGTGGTACGATTTGTGATGTGCGATGTTGAGCTTTCCCATGAGCAGCGCGCGGATTAATGACAAGCTAATGCGAGAGGCAGGGGACGAGGGGGACGCCGCGAACGAATGAGATGAACGGGTATCACCGAGCGGAGCCCCAAAGCCTCGAGTATGCCTCGCGCGGATCCATCAAATTCATACATAATTTGTGAATGTGGCCGAGCGTGTATAAGGCCGTCTTACAATTACGTTGATAATACATACAGCATGTTAGTATCCTACACATCGCACGTCGCCACAAATGTCCAAGCGCATGCATGCCTCATAGCACTCCAGCCCGAATGATCACTATCGGCACTGATGGCCGACGCAGAATGTCGTCTTGATTGTAGTATGTCTGTATCTTTTTCACCACGTCCATACCCGACGCAACTTCACCGAAGACGACGTTACGGCCATCACACCAAGGAGCTGGCGCCGTGGTGATGAAGAACTGCCAAGGCCGGAGAAATAAGCAAGAACCCTGCTGGCTAAGAAGAGAGAGGAAGGCCGCACATGAGAAGAATTGGTATTTGGGCCTCGATTGGCCATTGATACGAGCCCCGGCCTATCATGTCTCAACCGAAAATTCTCATCTAAAGCCGACTGTCAGCAAGTAACGTGAACGGCACCTGGCCACTCACCCGCAAACTTGGGCCCATAGATCGACTGGCCACCGGCACCATCGCCTCCGTAAATGTCGCCACCTTGGATCATGAACTGTCGGCGGCGATACGCAGGGTGAGAGACGACGTGGAGAGAGGACACTAGCAGTGCGGGAGAACCACGGACCTCCGGTACGATACGGTGAATGGTAGAATTCGCATACCCAAATCCATGATTGCCCGAGGCAAGCTCGCGAAAATTCCGGGCAGTCATTGGACATATTTGGTCAAACAACCGGAAGGTGATACGCCCTGCAGGCAATCCGTCGATGCTGATGTCGAACTGGGAGATGCGCTCAATAGAGCCACAATTGTACACTGCCTGAGATAGCTCACAAATACATCGGGGCCACTGTGGGAGTGGCTTTAGTTGAGAGGGCGGGGATGGATGGGAGAAAGACATACGTGTTCAGCATCGTAAGAGAGCGGAGCTGTACGGTGTAGAGTGGGAGAATAGGGCGGGAGTGGAGAGAGGGGGTTCCATTTTTCAGGGTTAGCGAGTGGGACTCAAATCCAAGAGGCGGGAACGCGACAAGGCGTTCCCGGCCATTGCCGTGATCAGCAACGCCGGAGATCACCGACCGGCGCCGTAACCTTTCTGCGGCCGGAAATCCCCCGGTCAAAATCAATATTAGATCAGCGCGCTCTGCCCTCTGCTGATGCGGAACGGTCTAGACTCTCGTCAACTGCCGTACGACTTGGTGGCCACACGCCAAGCTCATCCGCCCGCTTCTGCGCGCAGCCACCGTCTGTGCTGCCCCAAATGCAGCAACGCCGCAGAAATTCACACCGTCAAATTCGTCTGCACGAGTTCGTTCCAAAATAATTCCCATCGCTTCGTCGATGCCCGCTCCGATTCTAGGTTTAATGTCCGTGCATCGCCGAGCTCCAGCGCACCGTTCGGAAAATACAGAACTCTTCGGTTGGAGCGCGCGCTCACTCGTTCTCGTTTATCGTGATCTCTGCGCACTGATATCTAGCGCTATCACACGCACATCAGCACCGGTACGTCTTTGGAGCCCTGAGCGCCACTCTGTAGCCAATATGCTGGATCAACGGAGGTATGTAAATGTCCGAGAGATTGCACATTCCCGGCGCCAATCATGGTTGCAGTTCGTGCCATCTTCGTTTGCAACTCGGAAATGAACATGCAGTCAATGACTGCCGTTGTCGGCCCCGCCCAACATCTCTCGTGCAGTCGGTACGTACCTCCCCCGACGTTCTAGCTTTATCGATAACGCGTTCGTTCTGCAGTATCCTAGCTCTGACCAGACAGCTTCATCGCACGATTTCCTTCTAAAATGCTTTTGGTTCTTCCAAATCATGCCGTCGCGGTCCGGAGGCTGCTCGTATAAATGGCTCTCTATCGCTTCTTTCTGTGCCGCTCATCGTTCCTGGTGCGGAAATCGCCGCACTTCATCACAGGGCGAACAAGCCGACTCACTCCACCTCGCCGACTGACCTTCACAATCGATGGCTGGGCTTATAATAGACATTGTCCTATTGATCCTGCTAATTTTCATCCCCTTTGGATGCATGTATCAGGCGATCAGCGGCATATGCGAGCTCGTCAGCAGGCTTACAGGCTCCCTGCCTATGCATACACGAGCTCGCCGCATAAGCTCGATGGCTTCTCGCGCTTAGTCGACCTCCCAAGAACGTGGACAGTGCTGCAATTGCTCTTCACTAGAGGCAGCAATTTCGGGCAACCTTGCGAATGACGCTTAATTGTGAGTACCCGGAAACATCGTCCAGCATGCGCCGCATGTCAACGTGGACTTACAATTTGAATTGACTCCACCTCATGATCTAACCGGACATGAGCACTGGTTGGTAGAAGACGCCCGGCAATCGCCGAGGTGAGTGTCTCGCGTATTCCTACATCGTGCCCCGTGGATGGTTATATTGGGGTTTTTCTGTTCCTCATTTTTGCCGAACAGCATAATTCTATATCAAACAAGCGACGGCAAGAGCCATTGATGCGTCCATTCGCAAAGGTCACCCTTCTCGATGTTGTGATCAATCAGTCAGCAGCAGGCGATCGGGACCATGAGGTACGCACGAATCACCCGCTTTGACAACACCGAAATCCATCCCAGTGCCTAGCAACTTTGGCGACAAGAAAAATTAAGCGACGGCGTTGATCGTTGCTACCTCTGCCACTGACTCCGGGATCGGCAATATAAAAGTGCTGCTACGGTAGAGTGTTGGGATAATACCGCCGGTGATTTATTGAGCAGCGATGTCATGCAGCTTTTCATGATTGCCGGGGCTGCGCTTTATGTCGAAGACGCCGCGGCGAGGTGCGCTGCAGAAAGCGTCGTGCTTTCTCAAATTTTTTGGACTGTAGTGCTGGAGCGGATGACGAGGTCTAGACCATCATGGCACCACGAAATGTCGCATCAAAGTGACGAGAGTGTTCTATCTGATCCTAAGCTATGGGGGGGCGGGTTGTCTTCTATTACAGTCGAATACGTGATCGTCGCACCATGCTCCACGGAATGTACCTTTTAAAAGGCTTCGTATTGCAATGAAGAGTCTAGAACCATACAAGCGACAGCCATCAGTATGTCACTAGGTCTTTCGCAGCGCACGCTCCTGTACCGAATTTCAGCATTCTGATCCACACTCACCACCTTTACGGTCATATTGATATCTGAGAATAGATGAGCAGATTACCGCCGCTTATTCGCCTTAATCACTGCATAATCCTGTGCAGTTGAAGATCTTCTCGCTGTGTCCAGGCCACATTGACATATCCCGACCAGTCGGCGATGCAAATCTGGGTCGAGACTGTTTCCGGGACGGAGCCGCACATAAAAGCACCACAGGGTCAATATGTGGGTTCACTGAATGGCCAACATCGGCTGCAGACACCGATTTCCGTCATTTCTGTGCAAAACAGTGTGTTCGCGTAGTCTCGGTTCAGTCGAGGTGCATAGCGTGGTCGAACGCCAAGAGAAAACACTCCCGTGAGTGTCAGCAATCCAATTGAAGTTCTGATAGGCTGAGCGAGCACGGAGGATGAAGCAGACGGTGGAAGCGCGCGCGCAAGTTGAGCGCCCTTCGTACCGCACCCGGGGCGACACGCACGAGCATGAAGCAGAGCCTGCCGTAACATGCAGCGTGGAAAGCTATTATGACACGAGGTGCTCACCAGCCTCGCGATCGCCCACGCGATGGCCTCGAGCTACCGTACTCTATGGCCAACGGGGAGTCAATGACATCACAGGGAAAGTCGGCCCTTCAGACAAGAAGTGGAGCTTTGCGTTCGAGTCAAAGACTATGGTTCGAAGCTTGATGAATGGGAGGCAAACGCGCGATCTGCAAAGCCTGAACAGCATGTGCTGGCCTAGAACGTGATGGGGACATATCGGCGATGGACCACGGCGTTTTACGAAAGCGACTCACACTGCATTTCAAGGCTCTGTTCGGACCAATCGCTCCTTGCCAAAAACATATTGGAGCTGGCTGACCGCCGTGTTCCGTGTTTTGCCAAAAGAGTGCTTTGCTTTCATGCAGGCAGCTTCATATCGCTGACAGTGAAATCTTCCGGTGTCTCGAAACACGCATGTGAGAATGCATAAGACAGCGCAGCAGGACCATATGAGAGATCATGTGAAGCGCTGGTAATCACACCTTGACGGAACGAGACCGACCGACCAACCGAATCTATCCACGACTCAAAGCCATCGCTCATGATAAGCGAGTAAGAACAATTGATCACGGAGCAGGATCGGTAGCTTAATGGCCTCTCTTCTTTGCACGTAATGCTGAGGCGATAGACAAAGATTCTGGAAGAGCCGTTCATCGGATGTTCTTCCTTCAAGGAGCAGCCTCACAGGGCTGATTGTGTCCAGCGTAGACACCGTCGGACAACGAGGAGCCTAGAGCGGTTGCAATCCAGTTAAGGTTTTCGAATAGGAATAGAATGCCTTGATTCTCCCGTCTCGAAAGGAGTTTTCCATTGCGGGAGAAGCAGACATTACTGAACAACATGAAAAGGCCCTTCGAGATCTGACGAGGGTACGTACCATACCGGAGGAGAACAGGCACATCATTTACTTTGGACAGCTTTAGAGTGTCCTCGGGCTCTTCTGGGTGTTTCCGGATGAGGTGTCCTTCATTCGCGTCGAAAATGCAGGATCAGATCATGGGCGCCCAAGCAGGCGTGGTTGAGATGAATGCCACGTGCCCTCGCAAACTGTACGCAAACGTGCTTCTGTACGGCCCGCGGCAGGAGATATAGGCGATCAAAGAGGGAAACGGTCCGCCCGCACAGATCTAGAGCCGCGCTATTCGAAGCGTATACCACTCACCGAGGACCCAAACTCCACGGATTTGTATCGCAGTCTAGGGAGGGACGGTTATACGCGAGCTCTAGCCTCTGTACACGTTGAGAATGCCAATGAACTCTAAAACGTGCATCATAGAATGGCCCACTCACATCCATGTAGAGCCATGACATCCGCAAGTTCAGATTGTGCTATTATTGCTATTATTGCTGTCAGCGGCTATATTGTGCTATATCGTAAATTTTAGCAGAATCAAGACTGCAGATGTCACGCATGCGACTTGAAGAATTCTCAGACGGATGTTGAGGCTGTCGGATTTCGTCAAAGCGCACTATTCCTGACAGCCATACAAACCTACATGACTCACGGTTGTAAGTAAGATCCCGAAGTTGTCGGAACTCCAAGTTCAGCAACAAAGGACTCACCACGCAGGTCCAAGCAAAGCATCTCAATGGCTCGGTCGGAGACGAAACTACTTTTTTTCCATCGCACGGACAAAGTTGAAAAGTAACACGAGAACGCACTCCGGTCATTCACGGCAACTTATCGTGGTTACTCTACTGTAAGCCGTGGTCATGGTCGGTAACAAGTTATAACGGTTACTACCGGCGCGAGCTTTCCGCGAAGGGCGCTCGATCAGCACGCACTCATCGGGTCGCACCTGCCGAATTCTTCATCTCTCCGGTTGGAGTGATACATTCCGTGTATTATTAGAATCAATGACGACTAGACTGAACATGGGCTATACTAAAGTATACAACCGTGCAAACGTTATGATGCATGAACAGTAAGGAAGACCTGAGGGTAATAGTGACAATCGAGGCAGGGTATACGGCGAATACAACGCCTCAGAGGAATCAAGCCGAGAAGGAAGACAAAGTAGACGATACAGAGATATGAAGCCAAAGTCGTCAAAGTCGCAAATGAAATTCAGACGACGGTAAACCTATGTCACGGCTCGTCAGTGAACATACCACATCAAACGACGTGATAGCTACTCACGCTTCGCTGTGCCATCCCTCGCCCTGCGCCGCCGTTTCCGCACGCTCCTGCGTCCGGTTCGCCCAGCCTTCGGGGCGGCCCACATTCTGCAGTATCGCCGATTCGCGTTTGCCTACGACCTTGAACTGTCCCGTCTTCTCATCCGCGCGGCTCTTTGTGTTCGACGCCTCCTCCTTCTTTCGGTGGAATAGCTCCTGCAGCACCTGCGTCCGGCTTGTGTCCTCGCTCGTCTTCGCCTCGTTCATCCGGTCCCGCACTCCGACTAGCTGTCCATCGACATATTCAAGCCCGGTCCGCACTGCGTCCGCGACCACCTTCTGCAGCTGCTTCTTCACGAGACCCGTTGCGAGCGGACGCAATGTCTTGTAAAGCAGATCATGCTTTGAATCGCGGATGGAGAACTTGAGTGTCGCCACCTTCACATGCACGTTCTTGACATGAAACACCGAGCGCTGGTCCTTTCCCGCGCTCGCAATATGTGCCGTGACAGTGAGACCCTGCCCGCCGAGCAGTACATCTGCGATGCCGGAGTCAGAGAGCTTCGGGAAGCCAGACTTCTTGCGGAAGTAGAAGGCGACATCTCGCATGTCCGCCTGGATCTGCGAGAAGGTGAGCGTAAACTCGTGACGACCCTCATCTCTACAGGAATGCCGTCAGTCATTTCACACAAAACACAAGCAAGAAGATAACATACTGAATGGCGTCATACATGCTGAACTTCACGAAGTTGTGAGCCTCGAATGAAATGAGGTTCGGGAGCAGGTTGCGGCCCGACAACGCGAGGTTCTCAATCACGAGGTCGATTGCATCGTCGGTGTACTCGATGCGCGGGATCGGGACGTAGCCTACCTACACGACGACTCGCATGAGGACGATATCTGGGCAGTACAAGACGGTTGCCACGTACCTCATCAACGACAGTCGGCAGGATGACCTTCCGAACGTCCATCCAGAGCTCAGGCTTGAACTTCAGGCTACCTTCGCTGTCGAACAAGAGGTCCTTCGTGAGGCGCGCCCAGTCATTGCCAAACCTGCCAATTGCTCAGCGAGCATGGACAAACTACGAATAGTTGCGATGTACCTCTGATTGAGCGGATCCTCGCCGAATGCCGTGAACCAATCCGTGAGGCTAGAGAACAGGTTGTTGAAGTGACCTTGATACTTGCCGTCGTAGAATTGACGGCCAGTATCCATCAACTGGTTCGCCTCGTCATTGCATTGAGGCTCAAGCACAAAGCCCGGCTCAAGCAGTACCTGCAACACATTCTCGGTAATTCTGCCATTGCGAGCTGATGTATGCAATCAAAGCTCACCTTATGAGCATATACATCGCATGTGCGGAACCAATTCTTCAGCTCCTGATCGTTCTGCGCGTCTTGGTAGAGAGTCTGCATGGCGTCGCCAATGACCGCGAGACTCATGCCGTTTGCAAAGCGCTCGAGTAGGGTGCGGAGCTCCCCCGTGGCCTGCTGCATGGAGTTGTCACTCGTCATCTGGTTATGCGAGTCCTTCGCTATGGTCGCGACAGCAATCAGTATTCAGCATGAATGCAAAGGCTAACGAGCGTAGTCACACCTTGACTCGCAGCAGTCTTGCCGTGGCTCGCGTACTCCTCTAAGAACCCAAGAAGCCAGGTGATGCTCTCCTGGTAGTCTTTGTGGTTCTGGCACTCAATAATGACCTTCTTGCCGCGATAGATGAACTGATCACGACGCTCTGGCGGAAAGTATTCCTCGCTGAGGAAGCGCTTTGCGCGGTCGTAGTGTTCGTTCGCCTTGTCCTTATGCCCTTGTGGGACACGGTCGACGAGGTTGTCCTATGGTGGGAGCTGTCAAGATGCACGGCGGCGCGAGATGATGTGCATATACTCACTCTGATGCCGCGGACCTTGCCCATGAGACCATTTTTCTTCGCTTGCGCGTCTTGTTCGTTATCGGGAACGGGGTCACCACCGACAGCATCGAGTGTTTCGTCCGTTTGGCGGTTCGCTTCCTCCTGCACAGGACCATCAGCGATGTGAGGGTTTCAAGCGAAGCTTCAACTTACCGTCCCGTGGTCAACGAACTCGTCCTTGCGAGCGTTCACTTCATCAATCGCCTGCGCACCACTCTTGATCTCGCCGTTCCCTTGCTTCACGGTCGCACCTTGGCCCAGATCATCCTTTGGGTGTTGAGATACGCGTGTCTCGGTGCCCGGGATGCGAGCTTCGAGAACCTGGGATACGAACCATGTCGCTCAGTCGACTATATGAGCATATATGCGTGTTAAAATCACCGGAGTCTCGTCTAGGCCAGCCACTCGGCCGCCGTCGGTGATAAACTGATCTCGGGGAGCAGAGTCGTCGACGCGAGAAAGACGCTCAGGGTCCGGGCGCGCAGCCTCTGCGACCTTGCCTGCACCGCGAGCGAGGAGGTCACGTCCGATGACGGAGAAGTCAGCGAGGAGCTTGCGGACTTCCGCGTTGGTGAGAATGAGGGAAAGAAGGGTGCGTAGATGCTGGACGGCCTGCACGCCGTCGGCCTTTGCCTTCTCCTGGCCTATGGGAACAATCTCGTTAGGATCCTTCTTAGCGGCATCAGTGTTCACGTCGCGAGTGTGCCAGATAAAGTTCTGGAAGAGCTCGTCCTCGTTCTTATTCTTGACCATGAGGCGGGCGGTCTCGATGATATCGCGCGAGTCCTGAATGAGACGCTGCCCATCTCGGGAGAGCTGGCTGAGATCGACAGGAGAATTTCTGATTGCGTAGGTGAGGGCAGAGTCGATCTGGGCATTGGAGGGCATGCGACCCTGGCGGAAGGCCTCGATGACGCCGTACAAGTGGAGCTTGCGGTCGACATCGGCAGCCTGTTGCGCCTTGTCGTGCGGTTGCACCACGGAGCCCTGCGTATGCAGCAATGAATACCACGAGCCGATAGAGATTGGAAGATGCGACGTACGGCGAGCGGGTGGTCAGAAATGTCTTTGGGAGCTTGTGGGAGAGACATAGCGGGTCGTGGACAGGAAGAGAAGGGAGGTCGTGAGGGTTATAGGACAAGAAGACACCAGTCGAAACGAACACGAACCTGACAGCTTGGGGCTTATATGGCGCGAACCACCGGCCTCCGAGTGACGATACGTACGACGTCACAGCGCGCAGCCCCCAAGTGGCCTCTCTCCATGATGTCACGCTGCCCACTGTCAGTCCGTACCTCTGCTCACGTGCTGGCGACAGCCCAGCGGAAGAGGCCGGGACCGCGAACAAGACTAAGCCGTTGATAGCGGGAGGTGAGAGGTCGCGATGGTGGCGGGCGATGCAGCGGTGAGGCCGTTGCCAAACATGCGCAAACTCATCATTGGCAGCCATACTTATATGAATCTGTCTGGGGAAGAAACAATTATGTGCGCAATGACTGGGATTGCAGGCCCACATGCTGTAAGCGCCGTATTCGCAAACTCCTTGTCCGCAACGATCATGCAGCCGTCTCACCTTTCCGACACTGCGAATCGTGAGGTCCAGCCCGGCGACCCCGTCTGTATAGGTCGCGGTAGCTTCGCCGCGGTGTACGTGATTCCGATCCTTGGTGCTCCGTTCGCATACAAGCAAGTCCATCACAGCGACACGGACTCTGATGCCCTTCTGCACGAATATCGCGCCTTGGTAAAACTATATTCTATCTGCGACTTGGATTCATTCTTTGTGCTTCCCCGTCCACTCGGTTTCTTCGACCCCAACACAAAGCAGTTCTTGTCTTCCACGCCATCCTCGTCCTCCTGGCCGCGTGGCCGTCATGAACGTCCCCTGATTATGCCGGATGCATTCGGTCCATTCACGGGGGCGACGTATGCTATGGAACGAGTCTTTGCTTTGCCCTTGGTCGCCGCCCGAGTCATAAGAGAGCATTTCTACGGTCTTGCTGCAGCTTCCGTTCGTGCCGGGCCTACTCTGTGCAGGCTATATTTCGGCAAGGACTTCACAAATGCTCCCCAATCTCGATTCGTTAACACCGCTAACTTTCCTCTGGATGTTGCGAGGTATCGCCTTTTGACGGAGCGAGTGCCCGGCCTGGAGACAGCAGAGCAGGTTGCCTTTGGCATGGGAGAGATGCTGGGCCGTATACACTGGCATGGGTCCTATGATGCTCGGGACGTCGAGTTCGTGCTTGGAGGTGATGGAATCAGTGGTTTCTGCTACTTCGTCATTGACTTTAACCAGGTGCGTGTAAGGATTGTGAAGGAATGATACAATGCATCTGAAATACAATGATCGCAGATGCGTACTTGGAAGAAGACTGTCGAAGAGCTCGGGACCCTGGTTTCATCATTCTTCGCCAATGACCCGTACTACCCACGCCCTAGACCTTCGGATCCCCTGTACATGGCATTCAAGAACGGCTACTCGTCCGCGTACTCCTCTCAGGCCGGCTGCCATGCCATCGACACCGCATTCCTCCATGACATTGAAATTGAGCAAGCTCGGCGTGATCGTGCTGTATCTGGTACTCAGTAGGGTCAGTTCGCGAGCCGAAAATTTTCATATCGTCTCCGCCTCCTACGTCGCGCGCTCTCCAATAGATCTCTAAGCAGCAAATGCGCTTGGCGTTGCATCTGCGCTCTCTCTCTCATCCTGTGCGGGAAATCGGAGCAATCGAGCGTTTGCTTACTTCCCTTCATCTCCGTTAGTGTCGACGCAACGTGATGAAGGGGTACCACAACCAATGTGCTTACCTGACTGTGCCCACAAGGCATCTCCGCTTATGCCTACAACATACGATAGATTCACATCCACTCTGCGCATATTGCATACCGTTGTTCATGCACAGCCGTGCGCACATGTCAACATTGTCCTGAATGGTTGTATTACATAGCTACATGGAAGTAATATATTCAGGGTACATTGTAAAAATGTTGCGCATAAAGCACAAAAAAAGGCTGACCGTATATAATCTATGACTTAGTGAAATATATAGAGGTAAGTTGTGCGGACAGTTTCGCTGATCAGTTCTGAATGTGAATTCAGTTGTTGGTGAGAATGATAAATGATGAGGAGACAGTCAAGCAGATGGAAAAGGCAGGGTTAACTTAGGCATGTGCTCGTATGCCATTCGAATCTAACCATGCAAATTTTGATCAGAAATGGCAGCAAGTGGAAGCAAAATCTGAGCGTGCAGAACCGAAAGGGACATGTTGAGCTCGTCAAA